TGAAGATTATTACCATGGTGCCCTTGGACGGCAGCAATATGCAACGAATCATACCCTGACCTATTCTTCCTCGTGAGGCCCTCCTTGTTCGAATATTTCAGCAACTCCTTAACCACCTCAAGGTGCCCTTTATCTGCAGCAGTAAACAGCGCAGTCTCCCCTAACTCATTCACCTCATTGACCACCGATGCCCTTATCTCTGCAACCTCAGCATCAAAGTCAGCCCCACTCAAAGTTCCCACCATTTGTGAATCAATATCATTAAGTATCTGCTGCACATCGGCCAAATTGCCACGCTGAGCTGCCAAGTGGAGCTCAGTATCATTGTGGCGACCAGTGACTTGTTTTACATACTTCTTCTTTCCAGCTTGATCAATTCGTTTGCCAGAATTCGATAAAACTAGAGCTGGGGCAGTTGATGTTGAAGATGGGGATGGAGTTGGTGTCGGTGTTGGTGATGGCTCGGCAAGAGGGTTTTGGTTTAGTTGTGGTTGCACTAATCCCTTCTCTAAGTCCCTCTCCCTCCCTACAAAATCCATCAATTAATCAATCACAGAGATCACGCAAAAATCAAAATAATACTACAAAATTTGTTATTTTTTTCTGCTTCGTTTCAAGTAAAAAAAGTTATAGAAAGAAATATAGTTCTCGAATAAAAACTGAAAAAAATAAAATTATATGAACGGTAGCAAAGATACATCAGTTTCTAGATTCAAGGATGTAAGAATCTATTAGCATTTAGCAACCCAACTTTTTTAGTTCCACTTTCCTTCAAACCAAGCAGATTTAGACTTGTATTTTTTTAAAAAAATATGTGTCTCAAAAAGCAAAAAAGCAAATTGATCAGAGAAAAACTCAGAGAGTCTTTTTGTCTCAAGGGAAAATCACCGACTAAAAAAAGGAAAAATCAAATCTTTGTTATGATTGCCACTAACTTTAGCTGCAAAACATCTCTTTTTCTTACCATCAAAGAAGCAATCAATTTTTTTATATAGAAAAAGCAAGAAAATAAATGAAGAGATCTTGATCTTGATTTTGATCATTAGGTAAACTCTAGAAGCAGAAATTGATGCGTGTATAGATTGGTACAGTACCTTCTTCCATAGGTGAAGCCATGGTTAGAACTTAGAACTTGCTGGCTGAAGGGTCATGCATATGAAAGAGAAAACTTGGAAAGCAGAGAGAGAATTGGTGCGTTTGCGAGTGATGGTAATAATGAAGGATTAGTCAAAGACGATAAGAAGAAGTGTGTCAAAGGAAAGTTCGCGGAAGGATGAAAGTACGAGTGTGCGAGTCTCTTGCATACCGCCCTTTTGCTTGTTTCACAACTGAAAAAGTTTTTACTCTCGCTTCTAAGTTACCACTTTTTCACGGAATCACCATCAATCTTCACTTATTACAGAATACGAAAGTACGAGGAAGTTCATGTGAATCTTACACAAAAAGTTGGTTTTCTTTTTTCTTTTCTTTTTTCACCACAGCTTGATATTTGTTGGATTTACTTAGGACGGGTTAATTGCATATTGCCTTAATAAATTTTTGATATTTTCTTAACATGATCTGTCTTTTTTTTCTAAATTTATTTAATTCTTTTACTCTAAATATTTTTTTTAATATGACTCGTTGGATTAATTTTTCAATAACAATTTATAGACAGAATAATATGTTAGATAAAAATGACACGTCAAAATTTTTTACCGTTCAATTAATTTTTTGATAATAATTGATAGATGGAGTAATATTTTAGATAAAAATGACACGTGAGAAATTTTTATTATTTCATGTGTCAGTTTTATCCAATATATCAATCTTTTTTTTTTGGTCAAAAAAATTAGATGGAATTACATAAAAAAAATATTAAAAATTTTAGAAAATAAAAACTCAATTAAATAAAAAAATACATTAAAAAAATCTAAAAAAAAATACAAAAACAAATCATACTATTAATCCCACTTAGGAGCCATCATACACAATATCCATAGAGATATTTGCACTTCAAAATTCTCTTTATTTTTTTCTTTACCAGTGATGTAGCATTATATTACTATATAATTAAAGTAAAATGAGCATTTGAACAATAATGAATAGTGATGAATACTGTTTATTACTGTAGTTTAGTTTTTTTTTAAAAAAATTCAAGTTATTTCATTTTGATTCTCGAAAAATTAAAATAAACATTTTAATCCCTTAACTCATGTATCACACATGCCTTTTTTTCTTTTTTTCCTTTGGTTTTTTTCTTTATTTTTTTCCATCAATTAATATTCTTTTTTATTTAATTGGTTGTTAAAATTTTAAAAAATTAATTTTTTCTTTGTTTTTTAATAGTATTTTTTGTTATTTTTTTTATATAGGAAAACGCAATAACTTGTTCATCAACCTTGAGTGTCCTATTTTGTTTTAGTATTTTTTGTTAATTATTTTTATTATTTAAAATTTACTAATTTAATTTATCTTTTTTTAAAAAAATTCTCCTCCAATTAATTTAAAATTATATTTACTGACAATTTTGATTTATTTTTCTATATATATGGATTTCGGAATAAAATTTTAGAACATATTTTATCTTTGATTTTATATATTTTTATTGATTCACACCATAAAACATATTATCAAACTGAAATAATTTTATATATTTTATCCAACTCACTGCGTATCACGGATAAAAAAACTAGTTGGTTTGCTAAATGAAAATCCTAGAAGTTAATTGGTTCCATCGCGTGTTACATTTGGATGATTTTATCGGACTAGTTTGTAAGTTTTATACATTTTCTTCTTGAATTTGGACAAAAAAAAAAAATTGATCATTAACCACCAAATTATGAATTTTTTTTAAAAAAATTCATCTCAAGCCTACGCCCGCTCATAAAATATTTTTTTATTTTTAGATCCCGAAGTTAATAAGTTTGATTTGACATAACTACCTTGAAGTTAATAAATTTGAGCCATTAAAAAAATCCGTTTTTCTTAAAAGTAAATTTTGTGTAAAATTTTGTACTTCCCGTAAAAACGAATAGCATTAAATTGTTATCTATCAATTTTGTATGTGTACGATGGATTTGGCGCACAAATTCCATTCTTAACAGAAACGAAGTATAAAAATTTAATATTTGGATCACTTACGCAAACTACAACCCAAACTTTATCTAGGACACCTGGGACCTGAAGCTTCGGATACTCTTACCATCAAATAAAAGTAAATGTGACAGGACAAAAAGCTAGGGAAATAAAATGCATCCTCGTGTATGAGGAAAAACACATTTGGAGCAATGACTTTAGGTAGAAAGCAAAGGCAGCACCAAAACCTTAACCAATTGCTAGTATATTTTTAAGAAACAATGTCAAAAGTGCTACAATGAATTTGAAACGAGTAAACTTGAAAGGGCCGAAGAGAAAATATGATATTTTAAGAGACTGCATTCTTAATTATTTTGAAAAACATATAAGTTCAAAAGTTAAATTAAAAAAGTTTCAAAACCTTGAGGGTGACATGCACCCAAAGCAAAGCATGGTTCCGCCCCGTGATTAGCATTATGGAAATGTGAACCCAAATTTAAGAAGACTTTGCACAAAATGTTGTGGCCGAGTAAGAGAACAATGTAAAAAGGAAAGCTGGTTTTTAGTGATAATTTGTTTTTTCTATACAATGATGGGCTGTTAACTTGAGTTGGGCTCACAACTGTAGCTGTTTTGAACATGGACCTGAGTCTAATTTTATCCTTATGTATGTTGGGTTCGATATCACAACTGGCTTGGGCCACTTGGCTTTAGCTTGCCTCCTCCCTATGTGGACAAAGAAACAAGATACGCTTTTTACTTCTCTCTACTTCCCGCTCGTACTTATCTCCCAACGTCCTTCTCATTTTCCTTGCTTCGTGGAAGAGGATCTGGTTCCCTTTGGCTGTAATTTGTAATATTCCTCCTTTTATCGAGGAATTACTCCATTGAATCATTGTTCTAAGGTTCTGGAAGGATTCGTAGTTTAAAGCAAAACGATCCAAACAGAACTTACTGTATGCTTGGCTTCTGTTCAAAATCAACAGCCTTTTGCAGTTATAAAAAGCATATACAGCATTTAAAGGCAAAACAATGAAACCTCGTTAGATTTGTGTTTATGCTGCTTTTTGCGGAGAGCAGATGGTATCTATATGTCTATATAATATAGTCAGCAGAAGTATTTTAATTGAAAATTAATTCATATGTCAATTTCAATTTTGGAATGACATATGTAGTACTAACAAAGAATCTCAATTTACTTCATTGATTTATTTTGGATTGAATTGAAATTAAAATAAAAATAGACTTTCATATACTTTAATAATAAATTTTGCACCCACTATATTGTTATTTGACAATTTTAAGTTCTTAACACTAAATTGAATAATTTGAATCTTAAATTATTATTTTTTGGATAAAATTGATTCAATTTTTTTAATTATTGTTATATGTAATGGTCAATTCTCGGTTGACCGTTATATAAAATGTCAAAACGACGTCGTAATGATATTTCATTGTTAATTATATTTTTTTAAAAAAATGTAACCCTCCTAATATTGAATTAAAAAAAATTTCTTATAAAATATTATAAATTATATAAAAAAATATTTTATAAATATTTTTAACTCCATAATTTTGAATTTTTTTAATAAAATATTATAAACATGTAATAAAAAAATATTTTTTATTATTCTTAACTTATAAAATTAGGAGTTCAATCCTTAATTATTCTTATTTTAATTTATAAAGTGGGGGATGTGCTACCAATACAACACAGAATCATGGTTATTGGTCAGGTGTTATAAGAGTGGGTATTGAAGATACAATTAACAGTGTATGCTAGGCTTATTCAAAGAAAACTTTGTATTTTTATCAGTTTGACTAATTTCGATCCTTGGGAAGCATGAAAGATGAAGAAAAAAGAAAAAGAAAAAAAACTAAAGGCTCGACGAAGCAGTGCCCTAGGTATCTTTCTCACAACAAATTAGGTTTCCCTAGGGGGAATGTTGCCATGCGAGACACTGATAAAAGTTATCAATATGCAGCTTAGGGAAAGCGGAGCGAGTGCAAGTTACAAAATATTGGCTATGGGCCGGCTAAGGCCTTTAGTTGATTGATGCGGGTAGCCCAATGGGTCCTCGCATTTCCTTCACCTTGCTGACGTCTATTTTAACGTTTGGCGTTCTATATTAATGCGTGGATTTATCCAAAATTCTAAATCAAATATTAGTTTTAATTTTTTTTCTCAGTAGTCCATTCTCTTCATTTTAGATGATGAAAGCATTCCATTACTAGTAACCCAAAGAAAGATGATCATTCTGAGATGTACGGTTTATGCTAATAAAGTATAAAATTGGTTCAATAAAATGCTAATTGAAGGTTGATGATGATTAAGAAAAATCAAATGATATATTAAAAAATAATTGAATTTTACGTTGATTATTATTAAATTGCATACTATAGACATATAAAAAACAAAAAAATATGATATAATATAAAATTTCAAAACTATAGAATAATATATTGAAGTTAGTTATTTGCATGTTTAAAAACATTATTGACGTCCAAAATGATTTTTTTTTTGAATTTTTAGAATATTTCAAGTCTAAAAATTCAGATTAATTTTTTATTTTTCGATCGGAACACATAAAGCAATTACAACTATCTAAAAAGTTTTCTCGCTTATATAAAATCTAGAAATCAAAATTATTTGTTTAAATGATTAAAACTCCTTTCGCTTGTGTCAATTCTCTTCAATTCAAAATGATTTTTAGCTTCATCTAAATGAAAAATTTTGAACTTAATTTATTTATACTTTTAGTACTCTGTATATATTGTAATGCATTCAAGCGTGCGCAAGTATGTATAGCTTTGTCCTTACGACAAATGCACTACATTCGCAAATTCTGGGTGAATAGTAAAGGGCCTGATTCTTGAAACCTCAGGTTTTGATTATTGAAACCAAAGGTCAAAACCTGAGCTTTTTGAGTATCTGTTAGCCAAGAAAAGTTTTGTAGTTGCTTGTATTGGCCCAACACAAACCAATTCATCACCGGATACCTAACGCTGCAAAATTTCACCTCCGGACATGTTGGCCCAGCAACCGCCTACCCTATCGGAAGAATTCAATATTTCAGCCTAGTCAATGGGGCCTTCACAAAACGAGGACCCTTTCAAAAATTGGTGTATGCCGTTAATGAGTACTCTATAGTAAAAGGTAAAACAGTAGTTCGCTCTGTGCTTTCCACATGGCTTCATGATTGCAACCAAACTTCTGTTCTCTCTCACATTGAAATGGAGATGCAAGCCACATGCTTCTTCCTACCAATGTTCATAGCTTTTCTAGATTGGGGCTCTGTGTCAAATTAGCTAAATATCCCTCCATCAAGTTTGTTTATGCAACAAGTGTATATAGTCAAGACTCAAGAGCACATTTCAGACACAATAAAAAACAATTAATCCTTTTCATTCATGCAGGACTACTTTCATCTCTGCAAGAACTCTGCCCAACCCTGTCAGTCGGCCTTAAAACTGATTTTAGGGAAGGGTTGGATAGAGTTTCCTCAATTTTAGTGGCAGAAGCTTTAGCATGTCACGAGGCTATTCGGGAAGCTAAGAGACGGGGCCTTAAATACTGTATAATCGAGACTGATGCAAAGTTAGTTGTTGATACTCTGAAGACAAATTCAGTGAATGTGCCCAAAGAGATCCAAGCTATCTTAAGGGCTATTAAGTTAGAGCTTCATCGAGATAGTAGCGTCAATTTTGTCTATGCCCTAGGAGTGCAAATAGGGTTGCAGACTGGGTATCAAAGGCAGCTAGATCATCAAATGTATCTATGGAATGGGTGAATCACCCTCCATCTGCCCATCTGCCCATCTGCCCATCAGAGGCTTTTGTGTTCTGACATTTCCATCATGAATGAAGTTCATTTTCACATAAATAAAATACTGGACTAATAGTACGAGTTAATTGAAATTTTGTTGGGCAATAATGGGCCAGAAGGAAAAATTGTAGTTGATGGCAAGTTTAAGTTTTAGTTCAGCATGTGCTGGCATTATGATTGTGAGCAGGGAATTGCGTTATTGACAGGCTAAGGGGCAATCAAGTATAAGAGGAAAATGATGAAAACAACTACTACCTGACAAAAGAAAAAGGATGTAACTTTAACTTCCCCAAAAATTGTCTATCAGAGACGAACCATTACTACTCAGTTAATTATATGTGTGCAAGTTGGTGCAATCACATGTATGCATTGAAGGCACTTCTACAGAAGGAAACAGCAGGTAGTATTTGGAAGCCTTGTTCCAGTGGGACTGGGAGTAGTCCTTCTCTTTTATAGATACGGTAATGGGTGAGATAATTTCTTTATTTCACACTGTTGATGGAGATTTTAGAAAGAATCTTCCCATCCTGGCTCATTTGTAATTATAATCCATCCAATTTGGGCAGATAGGTTCATCCTCTCTCTCATGTAATTAAGCATAAGAACTAGACCGATGGAAAATAGCACGCGTCCTTTCTTCTCTCCGTCAGTCTACTTTATCCTTTCCGTCCTCCCTTTGCTCATCTGTAGATGTATCATGTGTAGATTTGACTTTGCAAGTTTTTTTCTTTTCATTTGGTCAAGCTTTTGCCCGAGTAGGTGGCTCTATAATGTGGATTAAATGTGTATCAGAGGTAGTTTTCTCATAATCAATGTCTTTGCTTTGAGCAGGTGCTGGCGCTTTCACGCAGAAAATTAAAGGTGACTTAATGACGAGAACAAAGATAGAGAGGTTAATGATGGTTGCTACAATGCCAGCATCAGCAAATTCTTATGTCTACTAAGTTGTGCCAATGGCAGCATTCTAGATTCTATAAAGATGTTAATTAATATTGAGGTAAGATTGTTAATTAGTTCTCTTTCTAGTGCCAAAATAATAATAATAATAATAATAATTAGATGATAAATTCTTACATTTCTTAGATTGCAGGCACAAGTTAGGCTATAAATTATAACATATACTAAAAGCAAATAAGGTTTTATTGTAGCTAAGCTCTTATTACAGTGAAATCGAAACGACGTCATTTTGTGTCTTTTAGGCTCAGATCGACGCTGTTTTCTTAAGAAAAATAAATGATTTTTATCAATTTATCAGGATTTTATACTTTGATCCTCAAAGTTATTACTTTATATAAAATGATTCCTAATTTTAATTAATATTATCAAAAGGTCCCTATCATATTTTTTTTCGAGATGGGTTTTTTTCATTAATTATTTTTTAATCAAAATAACTTTTTTCTCATCATCAATGGTTACTTTTTATATTTTTAGAAATATTCATGAACTAAAATTAAATATTCTTCTAATATAAATTGATTAAACACCTCCTTCTAATTGGATTTTTTAAAAATAAATAATTAATTGCATATATTTTTTATCTATCAAAATAAAAAATATTCCTAAGAAATATTTAAATTCAATTATATATATATTAAATTAATTTTTTTTTTTACAATGAGTGTTAATTGATTTTTATTTTACATTTATATTTTGAAATTATTTAAAATATTAAAATATGGATATTATAAACTTACCCGTAATAACGCGCGGTTATTGAGCTAGTAGACTACTAAAACTAGATCAAATAAGAACTCAGTTTTAATATATGAAAATTGGTTCCACGATAGGAATCGTCATTGCCTAGAAAGACCGAAAAAAAAAAATGCACGATCCAGATGCCATCCTGAAAACCTTCTCTAAGCTTGGTGAGTTAAAAGCAGGACTGATGGTTGACAAGTGATAACAAGGAAAACATAGAGATGCTGTTTCTCAATATGGAATATCTGATCGATGAAGACATGTGCAATGCAAGCAAATGGCAACAGTTCTCAAATTTTGCAATATCTACTGTAGGTCTCTTATTAAAATTGGCTTTTATGATCAATTAATTATTCATAAATATTTTTTTTCTCAAATGACCTAGTGCCTCTGCATGCTGAGGTGAATTTGTAACAAGATTTCTGCTATGCCTACGTCTCCAGTTGTGATCATGCAATGAAAAGAGAGCATATTACCTCATCTATTTTGTCACACCGTAGTAATTATGAGCTTAGCTTATAAATGTGAATTAGAAACCCAGGTCCATGTAGAAATTTGAAACACTCCGCCCCTATAAATTTCACAAACAAGTGTGATTAGTAAGTTAACAAAAGATCCAAATGTCTTAATCCCATGAGTTAAGCAGCAATATTGATGCGAATCTCTATTGTTTAGGTGGATATAACCATGCTCTTATTGAGGTAGGACGTGAACTTAATTAATTTTGCTTTTGCTAAAACTGCACAATCCTGCTACCAAGGAGATAAATTTTGTCAAAAGAACTCTCATCAATAAGTCCAGAACGATTCTTTAACATAACAGAAAGATGAAAGTTCCAACCAAAGGAAAAGGCAAAACAAAAAAGAAAAGATGGCATTATAGAATTCCGTAGTGTATTTGCAGTTAGAAACATAAAGTCCATCCAGAAATCACTTGAAATTTGTCGCAGCACCGAATGTGGGCAATAAGATACTGAGATACATCAATCTGTCACTCTAAATATGATAATTCAGTATTAAATAGAAGAAAAGAAATTCTGATACGATTATTCCCATCCTAAACTGAAAATAATCCACAAAATCTTAAAGGACGAGAACATAGATTTTATACGAGGAAAGGTTCAAAATAATTAAAAATCTAGGCTGGTCTGGCAATCGGCATCTAGTGAAATTTAACAAAGCTGAGGTATTCGTCATTGACCCAACTATACTTTTCGATGAATGAATTGACTGTGGTTTCTGGAGGATATTGGTCTATGCTATCTTTCCAAACACTGACATCCTTCAAGTCCCTCATTACCTCCCACACACAGTTGTTGCACTTAAAACCTGCTCCAAGACTGATCATTAGTATTTTGTTACCTTTCTTAAGCCTCTGCTTGGCCTCCATGTAGGCTAAAACATACCAAAGGCCACCAGCCGATGTATTGCCAAATCGATGAAGTGCCATTCTAGCTGGCTCAAGATCATAATCACTAAGGCCTAAACTTTTCCCAACCTCATCAATAATTGCCCTGCCACCTGGGTGTATACAGAGATGGTCTACTCCAGTCTTCAGATTCAAGCCTGCTCCCATTTCTAGAAGGCTAGTTTTTTTGGTTTTCTTTTTTAGATGAGATGCATAAACATAGCGAAGCAATTCACTTAGTGGTAATACTTTAGGTGCTAAGACACGGAGATTCACAGCAAGAGCCTGAGCAGCAGATTTTTTAAGGCTTTTAGTAAGGAGAAAACCTTTGTACCCAAGGTCATCTGCTATTTGTATGCAGCATCTGTAGGCCTCGTCGTTTGAGCCAAGATGCGTTCGTACAAGATGTTTCAATCTGAAGATGGCTTGATGTTTTAAAGCGCTGTTGTTTGTGAAGAGCATTGAGCAACCTCCTGAACGGAACAGACAGTTCGAGAGCATCATGGATTTTTCTTTGCCCCGGTACCAATTTGGACCTATCGATTCTGTACTCACAACAATAGCGAACGCATTTTTGTATGACTTTAACAAGTGCTGCACCAGATCAATGGATACAATGCTTGCACTGCAGCCCATTCCAGAGAGGTTGAAAGTTTTGACGTCTGATCTCATCTTGTAACGATTAACTACTCGAGCCGCTAGAGAAGGTTCAGGAGAGAACAAAGAAACATTGACAACAAGTATGTCAATTTCTGATGGAGAAATTCCTGTTTTGGAAAAGAGCTTGTCGAGTGTGTCGAAGATGAGATCATCCATTTCTGAAATGGAGTCTTTCAGAGTAGGAGAATCTTCTTGGCCTGAGATAATGTTACTAGGGCCATAAGTTTCCTCACCAATGCCAGAACTAACAATAGTGTGTAAGAGAAACCTGTATTCTTCTAGCCCCAGGTTCTTATTTCTGAAGACGATTTTTGCACAAGTTTCTGTGTCAAGCTTCCTATACTCTGGAGCTTTATAGCACTCATAAGCCAGCATATAGCAGCAGGCTTCTCTCTTCAGAAAAACTAACTTACAAAAGCAGAAAATAATGAAGAAGAGAAGACAAAGTATCATGATGGGCTCCATTGAAAGGAAGAGAGTTAGAAGTTGAGCGTATATCAGAGCGGTTGAACTTTCCGTCTTTTAGAAGTTGAGTGTATATCAGAGGCGTTGAACTTTCTGTCTTTTTATAGTACCATTTGAAGTTCATGTAAGTTCTGTGCAACTCGAATGTGCGTGTCTATTTTCTTGAAGTAATGCAGTTTTCACCTAACAGCGATTAAGTTAAAATTTTGGATTCTTGAAAGTAAAAAAGCTCAACCACCTACATGTATTGGGCTATAGATATCTAGGTCAGAGCCATTTACTGGCAGCATGGCCTTTAATTCAGGTCTACATATATGGGCTAGAGAGTTGACATTTCCCCTATAACTTAGACAAGCCGAAACCATTCACCATATCACACGATCACAGATTTCTTTTGAAAGTGCAAAATTAACAAGAATAATTTTCGATGCGCTTGTAGGTGATTTTTTAAGGAATTAATTGTCCTTAATTTGTCCTGATCAGAACGGAAATTAAATCATCCCATATCTACAGAGAAATGTCATAGTAATGTTGTCGTTCCTTAACATAGTATGCTCTCAAAAGAAGAAAGGCCCCAGAAGTCAGGAGTTGAAAAATGCTTGCCCTCTCGACCGACTTTGGTGTTAAAGTATTTAAGGCTGATTTGAATCTCAATGTTCTAAATGGAGCACCGCTGTGTGTAGTTGTTGCTGCTGGTAGCAATGCTTGAACTTTGGTTGAGAGGCGGACAATACAACACCAGACCACCAGGCATAGCCAGGAGCATTGGTGGTACATCGGGTAGTTTATGCAAGCAGATGGACCTACCCTAGAGTTATTATTGATCGCAACCACACAGATTTGCAAATATCTTTAAGCCTATATTTTCTGCCGTGAACTCGAGATACTCGAAAATCCCAAGACTATTAATTGATAAGCGAAACCAAAATATCGAAAAAATTATAATGGTCAGGGCATCAAAAGCATTGCAGAGAATTTTTCAAATTGTTTGAATGACAGAAAACTGGTCTGCTGGTATACATCAACTTGTTGCACAGCCTTCCAGGATCTGAGATGGCCAGTGCAAAGCTGTCAGGCATTGATTTTTGATAACAATGGCAGGCTCAAAGCTGGTACATAGTTAAACAAATCCATGCGAATCACGTTGATAACAGCCTTTTTACAGCTAGAAACAATTAATACCATAAATGAGTTTGTTCAACTTGCAATTTTGTGTGAATGAGCAGGACAGAATTCTACAGGAGTCTCTTACAGATCCATGACCAATAGGCTTTGGAGTTGAAAAATGCAACTCCACACGCCAACAAATAAACACATCTGACCAAATTGGACAGAAGTCTCAGTCAAAGCTTCCTGGCCTCTACGGGGTCAATGACGATGTCAGGCCCAAGATCTTGGGTCTCATGATATTTCACCATGCAATTTGGGATCATGGGTGGCTTTTCTTTCTTTCTTTCTTTTTTTTTTTTTTTTTGAAAGTTCGATCAATATTTTAAAATAGAAAGAGCCAGCAAGAAAGTGGTTAAAAGAAAAAAAGTAGACAATTTAACTGACATCTTGTCAAAAACAAAGCTAAACTACACAGCAGAATATTTTGATTCGATCAGAGCTACGCAGATAAAAGTAAAATGACAATCAATATATCTAGCCTAATGCACTACTCTATGGAAAACCATCGAAAGAACACTATCCCAAACAAGGGTGGTGCCATTAAAAAAAAATACAAAGAAAGAAACAAAAAAGAAGAAGGCAGATAAAAGCAAATGCAGTGCATGACAATTGCATATTACACCACTTTCCTGGTTCCGAATTTTTGTATTCTTCATGTCTAGTTGTTAATTTAAATCATATCTGATGTTGCTGTTATCGTGCTTCACGGGCAGCTGACAGTGAAGGGGCTAATTCCGGTTTAATAAGATCTGAAGGAGATGCTTTGCTGAATGGAGCTCAACCATGCTATACTATTATAAGGTGTTGCGGAAGAATGTGTTTTCCATCCGAGTGAATATTTTTCCAACATGGACAATGGAGACTCCCTTAGATTCTCTGAAAGAAGTCCTACAATTAACCTGCACTGATGATGGTAGTTGGGTAGTTCTTTTTCCTCGTTACCCTATTTGTGTCTTCAGAATATATGTCTGAATTTTTTATCTGTTTTTTTTTTTTTTACCAACAAAAATATAAACTGAATTATGTTAAATCTCGCCCTATCCTACTAGGAGGGAGATGAATTGTGTCAAAAGAACTCCCATCAATAAGATCAATATAGCAGAGGTTGGAACTCGCCATATTGCTGAGGGTAGAAATTAAAAATAGGTCATTTTGAAATTTTTGTTAAGGAAAAAAAAAACGATGGGACAAATATAAATCATTAGATTTAGCTAAAGAAGACCCCAAGGCGTGGAATGCACGTCCCATATGCTAACGTGTTTCTCCTAGCCGAAAAAAAGGAAGGATAGCATGATATAAATTCATTGAGTACTTGCATTTAAAAACATCAAGCCCATGCAGAAATCATTTGAACTTTGTTGCAGCACCGAATGTGGGCAATTGGGCCATTAAGATACTGAGATACATCAATCTTTCACTCTAAATATGATAATTCAGGAATATTTAAAAAAAAGAAAGGATATTCTGATACGAATGTTCCCATCCTAAACTGAAAATGATTCCACAAAATCATAAAGGAAAGCAACATACATAGGTTTTATGCGAGGAAGGTTCAAAATAATGAAAAATCTAGGCAGGTCTGGCAATTGGCATCTAGTGAAATTTAACAAAGCTGAGATATTCATCATTGACCGGACTATACTTTTCGATGAATGGATTGACTGTGGTTTCTGGAGGATATTGCTCTATGCTGTCTTTCCAAACATTGGCATCCTTCAAGTCCCTCGTTACCTCCCACACACAGTTGTTGCAGTTAAAACCTGCACCAAGACTGATCATTAGTAATTTATTACCCCGCTTAAGCCTCTGCTTGGCTTCCATTTAGGCTAAAACATACCAAAGGCCACCAGCCGATGTATTGCCAAATCGATGAAGTGCCATTCTAGCTGGCTGAAGATCATAATCGCTAAGGCCTAGACTCTTGCCACTATCATCAATAATTGCCCTGCCACCTGGATGCATACAGAAATGGTCCACTCCAGTCTTAAGATTCAAGCCCGCTCCCATTTCTTGAAGATGGTGCTTTTTTTCTCTTTTGACGATGAGATACGTAAATATAGCGAAGCAGGCCACTTAGTGGTAATATTTTAGGTACTAAGACTCTGAAATTCACAGTAAAAGCCTGAGCAGCAGATTTCTTAAGGCTTCTATTAAGGAGAAAACCTTTGTAGCCAAGTTCATCTGTTACTTGTATGCAGCATTTGTAGGCCTCATTGATCGAGCCAAGATGGGTTCGTACAAGATGTTTCAATCTGAAGATGGCTTGGTGTTTTAAAGCACTGTTGTTTGTGAAGAGCATTGAGCAACCTCCTGAACGGAACAGACAGTTCGAGAGCATCATGGATTTTTCTTTGCTCCGGTACCAATTTGGATCTATCGATTCTATACTCACAACAATAGCGAATGCATTATTGTACGACTTGAACAAGTTCTGCACCAGATCAATGGATACAATGCTTGCACTGCAGCCCATTCCAGAGAGGTTGAAAGTTTTGACGTCTGATCTCATCTTGTAACGATTAACTACTCGAGCTGCTAGGGAAGGTTCAGGAGAGAACAAAGAAACATTGACAACAAGTATGTCAATTTCTGATGGAGGAATTCCTGTTTTGGCAAAGAGCTTGTCGAGTGTGTCGAAGATGAGATCATCCATTCTGAAATGGTGTCTTTTAAAGTAGAAGAACCTTCTTGGCCTGAGATAATGTTTCTAGGGCCATACGTTTCCTCACCAATGCCAGAACTAACAATAACTTGTACGAGAAATTTGTATTCTTCTAGCCCCAGGTTCTTACTTCTGAGACGATTTTTGCACAAGTTTCTGTGTCAAGCTTCCTATCCTCTGGAGCTTTGTAGCACTCATAAGCCAGCATGTAGCAGCAGGCTTCTCTCTTTAGAAAAACCAACTTACAAAGGCAGAAAATAATGAGGATGAGAAGACAATATATCATGATTGGCTCCATGAGAGGAAGAGAGTTTTAGATGTTGAGTGTCTATACATCAGAGGTGTTGAGCTTGTGTCTTTTTATAGCACAATTCGAAGTTCATGCAAATTCTATGCAACTCAACATGTGCCTGTCCATCTACTTTCTGTACTAAAGGTTTCACCAAATAGGGATGAAGTGCAAATTTTGGATTGCTGAAAAAATAATTTCCCAACTACCTCCATGTATTGTGAAAGGCTTTAAAGTTAACTACCACAAGACTTGTCTTTGGCTGCAAATATGTAGAAGCCGAAAATAAGTGTTTTTCTTGTAGCTGTTGTAGTAGATATCTAGGCCAGAGCCACTTATTCGGTGGCACGGCCTATGGTACAAGAAAACATAAATCCCACCACAAGCTGAAACCATTTTCAATTTCACATGTAGTAGATAAGCAACTAAGTTTGTTTCTTGTATTCCTATATAAGGCTCTCTAGTTGATTCAAATAAAATCATCCCTTTCATAGCATCTGTTTTGTTGTTGTGTGAAATATCTTTTACTCTATGTTTTTCTGCAATTTGGTATCAGAGCCAGGATGAGTGATCTTCAAGTCGTTAGCAGAATTAAAAAGCTCAACAATCCAAACTACAAGTCTTGGTCGACATGCATGCAATCTTATTTCCAAGGCCAAGATTTGTGGGAAGTTGTCAATGGAAGTGAAGTTACACAACCAGGAGCAGAGGATGTAAATGGTACACTGCGAAAGTGGAAGATAAAGATAGGCAAGGCGATGATAACTTTAAAGATTATGATTGAAGAAGATGTGCTAGAGCACATTCAGCATGCTGAAAACCCCAAAGAGGGTTGGGATACGTTAGCCATACCTTTCTCAAATTAAAAAAGAATAACACAAGGCTTCAACTTCTAGAGAGCACACTACCATCCATAGCACAACACGACATGACGATCACTTAATACTTTCACAAGGTGAAGTCACTATGCCTCAAACTTTTCGAGTTAGATCCTAAAGCTCCAATCGAAGAAACCAGGATGAAGAGAATAATTATTCATGGTTTGAGACCCGAATATAGAAGCTTTGTTATTGCAGTATAGGAATGGCAAAGGGAACCATCACTTGTTGAATTCAAAAATTTGCTTGCTACTTAGGAAGCCTTAGCCAAGCAAATGGGAGGATTTTCGCTGAAGGACAAAGAGGAAGCACTCTACATCAACAAAAGCAGATGGAATTCCAAGCAGCACAACATTGGTAGAGATCTAAAACGAATAAGGACAGGGAGAAAACTCATCAAGGCGAAGGGGGCACCTATTCAGGGGGAGCTTTGAAGAATTATGGCAACAGCAAAATGTTTGAATAAAAGTGCTACAATTACAAGAAAAAGGGTCATATGGAAAGAGCTTGCTAGTTCAAGAAAAAGACTTTGGAGAGTAATGCTGCTACTTCTTAAAATGAAGACAGCAAATGAGGAGTTAGCTCTTGCAACAACAATGTCTGAACAAATTGATTATGAGAAAGATTGAATTGTTGACTCGAGCTACTTAAACCATATGATAAGTAATAAAGAGAAGTTGTAGAGTTTGTTAAGAGTATAAAGGAAGCCGAGTGGTGGTGACAGGCAACAATTCAAAGTTATCGATAGCTCACATTGGTAATATAATAGTCTTGCCTCAATATAGTGCTAATAAGGCACACTTCAAAATGTCTATTATGTTCCTAGTATGAAGAAAAATCATTTATCGGTGGCATGATTTACGTCTTTAGGCCATTTTGTTCTATTTGATTCGCAAGATGTGAAGGTACTTCGCAACCTTACGGTTATAGGAGAGCCAGTGATAGAGGGGCAAAGATAAAAATCAGTTCATGTAATGACAGTAGAAATCACATAGACAATACAAGGAAGAACGAGACAACAGACTTGTGGTACATGCGGTTAAGTTGCATTAGCTATTCCAAGCTAGATGTGATGCTGAAAGGACTTCCTCAACTTGAAATAAGAACAGACACAATCTGTGCAGGATGTCAATACAAGAAAGCATATCAATTGTTGTATGAAGAGTCTAAAATTAAAGCAAAGGAACCATTAAAGTTAATTCACTCTAATGTCTTCGGACCTATTAAGCAAGTCTCTATCAGTGGGATGAAGTACATGATAATTTTTATTGATGACTTTTCTAGGTATGTATGGGTTCAGTTTATGAAGAAAAAATCTGAAACTTTTTCAAAGTTCAAAGAGATAGCAGAAGTTGAAGTTGGTAAGAAAATTTATTGTCTGTGCACTTACAATGAAAGAGAGTATACCTTAGACAATTTTCTTAATTTCCTATAAGAGTGTCGAATCTACTAGTAATTCACATGTGCTAACACTCTATAAAAAAATACATAGCAGAAAGAAATCATAGGCGCGCGATCAAAATATGTCAGAGTATGCTGCATGCAAAAAATATTACAGGACAATTTTGGGCAGAAGCAATGAAGACTATACCCTTTGTGATCAATAGGCTTCCTTAACAAAGGTGATGTTTTCTTTCATAAATTATGGAACATGAAACCTACAATTAGCTATTTTTTTTTGTTTTTGATTGTGTATGCTATGTATTTGTACCTAATCATTTACATAGCAAGATTGATAAAAAGGCTATTAGATGTATCTTTGTGGTATATAACAGTTAAAGGAAAAGGTGCAGATGTTGTGACCCTACAACTGGAAAATGCTACATATCTAGGAATGTGATGCTTGATGAAGCATCTTCTTGATGATCTTTAGAAAAGGAGATGTTACCAAACTTAGATATTTTTAAAGATGAGTTCAAATTTGCTCAAATCTTGTTGAGTTTAGGTGAAGATGAAAATATTGATGATAATGATCATGTTGAAGAAGGCTTAGCTCAAGATCCTCGACAAACTAGTGTGTATCAATAACCGAGCAAAAAAGATGAGCCTAGTGAAGTAGAAGCACCTACTCCACCAAGAAGATCAATAAGAGTCAAAAAGCTAAATCCCAAATATGCAACGCCGCTATAATGGAGGAAGTAGATGCAATAGAACCAAAGATATTTGAGGAAGCATTTTAGAATCAAGAATGGACTAAATCAATGAAAGGAGAAATTTCGCGCTATAACGAAATCAAACTTGAGAGATCATGCCAAAGCCAAGTGATGTGAAGCCTATTTCTTGTAAATAGGATTATAAAATAAAGCATCACACGGATGGCTCGATTGAGAGACACTAGGCTCGTCCGGTAGCTCGAGGGTTCTCTCAACAATATGGACTAGACTATGATAAAATGTTTAGTCCAGCTTGCAAAGCTTACAACCGTAGAAGTCTTATCGGGACTTGCAGCTAGCAAAGGCTGGAACTTATGGTAGGTGGAAATGAAGAATGCATTTCTACATGAAGAATTGGATTGAGAGATCTACATGACTTAACCAATAGGTTTTCAAAATCAAGATCATTCTAAATATATGTGTAAGATTCAAAAGGCGCTCTATGGATTAAAGTAAGCATCGAGGGCTTGGTATGGTAAGATTACCGAATTTTTTATTCATAATAGTTATTCCGTGATACATGCGAATTCTAGTTTGTTTGTCAAAGTAAATGAAGGGAAACTAGCTATTGTGCCGATGTATGCGGATTATTTAATCATAACAAGCAATTGCGAAGAAGAATTCCACCAAACGAAGAAGAATTTATCAATTCATTTTCAAATAAAAGAGCTTGATAGCTGAAGCACTTTGTTTGTCTAGCAGCTTGATTAAACTAAAGAAGGAATATTCTCCATCAACAAAAATAGTCTAAAGAATTATTGAAGAAGGTTGGAATGCTTGAGTGGAAGCCAATTTCGATCCAATGGAGCCCAATGCCAAAATATGTGCCCATGAAGGGAGAAATTTGGAAGATGCAACAATGTATTAACAATTGGTGGGTAGTTTGATCTACTTGACTTTAACATATTGGAGGTGCTAGTTCTTGATAAGAATTTTTATTAAAATTATGGTGATCTGTCCCCGAAGTCAAGAGTTGAGAAATGAACTCTCTCGTCAAAATTTATATATAGTTAATATTTAATTAAGACTCATTTTGAACCTCAACGTTCTATATAGAGCAATACCACGAGTACATCGAGTAGTTTATGCAAGCGGATGGATCTACCCTATTAACTTGACAAGAAGCATGAGTTATCATTAATCACAATCATACATATCTAGAAAATATAGTTAAATTTTCTATGTTTTGCCATGAAATTGAGTTGAATGCTTGAATCTTAAGCTTGTAAATTGATAAATGGAACAAAAATATCAAAGTTTTTGAAGGCTAGAGCATCAAAAGCATTGTAGAATTTTCCAAATTATTTTAATTAATAATTACGGAGAACTGGTGTATATCTACTTGTTGCACGACCTTTCAAGATTTGGAATGACTAGGGCAAAGTCGTCAAACAATTTTTGGATCCTTAAGAGTATTCCGGACATAAAGATCCATACTAATCTCTTGTTGTTCTATCGATTGAACAAGATGAAACAATTGTCCGCAGAATTTTTTACATATATAAAGACTTAAATCCGAAACAACTTACTTAAGCGATTAGAGTTTCTTCAACTCAACCTAACCCTCTTAAGTAAAGTCGTCAAACATTCATAAGAAGGGCAACCGCAAAAATAAAAAATAAAAAATAAAAAAAATAAAAATAAAAATTATTGAATAAATCTTTGATTTTCATATCGATAAATGCCTTTTTATAGATATAAACAATAAATACCGTAAATGAGGTTGATCAAGTTGCTATTTTGTGTGAAGTAAACTAACATACTTTTTTTCCCTCTCCATGGTATTTTTAAAACTATTTCCATAAACAAGATTTTTAAAAAATTTAATTATTTAAATAGGGTATTTTTTTTCCTCACATAAGTACCCAATTAAAAAATAACTAATATGACATGGAAATAGAAAATAATGAAAAGCTTTTTTTTTTTTTTGGTAGAAAGCAAAAGGATGGATTAATGTTAAAAATTTATCTAAAAATCTAAAAATTTTATATTTTTCTCTTTTCAAATGCTAACCTCCTTCAAAATACAATATTCAATGTATTCATAAAATTTAAGTATCAATAAATGGTTATTCAACACATAATAATGCTATTGCCATTCTCGATTGTTAATTGATTTTCAAATATGAATGTCATGACTAGTGTATGAATATGTTTTATCAAAGAAATTCTAGAATTTTGAAGTAATTTCTGGAAATTGGAATATCTTTCAAAAATTGCCTTATTTTTTCCAAAACCTAAAGCAAAATTTCCAAAATTGTTGCAGTTTTTCAATAAAATAAACAATTTTCCAGAATTGCTTCAACTTTCCAGAAATTGATGCAATTTTCTATGGTTGCTCTTAATTCTCCCAAAGATACAACATGCTTCAAAAATCAATTATGTAAATTAATTTATAATTATTACAAATACAACCAATTATGCATGTTAATTAACTGACAAAGATGATGACATTCTTAGTGAAGCTAATTAAGATATAAAAAAAAAGATGATTTTAGAGAAGTAAAAGGAAATTAAGATTATATTCCTCCCTAAATTAATTGTCTGCCACTTTGGAAATTTAAGATCTAGTGTTTTATATAGCAGCTAAATTCTTTTATTTATTTTCTTCTAATACTTAATTTTTTTTAAAAAAATGGATTTAAGAAGTTTAAACTGAAGTGTCTTTAACACTTAAAAAAAGTGGAATAAAGAAAGTTGAGAAAGTAGAAAAATATTGCCTATTTGCCATATAATATATTTTATTAAGGATTTGGTGCTTAAGTGGGAAAAATGTATTTGGGTTTGATAATTAAGTTTTTTTTTAAAAAATCTCTTTAGAGAATTAAGTTTTAAAACTACCATTCTTTAAGGGGAAAAAAATGGAGACTAAAGTCACATTGGAAAACATAAAAAAATGGCAACGTATAAATTTCATGTTTGTCTTGGTGGAGGATTGGTCCCGCATAGAACATCAACTACAAAAGCCCAACACCACTCGAGCTCAAGCAAAATCAAAACAGGCCCAACGCTCGGCTCATAAAGTTTCAACAAGTCTCTTACAGCCCTGTTCATGACCCCTTAAGCACACACCAACAGATTATCAACGGGAGCGTAGCTAAGTTTCCTGTCTTGATCCGATTCGTTTTCTTTTTCGTTTTTTTCTCCTGATTTGAGTATTTATTGATGTTTCCTACTTTATTATTTATCGCGATTCATGGGCTCACAAATTTGACCAGATTTGGTCACAGGAGTCTTATTCACAACTGCCTGGACCTTAACTGAAGGAATGGTGATGGCAGGCCCAATATCTTGGGTCTCTTGAAATGTCTCGTGCCATTTCAAATCTTGGAAAATCATAAAAAAAAAATTTTAAAATTGAAAATTATACATATGAAAAAAATATCCCCCTTAGATTTAGCTAAAGAAAATCTAAGGACTTGAAATGCACGTTCTCATATATATGCTAATATGTTTCTTCCGGTCGTTCCCCAATCAAAAAGGAAAGAGAGCATAATATAAATTCAGGGAGCTGCATTTGCAATTAAAAATATTAGGCAGAAATCATCTGAACTTTGTTGCAGCACCGAATGTGGACTCTGAGCATTAAGATACGATTCTGCAAAATATTTTTCTTCTTTTTTAATATTTGGTTTCAAAAAAAGAAAAAAAAACCTTACGGAACGAAAAACATCCACTAATTATTTCCAAGTAGTTTTCGTACCCAATCAAACATTGAAAAAGAAAATATTTTCTAAACATAAGTTATTTTACATGAAACGAGTACATAAATCTTTCACCCTAACTATGATAATTCAATAAGTAAAAAAGAAGAAGAAGCAATATCATAAAGAAAAGCAACATAGAAATTATGCGAGGAAGGTTCAAAAGAATGAAAAATCTAGGCAGGTCTATAATCTAGTTAAACCTAACAAAGCTGAGATATTCGTCATTGATCCAACTATACTTTTCGATGAATGGACTGACTCTGGTTTCGGGAGGATATTGGTCTATGCTGTCTTTCCAGACATTAACACCTGTCAGGTCCCTCATTACCTCCCACACACAGTTGTTGCACTTAAAACCTGCACCGAGACTCATCATTAGTATTTTATTACCTTTCTTAAGCCTCTGCTTAGCCTCCAAGTAGGCTAGAGCATACCAAATGCCAGCAGTTGATGTATTGCCAAATCGATGAAGTGCCATTCTAGATGGCTCAAGATCACAATCACTAAGGCCTAAACTCTTGCCGACATCGTCAATAATTGCCCTTCCACCTGGGTGTATACAGAAATGGTCCACTCCAGTCTTCAGATTCAAGCCTGCTCCCATTTCTTGAAGACTGGTGCTTTTACTTCTCTTTTGTAGATGAGATACATAAATATAGCGAAGTAGTTCACTTAGCGGTAATATTTTAGGTACTAAGACTCGGAGATTAACAGCAAGAGCCTGAGCAGCAGATTTTCTAATGTTTCTATTAAGGAGAACACCTTTGTAGCCAAGGTCATCTTCTACTCGCATGCAGCATCCGTAGGCCTCGTCGTTGGAGCCAAGATGAGTACGTACGAGATGTTTCAATCTGAACATGGCTTGATGTTTTAACGAGCTTCTGTTTGTAAAGAGCATCGAGCAACCTCCTGAACGGAACAGACAGTTTGAGAGCATCATGGATCTTTGTTTGCCTCCGTACCAATTTGGACCTATTGATTCTGTACTCACAACAATAGCGAATGCATTCTTGTATGACTTGAACAAGTTCTGCACCAGATCAATGGATATAATGCTTGCACTGCAGCCCATTCCAGAGAGGTTGAAAGTTTTAATGTCTGATCTCATCTTGTAATGATGAACTACTCGAGCAGATAGAGAAGGCGCAGGAGAGAATAAAGCAACATTGACAACAAGTATGTCAATTTCTGATGGAGAAATTCCGGTTTTGGCAAAGAGCTTGTCAAGTGAGTCAAAGATGATATCATCCATTTCCGTAATGGAATCTTTCAGAGTTGGGGAATCTTCCTGGCCTGAGATAATGTTTCTAGGGACATACGTTCCTTCACCAAGGCCAGAACTAACAATAGTATGAAAGAGAAACTTGTATTCTTCTATGCCCAGGTGCTTATTTCTTAAGACGATTTTTGCACAAGTATCTGTGTCAAGCTTCCTATCCTCTGAAGGTTTGTAGCACTCATAAGCCAGCATATAACAGCAGGCTTCTCTCTTAGAAAAAAACAACTTACGAAGGCAGAAAGTAATGAAGAAGAGAAGACAAAATATCATGATTTGCTGCTCCATTGCGATTTGGGAAGATGAGAGTTTTTATTGTTGAGTGTGTATGTATAGAAGGGGTTGAAACTTACAATTTGAAGTTATGCAAGTTCTATGCAACTCGAGATGTGCATATGCTTATTCTCTTTTCTACATTTTTTGTCCAATATATAGGGATCATGAAGTAAAAATTTGGAGTGTTGAAAGAACAATTCTGGCTGCTTAGTTATAAAGTACTGTGAATATTGACCAACGACAACAGGAGAAAATTTTTTAACTTTTTTTTTCATTGTCTGCAATTAAATTATATTGGTTTGTTGACTAATCTCAAACCACATTAAAAGAAAGCACGCAAGATATATTAATCCATAAAATAAGGACACAGTGTTTTGTATTTAGAGATTTTAAGATATATATATATATATATATATATATATATATATATATATATATATATGGTGATTTTACTAGTTTCATAGGTGTTTTGTGTTGTTTGAAATTAACTAATTGAATAATAAAATTTAATTGGAACTAAAAAAGATTAAAGACAAAAAAAAAAAAAAAACTTTTAGACTTTTGACCAATAGCTTAGAGTGTTTTATAACCAATTAATTATTATTTTTCAACTACCTCTGTGAATTGTTGCAAACTTCAAAATTGTATTCATAGTCGAAGAATAAGAGTTATATTTGATTTTTAAATAAATTAAAAAATATTTATTATGATATTTTATTTGATTTTTTTTATTTATCCATAAAATATAGTTGAATGAAAACAATAAAGACTTAATTTTTAATTAAGAGCAAATAGTAAAATAAAATAATTATTTTTTAAGTAAGCAATCAATAATCAATATCTAGGCCGAGAGCCATTTATTCCGGGCAAGACGTATATAGTACAGGATCAAATAAATTCGTGTGGGCTAAATTCTCACTATATATATACGCACACACACATGTACATACACATACGTGTGTGTGTGGGCCAGAGAATTGACATTTTGCGCCACAGAAGGGAAACCAGTCACGCGCGCATAGATTTTTGTGGTAGTACAAAATGACTTAGAAAGATTTTACAGGCGATTGTTTATAGCGCTGTTCTCAATGTGAAAATTAGATCCCATCTAGTAGCTTCAAAGTAATTTTCTAATTACTTCACCTAGCAATGGCTAGCTACTATGCTCCTCAAAGGAACACTAATTACTCGAGGTGACTATTTAAAGGTTATTGACAAGAATTTTGATTAAGAATGTGTTTGCTTTGTGAAAATTATTTTTTAGAAATATGTTTCATTTATTTATTTTATAATTCAAACATGCATTGGAAAATTATTCCCAAGAAAATATTCTTCATTAATATTATTTTGAAGGAAAATATTTTAAATGTATGAATGATAGAAAAAATATATATATATATATTCGTTCATGATATTATTTATTAATAGAATTATCACTTGATCATTTTAACAATCTCTATGTTATCACCATGTTATCATTATTCTATTACGATAACCATCATTTTATAATTATTATCATCATCACCCTTCCAATTTTATTACCATGATTATTTTTACTATTATCAATAAAAAATAATTCTTTTTTTTTTTTTTGACAAATTCTTTTCCTTAATGGATCCAAATCAATCAAAATTAATTATTTTTCAAAAAAATATTCTGTAGAAAAATATTTATTGTCCAATAACATGTTGTCGGGAGAACTAAGCACCATAAATTTATGATGAAAGCCCCTAGAAATGAAGAGTAGAGAAAGACTTGCCGCGCTCTCTCGACCGACTTTATAGTTGAGAAGTCATTTGAATCTCATCGTTCTATATGGAGCTCCACAGGTGCACCGGGCTGTTCATGCAAGCGGATGGATCTACCCTATTGACTTGACAAGAAGCATGAGCTATTAATTACTGAGATCTCCAAACATCTTTAAATTTCTATGTTATGCCATGTGAACTTGGGTTGAATATGTGGATCCTAAGCTTATTAATCGATAAATGAAAGCTTGCATTGTAGAACTTTTCAAATATTATTGTAATCAATAGTCACCGAAAACCGGTATCTATCTATGAATTGTGCACAGCCTTCCAGGATCTGAGATGGCTAATGCAAAGCCATATATCAAACAGCTGATAACAGTGATACCCATCAGCGATTCTGGCAGACAATTTTTGCGTATCACACTATCACATTGATCACAGCCTTTTTTAGTAGATAGAAACAATAAATACCATAGATGAGGCTGATCAATTAAGTTGCAATTTTGTGTCAGGAAAATTAAGGAGTAGGACAGAAGTCTACAACAACCCGTTTCATGACCACTCAAGCACTTTTCCTATGTTCAAGTACAATTCTTGCATTAGATATGGAAAAGGGCAACACCACACACCTATAGATAAGCAGCTGTTGGAGTAATTTGCTACGTGGATAAAGAAAGAAAGAATTTCTCACAGTACGAAAGAACAACAAAGAATTGATCTTTCTGGATTTAATGTTATGTGTCAATCTTTCAATATATATTATAAATATTCATATATTAAATCTATCAAAAGGTTGACTACGAGGATCTACTGTTTTAATTTATTATGCTATAAAAATTCATTTTTATAAACATTTTGAAGGAGAGTATTAATTTGTTTCCAATGTCTGACAGATTCCCTTTCTTTTCTTTCAATATAAAGCACTACACGGTGTATGAATAATTTTTTTAATATAAAATTTTCATATATAGACATGTATTGCAGTTACTTTTTTCAGTCAATCATTTCAAATACGTAAGAGATCTATATTTTACACATAAGTTATATAGAGATATGGTAATAAAATTTTGTTGGTAAATAATTTTCTCACAAGTAATTATTCATGGTTTCCTGCTTTGTTATTTATTACCATTCATGGATTCACGCACCTGTCCAAATTAGGTCATAGAAGTCTCATTCACGACTTGCTGGCCTCTACTGGGTGAATGGTGATGGCAGGGCCAACATCTTGGGTCTGTTGTTGAAAAAGAAATAAACGAAGAAAAAGGCAACTGCCGCAGGATCCGATTGGGGGAGCCTCGAGCATACAGTATTATGAAAAACATTAAAATAGGTGGGGGTTTTTTTTTCTGTTTATAGATTATTCACCTACGCTGAATTTATTGTGGATGAAAACTCCATCTTACTGTGCTGCATTTCTTCATGCATGTCAGCCCTTTTTCTTTGTTTTGTTTTATCTGCTTCGTTGGTTTTTTCAATACTCATGCAAAAGTCCATTTTTCTTTTTCTCTTGCACATGTTTTTGTTCCGATTGTCAATTTAACACACTTATATTGTTTATTTAATTATTATTATTATTCCACTTAATGGTGATATCAAGTTACCTTTTTACCCTTGCATTCTACACCTTTTTTTCTTCTTTTTTTTTGACTTTTTTTGTAACTTGCTCCTTGCTCAGAACAACGCTCAACAATGATGCTTCGGCTACCAACACCCACCCCCCCAAGGCGGCGTCAATTTAGTTATTTTCACCTTTTGTTTTGGTCCTATAATGTTTTTATTTGGTTTCTTAAATTTTCAAATGTTTTAAATGATCCTAAATTATATATAATTAATTTAAAATATATTTAATAAAAATTAAATATTTTTAAGAGAGAGTGAATATTATAATAGTTAATATGATTTAAAATTATCTTAATTAAGAAGATAATTTTATATGGTTATCCAAAATAAAATTTTAATTTTTTATTAATTTAAAATATTTAAAATGATCCTAAGTTATATATAATTAATTTGAAATATATTTAACAAAAATTAATATTTTAATAGAGAATGGATATTACAATAGTTAATATGATTTAAAGTTGTGTTAATTAATGAAATAATTTATATAGTTATTCAAAATAGAATCTAATTTTTTTATTAATTTTAGAATATATTTAAAAGATATTTATTATTGTATTATAAAATTTTAATTTAAAATATTCGCGTTTCATGTTTTATATTTGTGTTTTATGGGAAGAGGAGAGAGACAAACTTCATAGCCGATGAAATTTCCAATTAGATGGATGCAATCGATTAAAATTCTTGCACACGCGGCGCCTTCTTCCAATGCTTTCATGAAGTAGATAGGACATTTTCTCCCAAAGTTCCACACACATCACCATCTTTTGTAACAAGTCATGGATATCTCTGACAGGAGGTGGCTGTTATATGGGCTGGGAACACCAGAGTAAATTGGTGTTTCAATTATTTTGCAGACACATAACCGATTATCTACAGGCATAGCATGTTTGGACAACGATGTCAACACAGCTATTTTGTAATAACAATCAAAATTGGCAAGGCCTCATGAACGTCACACACCCCAGCAACCGCCCTCTCTCTCTCTCATACATACATACATATATATGTGTATATATATGTATGTTTATTATGTTTACAAATAATGAAAATATTTTCAGATTAATTTTCATGTAAAATAAAATTAACACTATTGGATCAACATGTTTCTCTCTGTATCTTAAGTGCAATATTCTAAACAATTCCTTTTCTCTTGACGATCCAATGGGAACATGAAAAAAAATCATGTAACAGAACAAACTTGGCCATATTTAATTCTGTGCAGGTCGGTACTTCAGCATGCTTTAAAATATATTTAACAAAGATTAAATATTTTTAATAAAGAATGGATATTGCAATAGCTAACATGATTTAAATTATTTTTAATTAATGAGATAACTTTATACGGTTACCCAAAATAGAATCTAATTTTTTTATATTAATTTTGGAACATATTTAAAAGGTATTCATTATTGTTTATAAAAAATTAGTTTAAAATATTTGTGTTTCAAGCTTTATATTTTTGAATTTGTGTATTTTGTTTAGATTTATAATTTAATTTTGCTTATTGAATTATTTAAAATTATTTTATAAATTTTATTTTAATATTTTATTAGATTGAATAGTTAAATAATTTTTTTAAGGTATCGCAAAGAAACCATTAAAATTTTAAAAGTAAGAATAATAATATTTAAGAGTGTAAGCAAATGATCATTATTAACAAAAATAAAAAATGTGAACTTATTACTATTACTAATTAACTAAAATGAAAACAAAATCATTGTTCACACTATGTTCACTATCTCTTATTTAACTATTCATTTACTGCACGTTGTTTCTAAAATCACATTTTAATCACTCTAAACTTATATTTTTTTACCCAAAAAATATGCAATTTTTCCCTGCATGCTAAGAGGAGAGAGAAAAAAAGAGAGACAAGAGGAGAGAAAGAGGGACAGTGAAGCCCATTCCGGCTATCTTGACGGTCAATTTTACTACCATTTTGTTCACTTCGAAGAATAGAATTCATTTATAGTGGTGACAAGCTATGAGATTTTAGGGAGAAGTAAATCGAGATTCAAAAATATTTTGATTTGAATTTTCATGTTTTTTTTTTTTTTTTACGTTAAAATTAGTTTTGATGTTTTAAAAAGGTTTGATTACGTTTTTTTAATGAGATTTTATGGTGTTTTTTTTTTTTTTTTTGACAAAAATAGGGATGAATTTAGTTTTGAAAGGTCGAAAATTAAAAAACCCAACTTTTCAACGAAATCAACTATATTGGAAGTTGCAGAGTTCGTCGAAAAAATAAACTAATCAATTTTTATTTTGCCCAAGCCCAGTGCATGGGCCTAGTCCTCTTTTTTCTCAATTTTTTTAATTAAGAAGTTTTAAGCAAAAAATTATGAAACATGGAACATTGTTGTTTGTGTTTTTCGCACAGCGTGGCAAGAATAAAATATATATACTGATTTTTTATATTTTAAAATTAACCTATATTTTATATTGTATTACTCTTACTATTTACTTTTTTTTAAAAAAAATTTTATGAAAATTCTCATTCAATTAATAATTTTTTATATAAAATTTTATTTATTGATAAATATGGTTAATTTTTCTCTAAATTTGAATTTTAGAATAAAATTTTAAAACACGATTTTTTTTCTATTTTTTTTAAAATAAATTGATATAATATATATTATGATTTTTTTTAGAATATATATATATGCAATTATAATTATTTTAATCTAAAAGGTTAAAAATATATTTCAAATAATTTATTTCCGTCCATTGAGTATTGTTAAGACGTATAAAAAATAACTATTGAATCATCGATTTTATTAAAAATTAATTATACGGGTATGCGGGTTGACCCATAGTTGATTCAAGTTGGTAACCCGTTTTAACTGTTGTTTGGCAGCCTTTTTTACCTTTTTTGGTTTTTTTCTTGTTCTGTCGAGATCCATGCTCTGTCAATGTTTTCTTTTAGAAAGATGATGAAGATGATGGGAGCTTAGTTTATTTTTTGATAGGGGAAGAGAAGGGTAGTGGTTTTTGTTTTTTTTTTTTTTTTCCTTTGGGTGGAGAGATGAGTGGGAAGGGATGATGAAGATGATGAGAGCTTAGTTTATTTTTTGGTAGAGGAAGGGAAGGCCCGAAGGGTAGTGGTTTTATTTTCTTTGGGTGGAGAGATGAGTGGAAGGCAAAGGTTTTTTTTTTCATGTGTTTTTGGCAGGGGTAGGGTGATAGTTGTGAGGCTCCTTTAAAAATGAAGGAAAATGGTCTTTATATATGTTTTTTTTTTAAGACTTGGGATAAAATCAATTCAAGTCCTTCTTTGGATTATTTTTTTCAATTTCAATAGACATGTTTTTAGTTGTCTTCAATAAACTCATTAATTAAAATTATTTAATCCATATTCTCTTGATTTTTTTTTTTAATTTTACACTAATTAATTCTTAATCAAAATTTTTGATTTTTGATTTTTTTATCAATTTCCAATTACATCTCTAATTGAAGTTACTTGGCCTTTCACATCATTTTTATTGGATCCCAAAACATCTTCTTAATTTTTCTCATTCTTTTCTTCTCTTTTTTTTTTTTAAATTAAAAATGGAAAATAGTTCTAAGAAATTAAAATTTTAAAAATTTATAAAAATGCCTAAAGATTAAGAAAAAGACCAAATATGCAACATTTTTTTTTTAATTTTTGAATTTCTCTCTTTTTTTTCATATGAAAATAAACGAGGTAAAAAATGAGTTATGACATCCGGTGCCAAAACGTTCAACTTTACATAAAAAAATTATTTCGTTAATTCAACTCAATTATTTTGATTTTATGAATTACGCATAAACTATTATTATATAAATAAGCTAATTGGTTGTTTTATTGACCTAGAAATAGCACTGCTAGACTCAACCGGTTGGCTATTTTGATTTAAAGATTCAAAATTTATCAAGTTAAAAACTTTGATAAATTAAGAGTGATGATAACCTTTTTAAAAAAAAAACCGTATTCAAATCTGCAATTTTTTATGATCAACAAGCTTTTAAAAAATAAATTTTATATTCTATCTCTATTGTTTATGCACATTAATAAGCTCAAAAATATTGATTTATATCATTAACCTTGATAATCTTTAATTAAATCGCAAAAAACTTAGTCTTACGCTTTTTATTTCTAAGCATTTTATTTAGTTTTCGCTACACAATTTTTTTAAATTAAATCTTCATCATATAATCTTCTAAAGATTGATCACATCCAATAACAAAGAAAAGACAAAAAAAAAAAAAAAAAGAATTTTGTTTTTTAACAATTTGGGGAATGGAAGCTGAATTTCCTTTTGATTATCCCCGAAAAGAGCTTTCCCTTTTTTAATCCATTTTTAAAAATCTAAAAAAAAATAGAAAGTTGAAAAAAAAAAAGGCTTTCCAACTCTAACAATTTTAAAGACGATAATTTGGTTCTGACAAACGAGATTTATATAATTATTTTTTTATGGGACAACATTCTAAGCTTAACCATTTTTTTCCTAGAGGAATTCTAGGGGCAGTTCTTTGACAGCCACCAGCAACAATCTTACCAAATCAGAGTCCACGTTGCTAGTAATTTAACAAAGATTACTGGACAACCGGTCAAATGGGTGACTTCTCTAAGTCTGAGGGAAAAAAAAAATGTTCTTATTAACTAGCCTCTTCGAAATTTTGCACTGCCATACTTGTTTTGACCTGCCCTTTTTACCTCGCATAGTCGAACCTAAAATCAGCTTGCCATTGATGCACATCAAATTTCTAGTTTCAGTTCTTCTTCTTTTTGTGTTTCTAGAAAAATCCGTGTGGAGATTTATTGCTAGATCCTTAAATAAACAATACTGGGTAAATTTTCAACTTTTCTTTCTTTAATGTGAGAATATGAACTTAGATCCTAGGTTGATTCTGATATAAAAACATAATTTGCTCTTGGCTCATTCCTGGGTTTGGCAGCCATGGATGTCCAGAAAAGCGGTAGAGCAGAGGATTGAAAAAAAAAAAAAAAAAAAAACAGCTTATTATCTTTTTTTTTTCAAAAAAAAAAAAAAAGAGAGAAAAAAGAAAAAACCTTAACTAGTTATGAGTAAATCTTTCATGCGTAATGGTCGACGTGGACACCCATTTTGGGGTGTGTGTTGCTAGCCGCTAGAATTCCCTTTCTCCTAACCATATGGTTAATCATCAACGATAGGCTCCGTTCTTCATGCCTTTGGTTTAAACAACCGGTTCAGGCATTGATTAATCTCCTAACGATTAACCAGCGAAAACGAAATTCTCAATTCCTTGAGCAACGAACAAAACAGAAAAAGCAAATGGACCAGCTGCCTTACGCTGACGTGGATTCCAGCTTGAGAACCATGGCCGGTCGAGCAGAAGGGTTTGGCCGATTCTCCATCGGTGGCCTCCACGGTCCTCTCTACTCTGTCACCACCTTGGCCGGTCTTTTCTCCTCTCAAACTTTCATTTTCAATCGTTGATCAACAATTGATTGATCCTAAGTTAGCACCCTTAATAATCAAACTATATATATGTTTCTGTTGTTTTTTAGATGATGGGCCAGGGTCACTCCGTGAGGGTTGCAGGAGACAAGAACCATTGTGGATTGTTTTTGAGGTTTCTGGTACAATTGGTCTTGTATCACAATTAAGTGTGTCATCTTATAAAACAATAGATGGCAGAGGTCAGAGAATTAAGGTTGCTGGAAAAGGGTTAAGGTTGAAAAACTGTGAGCATGTAATTGTTTGTAACCTTGAATTTGAAGGTGGTAGAGGACATGATATTGATGGTATTCAAATAAAGCCTAATTCTAGACATATTTGGATTGATCGATGTAGTCTTCGTGATTATGATGATGGCCTTATTGATATAACCAGACAAAGCACTGATATCACTGTTTCTAGGTGAGTTTCAGGTTTCTTTAATGCAAGAATTTATTATTTCTTTTTGTTCTTTTTGAATTCTTGTGCCAAAGATTGTCGCCAATGAAAAGAAAATTGACAAGTCGAAAGGGCATTTAATCCTTGTTTGTAAATTTTGGATTTAAGGGTTTTTTTTTGGATGTTGTACTAGATGTTATTTTGCACAACATGACAAGACAATGCTAATTGGAGCAGATGCATCTCATGTTGGTGATAGATGCATAAGAGCTACAATTCATCATTGCTTTTTTGATGGAACAAGGCAAAGACACCCTCGCCTTAGATTTGGGAAAGTTCATTTGTACAACAATTATACAAGGAATTGGGCAATTTATGCTGTTTGTGCAAGTGTAGAAGCCCAGGTCAGAAAAAAAAAAAAAAAAAGCGGTTCTCTTTTCTAATTAACTAGCATGTATTGTTTTGCATTTAGAAGTTAGAACATCGATTTGCAGCAAGATATGCAGCTTCTAATTTGTAGTCTCATTCTATTGTGGTTTCGTCAGATATATTCTCAATGCAATATATATGAAGCAGGACAGAAGAAAAAGACTTTTGAATTTTATACAGAAAAGGTAATGTGATACTGTTTTCCTTATTATACCTTTCATCAGTATCTTAGGTCTTTATTATTATTATTTTTTGCTAAATAAAAAATAATAGATTGTCGAACTTAACTGGTTCTGGTTTAATAAAATCAATGGGTGAATGCTTTAATAAAGAATAATGCAGATTTCTTATCTGCCAAATGAACTCTATTCCAGGGAAATAGAATGAAGTTGATGTTCCATTCAAACAGATTTCTTTGCATAGAACATTACTTTCCAGGTTATAAATTTATTTTTTCTTTTTTACTGTCTAGTTGTTAGCTTAATGGATTTCTAATGTTGCTGTTATCGTGCTTCACAGGCAGCAGACAGAGAAGGGGCTGGTTCTGGTTTAATAAAATCTGAAGGAGATGTGTTGCTGAATGGAGCTCAAACGTGCCAAGGTGTTGGGGCAGAATATGTGTTCCATCCAAGTGAATATTATCCAACATGGACACTGGAGGCCCCATTGGACTCTCTGAAACATGTCCTTCAAATCTGCACAGGTTGGCAATCAATTCCTCGACCGGCAGAGATGGTGATAGTTGCATAGTTCCTTGTGTATTTTTGAAATCTGTTTCTGTTTGTGATTTCAACCAACAAAAATATATACTGAAATATGTTAGTGTAGAAAGGTAATGTCGAATTACTAAGCCCTTGATCTCACAAGTCTAACACCAAATGTGAAATGTATAAAATCTTGTCTTAAAACGTGGTCAGTCAACTTAAACATTGTCGAACTTAACCAAGTTGGCTTTGTTTTTGCGTTTTTTCTTTGGTTTGACTGATATTGAAGCTGGTGATATCTTTAGAAGTTGACTTTCAATTTAATCTATACCCTTCATTCATATTTAAAAATTTGCAGTTGAAATCTGCTTATTTGCTTCACCAATTTTGATTTTTTAGCCCTATTCTCTCAGCTAAAAAAAAAATCTTATTCTGAAAATCACCATCTGTGCAGAATAGGAGTAGAAATGCAAAGTAATTATAGTTAATTTTACCGCACGAAATCACAAAAAAAAAAAAAAAAAAAAAAACCCGCAAGGAAGTAATATATGCTGATAGTATAAGCCTCTACAACAGTGTGCATGACGTGAATTTGTTCTATCATTTAACTAAGATATACATTATCGTGGTATTGGAGGAGATAAACTGCCTGAAACAGCAGTTCCATGGAACAAATCTGAGAGGTAATTCCCAAGATCATCGGGGCCGAACCTTACAAAAATCTCAACATCCTTCTCCCTCCTCAACATCACCTTATGCGTGTCATAAAATTCTCTGTATGCTGGTATAAGTTCATTTGCAATTGCCACCTTCAATTCATCCCTCAACTTCCTATCCGGCACAACCCATGATGCCTGCTTCTTATATGCTTCTTCAAAAGCTGCGTTAAACCTCTGAAAACACTCCTTTCCTGCTTCAGGTGATAACAGTGGAGAATTTTTCTCTGGTAAAGATGAGAAGACCTTACCCCATGCCATTGTTTCATAGGTGGAAGCATATTGTATAACCTTCGTGGCATGCTTGAACACCCAATCTTCGCCGAGAAGCACGTTAAGGCGAGTTGTACAAACCTTATCAAGGACAAACTGAAGATTGTTTGCTAGGAATAGGTACGACAAAGACAAATCTTTGTACACTTGTGCTTTTCTATCAAGCTTGCATAAAAGAACTAAAATGAGCCAAGCTAGGTGGACTGAGACTGCTGGTGTTGAGCTCGCATCAGAGGTTGGACTTTCGAAGTAAGCTTCAGGCAAAGCTGTATTCCTTGGTGGTGGAGAATCAGCAACGATGTCTGAGAGAATCTTGTTGTAATCTGCAAGTGAAGATATGTAACTCATAACCTTTTGGGTCAGTGGGTGAATCCCACCACCAACAATTAAAGTTTTTGACGAGTCTTTTTGAATTGTTAATTCAAAGTCAGAAAGAATGGCACGGATTGACTCGCCAAGTCCTTGTAGTGATGAAACAGCTTGCATTTTAATATCTGAGGTTGATTCAGAATTGAATATCAACTCTATGTCTGGCCGGAGATCAGAGAGTGCTTCATAGAGCTCCATCAGTGGGAAAATCCTTTCTGGCAATTTCTTGCACTTAGCTACAAGCTCAGGAAATCTTAACAGATTTATTGCTCCTTTGGTTATCTCAGAGAAGCATGATTCCCTGATCGTCTGAGATGCCGAAAAGACATAATCACACAGAGCTTTTTCTCCACTAAAGAGTGTTTTGGCAGCAATCTTTACTGCATTCAGCCAGTTCTTGATCATAAGCTCGAGAGCTTCCCAATTCATTTTGTGAATATGAGAAGACCTGAACTCTTCGATTCCGAGTAGATACAATCCTTCATCTACTATTGACTTTCTGATGAGTTTGTATATTTTGACACACTCAATGCTATAGCCGGAACTTATCATACAATCAGCTATAGATTTGAGGTCCAACATGGCAAGTGCTGTGACTCTCTCCACATTAGTGATTGACTCATGACCTGCTGTTTTGAACTCTTCTTCAGACCCCAGCTCATTCTCATCTTCGAAATTGCTCGAGCCATCTGAAGATAGACCTGAAATAGACTCTGGCTCCAGTTGATCACGTGTTCCAGACAATATCTTATAGAATTCTATTTCGAGTCTAGCCATGGCGATTAGCATGAGGTTCTGAGCAAGCACAAGCTTATCAGAGGTCGAATGTTCAGAGACTAATGCGTGCATTGCTCGACGCAAGTCTTTGACACATTTTAGAAAATCTTTGGCTTCTTTTCTGTCACCGTGGAAGAGGGAGGTGACTCTGGTGATCGAAGAAGAGTTTGGATCCCATTTTATGATGATTGATTCAGCATTTTCGATAGTTTCCACCATCATGGATTCAGAGAACTTGAGGGTAGAGGAGGAAGGAGTGGAAGGAGAGGAAGGGGTTGAAAATGAAGAGGTTAAAGAGAGCGTTTTAGAGGACGCGAAAAAGTGGGCTAACATCCCTTTTTTTGCTGCATTACTCCTTGGAGTTTCTGACCGAACCATTGAGCCCTGAAAATGTGAGCTCAAAAGTAATTAAATTCAAAGAGGAAGCTTACAGTTGATGGTTCGTGTCTTGAATGTTCATTATGGAGGACGGTTATATAGAGAAATGGAGCTGCTAAGTTTCCAATTGAGGAAGGTTGCTTTCTTTCATTCTTAGACCGAAAAACCATTGACTGACTCTGGCTAGATGTGTAGACGAAAAGAGATTGTTTTCACGTGTAATTACGCTGCATTTTCCTTTTTTTATCTTGTTTTAGTTTTAGCAAGTGATATGATGATTTTTTTTTTTTGGTTAGTGGTGAAATTATTAAAAGCTACAATGGGGAGGAAGAAAGCAAAAATAATAAAAACTAAATAATTGTTGGAGCAAGGAAAGTACCAAGCAAAGGCATGCTTACCCAATCTCCGAACCAGAGGTTGACTACCGCTATTGTTAAGGAAAAAAAAACAAAAAAAAACCATCGTTCATGAAGGTCTTTTGTGATGCTAAATTACTTGAACAACATATTCACGCCATAAGGTTTTTCTTATTCAAGATTTCTTTGTATTAGTTTAATGGTTTAATGATTTGTGAAGTTATTATACAGGCCAGTAAATATGCTAAGATTTCTTTGAATATTTATTGAAAGGATTTTGAACGTAAAGAGAAAGCGATTTTTTTTTTTTTCCGGATAGAGATTAAAACTGATATTATAAACAAAAATATTTTTTAAATTGCTTGTTGAGAAGAAAGGGAAGCTACCTAGAAAAACTTTAAAAATCTTTTTTTTTTTTTTCTCAGTAGATTAGACTGATTCTCTAATGCTACGACATATATTGAACTTGATTCCTGCTTATAATCTATTTTGCTAGTTTTCTAGAAAAATTTTAAAAATTTCAATTATGTATAACTAGATCAATTTAAGTTATCAGAACTTTTTTTAAAAAAATTTTTCCATTAAAAAATTCAGTTTCAGCAAAGTACACTATAATTTTATTGAGAAAATTCAATATTGGTGAGATCACGCATTTTCGATGCCCTTTTATTCCCGCTATGCCCAGTCATGTAAAGTTTACGTGGATGGGAACCCCACTATGCCACTATGGAGAGATCATGGACCACCCTAGATGGTATATTAAAAAAAAGAGTAAAATTCAATTATAAATCCTTTAACCTTTGGAATCGTTCACATAATTACATCAATTTACTTAGAAAATGAAACAGAGATATAAATTTATTCCTAGATTTTCCTTGGGGCTCAATTAATCACTTAAGGTTTTAGGTCATTATTATTATTATTATTATTTAAAGCCTTTGATCTCCAAAGGTGGTAGTGATTATTAAAGAATAATATAAATTTATCCTTTGACAGTAATGCCGGTATTTTTTTTTTTCGTTTTTTTAACTTCGTTTTGACCCTGACTTCATGGGATTTGTTTGAACATTTTCAAGTTTCTTGGGGAAATGACTGGAAGCATGCAAAACAAGGATTCGGTTTTCTAATTGTTTTTGGAACAGTTGGTTGGGCTTGCATGTGCTGCTGATTAATATCTGAACTTAATTTTATATATTTACTAAGAATGAGTATCAATGTTAATCACTTAATTCAACGTTTTTCTGATTTTCTTTTGATCTTGTAATTAATTTGGACTTAGTCAAGTAACTATATAAAATGTCCCCCCATATATTTTATGAAACAAAAAAGATCTTGGCTTTGCTCTCGGCCAAAAAATGACATGTAATTCATTTGAAACTGTCATAGAATCTGATCATCTATAATCTCTCACACAAAAAGTTTTTCAACCCAATTCATTAATTTTCACGCAATATCGCATTTTGTTCAAATCATGTTGCTTCAAAAAGAACTTCTATTATATATGCTTTGGAATTTTGAAATCGTCTTTTGGTAAAGGTGATTTGTCAACAAATGTAGATTATCATATTGTAATACATCTTGTTTGAGTAAAAAAACTCTAATTGTTTAAATAAATGCTTTTAGATTTAAACTTTTATATATTAAAAAACTTTTTAAATAATATCTTCACTTTGTATATTTGACAGACAAAATAATAAATAAGAGATTAATTTAAAATTTTAAACTTAAAATAATTTAAAGGATTAAATATGCGATACCTCACGAGAAGAAAGAGGGCATACACATTTATTTTTATTTTTATTTTTTTAAAAAAAAGCACGCGAAGTCATTTAAACGCATGGCTGTCATTTAAATTTCCAAAATTGCACATCTCCTATAAACCATTCCAAAATAATAGAGAGTAAATTATAAATTAATCCCTTTAGTTTTGCAAAATGAGTTAAATAGTCCATTTTGTCTCAACAACTAATTAAATAGTCTTTTAACTAGTGTTGATCATAGTTAATATAATATTATTTTCTTTCAAAAAATATCTACTTTTCGCATAAATTTTTTCATTTTTTTACTTATTTTACTTTTTTCTATGTATTAAAAAACAAAATAAAATAAAAAATAGTGAAAAAAATAAATTTATAAATAGATTTCAAATTTAAGAACTGATTAAGCAATTATTAAATTTAGAAGGACTATTCAATTTTTTTTTGCAAAACTAGAGGGATTAATTTATAATTTACTCGATCAATTATTAGATGGGTGGTAACTGATGACCACCGGTTAAGTTTGGTGCAATGTTAGTCTTTTTAGCTCATTAGAAGATATATATATATTGTCAATTGCTTAAGGGCTAAGATGGGTGATGTCATTTATTTTTAACTATGATGGACAGCCTAATTCTACAGCAGCCATACAATTTTGCTAATTTTGCTTCGTCTGGTGCAGTTTTCATCTGTTTTATGGAATTCAAACTCTTAATCTATGTAGAAAATATGAAAATCGGTCACTCTCTGGAATGTCAACCATCAAGTCAAGCATGCATATTGACCCATCTTTTGGAGCGGCATGCTTGTGGTTAAAGACCTCAGATAATTAAGGGGAAGAAAAATCTCTTCTTGGGCTTTTACTGAGCCATATTTATGTAACATGAAAAATAATAAAGATATTGCTTGATAAATACTAATATTTGAAGAAAACGTTAAACTAAAAAAAAAAAATTCTAAAAAGGAGGCATGCAAGTAGTCACAAGCAACACCAAAGCTTGAGAGTTGAGGGTTGAAACTAGAATCAAAATGAAAGGAAATGTGAAGGGTCTCATACCTACCGCAGGAATGTTTGACCAAAATTTTATTTTAATTTAATGAATATTCCTTATATACTTACCCAAATGTTGGGGTTTTAGGCTATGTGAATTTTTGAGGTCCATGAAAAATATGGGTAAAGCTCTCATCTTTTGTTTTTTGTTTTAATATATTTTTGTACAAATGGAAATGAGTTCTGGTAAAAGGAGATGATGAGATGATCTATTGCATATATCAATAGGAATAATTGCACTATAAATATACTTATTTTTTACGTTTGCTCAATAAAACACAGAAATTTTCATTTTTAATTTTTTTTTATACATGGATTTTTTAAATACTATCATCAAATATTTTTTTATCTAATTTCTGTCATTTATTCTGTTATTTGATAAAAATAATTGCATTTTTTTCTATTTTTGTATGGTATATGCTCAAATTGTTCTTATATCCAAAATGTAAAAGAAGGCAAAATAATGTTGGAGGGGAAGTTCTGTTGAAGAACGAAAAGTCAAAATCATAATTTAGTTGTTGCAATAAAGGATACATCATAAAATAACAGAGCAACTGATAGAAGTTAAATAAAAAATACTTGATTAATATTTTTCAAAAAATTAATATATTAAAAAAATTAAAGTTCATATATTTTATTAAACAAATTTAAAAATTAATATACTTATAATGTAAATATCCCTATCCTAATAGGTGGAAGAGAAAGACTTTTCTTTATGCAGGAATATATGTGTGTGTGTCATATGTATAAAATTTTGAATAATTAAGGATAGAAATTCTTTATTAATTGATGTGAAATCATCATTTTTTATTAATTAGTTCTCTATCTATTTTTTAAAATCAAATTATATTATATGGTAAAATAGATGTATTGTGTATGCTATACAATTCTTAAAAAAAAAAAAAAAAAAAGCTATTTACAATAATTAGCATTAACAATATTAAACAAGCAATTCTAAAAAAAATATTAAATGTGAAATTGTAATTATTAATATTTTTTTAAAAAATAAGAGATGTTTAATCTTCCTCGGGCCAGTATTTAAAAAAAAAAAAAAAAATCCTCATCTCTACAACCACAACACTACGTAGTATTATAATAAAGGATTCAAATCCTCACTCTTTTTAGGATTTAGCCAGAGATTAAATCATTGATCAATAATAAATGATATATTATTAACAATCGATTTTGACTAAAACAGCTCATTGAGGTGCTTACATTTCAATTTGACGCAAGGAATGCAACTATTAACTAAATGGAAAGTGGGTGTTTGGGAAAGAGACTAGCAGGTTAACTTAAAATGAGAATCATTGGCCCATGGTAAATTAATTATTATTATTATTTATTTTCTTTTTTATGGATAACAGAGTTGCAGAATCTTTGAATAAACAACCAATACAATTAACAGACGTGCAAGCCATTATGTTGTACAACGATAAGAATTAACTCTCGTCTGATAAGCATATCAACTCACATATCGTGATAACCAATATTGGACGATTATCATTCTCACGCAAACTGTAATTAAACTACAAATTCTTGCAAATTACGTTAATAGGATGGCCTATCTCAACAGGTTAATTAATTAATTACCTAAACGCGGAGAAATTATGAGAATTATTTTCTAGGTAGAAGCGTATAATTTCTTCTGTCTTTCTTTTTTTTTAATTAAGATGTGCTGTGAAAATCACAACCAAGCATGTAAAAATATATGAAACATGCAGCATCAAATTATATCTTATAATGCCTGAGCTATAAGCATCCTCAATAAATAAATAAATAAATCCTTTTCTTGAAAGAAACCTCTTTGTCATCACTCATTAACTTAGAAATGGTCAATCATAAATAAACAAAGTTTTTGGTTACCGTCCGGTCGATTGCATTGCGTTTGCTAAGACTCGTCATATTGAACGTGAAAATCGTTCAAATGATATCACTCGAGCAGTAAACAATCGAATTAAGAATATGAAAGATAACTATATGTATATATATAAACAAAAGTAAATTGCAAGATCTAAAACGAAATATTTAATGCAAGTAAAAACAGTACGCCATTTTTTTTTATAGGAAAACCCAGTTTTGGTTTGAGTTGAAAAAGTCAAGGTACTAAAGGACAAGAAATGAGGGGAATTTCAATTGCTTTCTGTTCCGTTGATCTCGTGATCTTCTCTAATAACATACATTTTGCATAGATAAAGAGGGGAATTTCTATTTTTTCCCCTCTAAAGGACATGCTGTCTGAGACTTTAGCCGGCTGATAAGACAATGTAATCAAACGTAGCACTAATCTTAAGTCGGTAAGAGAACAACGGGGCACTTAATTATTGCATTAGCAAACAAATCCGACAATGGAATTCAGATTTAAATAGAAAAATAGTGGTTGAAAAAAAAATGGAAAAATTCAAAGAGACTGATTTCTGATCAAGCAAAATCTTTTCTTTTGGTTCTTGCGTTTGTCTCAATAAATAGATTCAGATTTGATATAGTTATTTTATCTTATGTCTAAATGTTTAATTGATTGGAATTTACAGTTCAACAGTATCAAGTCATCTTATTTTTTATTATTATTTTTAATTAGTCACTCTTATAAACATAGCTTTGAATGTGGGTCAAAGTTACGAATCTATCTACCAGGAACTAGAATCGTAGATGCTTAATTTGTGTTGCCTTGGTGTCAAAATCGATTCATGCTTAAGAACACGAGCAAGTAAGAAAATTAAGTTAACCCAATGGGAACAGGGAATGGAATCTCCGATCCATGCCTTACTCCGTGATATATATAATAATAATTAAAAAAAAAAAAAAAGAGGGAACATTAGAAAGCAAGAAATTTACTTTGTCTAAAAGAGGCATGCATTTTCTCTCCCTTTGTGAAATTGAAGTGTTGTTTTCGATAAGTTAAACTATCATCAGTCTCTCATCAATAAATAGGTTAGGATATGAGAGAAGACCAAATCCTAATTATATAATATTACTTTATGAATCTTTATTCTCCCAAAGATCCTAAATACAGTAGGCTTCAGACCAAAATTAATAACCAGCACCACTTTAATTGTTTTATTATTATTATTATTATTATTTACCATACTTTATAAAATTTTCTCTTGCCTTCTTGGATTAAGACACATTCCCTGTAGAAGAGATGAGATTTATGAATTGCTAATTGATTTATTAAGAGAGCTAATAGAGTGGTGGCATGATGACTACTTAATAACTAATTTATATATCATAGGATCAAAAATTTGTTGGTCTAATAGTAAATAAATTTATCTTCAGATGAATTTTTTACAAATATATAAGGTTAAATTTTATTCTTTTTGTTTTGAAAATGATTAGTCTTATTTTAAATGTGAAATGTGTATACGTGGAGTAAAAAAAAAAATCTACTTATCATATGGGTGACTTGTTTACTCAGTGCGAAAGCATGCAATGGACCTGGAATTCCTGTAGGGTAGTCTTGTAGCAGATGCTTCTCCTGCTTCCCCTAATTCCAGGTCAATAGCGTAAGGACCATTATAGCTTTTACACTGCAGTATTAATTAGGTGACGACCTTGACAACGAATTTTGCACCACTTCTGCGGTCTTCCATTTCTTTCCATGTTCTAATGGAGTTGATTTTTTGGTCTCTGAAGGAAAAATAGAAGGGGTATTTTCGGGGACCGGATGCATGCATGTGATGCTTCATCATAGTGGAGGTAGATGGCAAGAGGAAGACCACATGGAATTAATCGGAGATAGACTAGAATGTAGATTTGGCGTGCTTAAATTCAAGGAAAGATGTAAGAAATTAGATGATAGATTGGGAAAAGAAATAATACGATGACAATTCAAAAATCCACAAAGCTTTGATTTCATAATCCCACTCATTTGCGGATAAGATTAGATAGAAATGCAAACGGGGAGGCAAGAGTTCAAAATGATATGAATATTCCGTAATTCCAATTTATGATGAATAAGGAAAAGGATTTGACATAACAAGAGATGCTACTGCGAAGCTACAAAATAGTTGATTTCGGTATTCTTGTATAATATTCCAAATTATGGTGAATAAGAAAACGGATTGGCAAAATTAACAAGAGAAGTACTCCGAAACTACAAAAATGGGTAATTTGAATATTCCATGTCCAATTTATTCTGGTGAATAAGAGAATGGATAGAAAGAAATCAACAGTGCAAACTAGGAAGAAATTTGAAATAGTTACTCTGCTGTTGCTTTAGCATATAGTACAGATCACACAGATAATACAAGCTTAAAATTTGTTGAGAACAGTTCTTATTCCACTCAACAGCTGGTAGAGCTTGGCAGCCGCATCCCTTTAAGGGCTTAGCATACAGATGGTGCATGAAAGCAAAAGAGACAAAAGAGCCCATGCTTTCCTTGCTCTACATTTTGAAACAAATAAAGCTTACTATCTAGTACCACTTATCAGCATTGTTGGTTGTAGACGCTGGATAGCTTGATCCTCGCATAATTTAGGCATCTCCTCCTCCGGCAAGGTTACCATCACTGTCCTAGCAAGCCCTTCTTCTGCTGAAGGCAGCACCATAATCAGACCTTCACCTTCCACGTTGCCAACATGACATGCCACGTGAACTGGCTTTTCATCACTCTTGAAACTCGCAGAGAAAATTACTGTTTAATGGTAAATTTTATCCTCTTTTTATTGTAATTTTATAATTTCAAACTTATAATATTAAATCTTGTAATTTGAATTCTAAAATATTTGAGATTGGATAAATATTATCTAAATTATTCAATTTTCTAGATTAACCGTTATTTAGAATTCCAAAATGATATTTTTTGTATTCCGCTGTTGCTTGTGTTTTTTTTATTAACATATAAAAATATTTTTAACTCCTCAAATCTTGAATTTTTTTAAAAAAACTGTTTTTCTTATAAAATATTATAAATTACATACATAGAAACATTTTATCATTATTTTTATAAATAATTTCATAACAATATCATTGAAACGGTTCTGAATCAATAAATATTGATCTGTGACAGATGATGGGCGGCAAGATCTGATCTGGTGTTTCGTTCTTGGAAGTTCTACACCTTTTTTGTGGTTTAATCTATCTTTTTTAAACTACCATTCATCTATACAAAAATATTAATTTTAAAACTACCGTTCATCCATACAAAAATATTAATTTATTTTAAAAAAAATTTAATGGTTGAGTAATTTTGAAATTTTTTATATCTTAAAAATATTTTTAATTTTTTTGAAAAAAAAATTATATTTTTATATAATCCAAAGACAACTTTGGAATGAAAAACAAAATTTAGTACTATATAAAAACATAATAGACACAACTAGAAATAAATATATTAAAAACTTATCTAATTATATAGAAATAAATTAAGCTATTTACTAAAAAACAAAGAAAAAGAGAGAAAAAGAGAGATTTAAGGGCAAAAGTACCTAACAAGTAATAGTGCTGTGCGTAACGGGCTTGATTTAAAGAAAACATCGCAAATAAAAACAGTAACAGCGATGCTAATTTAACCCCTTTCTTTGGATCCATTTATTTAATTATATTTATTCGCTATAAAAAATTCATTTAAAAATCATGCGGCAAGAATAGAACGAAAGGGAGTCTTGCACGTGAGGATGCATTGAGGAGTCGGCATCCAATTGGATTAAGACTTTTTTAAGGGATCACTTTACGCAAATATATTTAAATAGATTATCAAAAAATTGTTCTTTCACGCTACCTTCACACATCCTCTCCTGCATGAAATCCGATTCAATGTTTATACAAGAGATGGTACAAGTCTTGATATCTAATAATTTATCCATTTCAGTTCTAAATCTGGAGCACCAAAAATAGCAAAACCTCAACCGGAGCAAGTCCAGTACCAACAATCTAATTATCCAATAACGTTTAATAGAACCTCACCAGGAAACTAATTGCTCAAGCAAAAAAGATCGACGGGATAAAGGATCAAAACTAAATCCTAAATACGAATAGCAACCATCAGAAAATGCACAAAAGGCTTCATGACACATGATCAGACATCCTCTTCAGCTACTATTCCAATATAAATCTAGCATTTTGGTTAAGAGTAAGATAAACCCTCTCCCTTTTTAAACATAAATTGAAAAAAAAAATTGCAACTCTAGTTCACAAACAAGACACTGAAACGACACAAATTCGAAACTTGTCAACAGAATAGGTTCCAAAAAGATATCAAAATAGCCTATGCGATAGATGCCACCCTACACCTTAATAGCATACTTTCTCATTGGGAAGTACATTTCCCTCTTCTTCTCACGCTCAGTTTTCAATGATAGCTGCATAAACAAACATGTCAAAATGTTATGCAAGAAATCAGAATATATGAATAAAACACGGGCAACAAACAATAATAGATCACATCAAACTTCATTATAATTATAATCTAAAGATTTGTTTTGCTCAGCAGTCATTAAAGATTGAACTTCAAGAGAATGAAAACCTTTTTACATCAGGACATGTTTGACAAAATATAAGGTTCGCATGATACAGAAATAGCACAAGAATATGCAACAGAAATTCAAGCCAGACCAAAAAAACAAAAAACTTATTGCAAAAGGTCACTGAGAAAAAAAAAGTTCCTTTGGTATCGAAAAATGAGATCTGTAAAAAACCCAGATGCTTTAATGGTTCAAACCAAAATAGGGCATATATAATTAATGCAAGGCTAAAAACTTGAGTTCCTAATCAATACACCAAAGGAAACCGATGTAAAATAATAAAATAGCATATTAGAAGCAAGGCAACACCTGATGCTTGGTAAGCCTCCTGCGGATGGCTCTGGTCTTCTTTGGACGCAGATCAAGAGGCAAGAGCTTCTTCTTCTTGTAAGCCTCCCTCAACACAGCCTTCTGCTTCTGTGAAATCACAGTCAAGACCTGTGCAATGGACAACCTCACCACCTTGCTGCATTCCAAATCAAACCCAAAACAGAAAAAAAAAAAAAAAAAAGAAACATATAAATATCAACCTAACACAAAGAACAAACAAATCAACGAGTCACACAAGAGAAATAGAAACTACAAATGATTATACAAGTGCTATGTAAGACCAAGGCAACGTTCAGTTCCAAAATTGAAAACTCATTTATAACTTCAAAAGGTAAGAAACTTGGCCAGTTTCCAATACTAAGAAGATTACTATAAGCTGTCAACATTTGTTTGCAAACTCAAGGCCTAAATAGTATTAACTTCAGTCAGTTAACTAATTAAAATGTAATGTAATATTCGAGAGCTCATAGAACTAAAAGAGTGCTCGTCCAAAAACACTATACCAAATACTATTTTTAACAATCAGACAAATAGGCCTCACCTTTTTTCCACAGAAACCAGCCAAAACAAAGTTCAGCCAGATCAAACACTGCCTAATAAACCAAACTGATATCTTAAATCAAGCTTATATATGATCCAAAAACAAATTTAACCTACCAAAGAGAGCTGAAGACATGAAATCACTTCAATGATTCGTAAAAGAGAATGAATTGCATTTATTTTTAATTTTTTAACAAAATCGCCCAAAAAAGCCAAAATGACCCCAAACACTACTTAAATCCATAAAGCACACTAAGAGAACATGAAGCCAAGATTATAAGAAAAAATTGAAAGCAAATCCCGCTTAATAGAATTCAAAAAAAAAAAAGATGCAAACCAAACACTACCTAAATCCATAAATAAACAACTTAAAATGAAACTCATGAAACATAAGACACACCTAGACCCATCAATCAATCCATTCAAGTGAACAAAAAAAAAACAAAAAAGCAAAAGATTGAGAGAGATATTATTTACATCTTGGAAAGCTTGTTAGGAGCACCGCCGGTGACCTTAGCAACACGAAGGAGAGCAAGCTCAGCTTTGAGATCCTTCAACTGAGCCAAAAGATCTGCCTTTGATTTCTGTCTCAACTCATGAACCTTGATTCTTGCTGTCATTCACAAAAAAAAAAAAAACGTGAATTAGAAATCGAATAGATATCAATAGAACCCTAATGATTCATGTTTTTAGATATGTTTACCCATTGCTTCGTTTCTGTCTCTCTCTAACCCTCTCTGGCAAAGGCTGCGCGGCTCTCTGGTCCTTCGGTGGTTGTGGAAACCCTAAATAGGCGAAGGGTTTTGTGGTTTATATAGAGCAGGATAGATAATAGGGCTGGGCTCGATAGGATGTCTTGATTTACTGGGTTAGCCCGACTTTTTTTGAGAATATTTAGTTTTGATTTGGGCCTTTAATGATTTCATTAGTATGGGCCTAAATGATGTTGATTTTCGGCTTTCACTTCATGTCTGTTTGCAGCCCAGTTATTACACTATGTGCGGAACTAACAATTCTTCAGATCTTGACATCTTTGATTGAAATTTTCGTACAGAAAGTTTGCTGTAGTCAATAAAAAATTCATTAGTTGGCCATCGTAGTAACCTCTCTCTCTCTCTCTCTCTCTCTCTCTCTCTCTCTCTCTCTCTCTCTCTCTCTCTCTCTCTCTCTCTCTCTCTCTCTCTCTCATATATATATATATATATATATATATAGTAATCCATAACTTAGTTATTTTGTACTTTAATTTAGTTGTTACTAGTCATTTACCTGTGATTTGTTACGAATCGGATAAAATATATAGAATTATTTTAAAAAATAATTTTAATTTTATGGTATGTGCTATATTATGGATTTATCGAATATATCAAATTGAAGATAATTTTTTTTTCGTTTAACTAATTATTCATTATGTTTTAATAAATTTTCTGCTAAAATGAACATGATTTATTCCTCTTTATCCAAATTCTTAATTACAACCTTCTAAGCAAATTTAAAAGTCCATGAATTTTTAACTCAAAAGTTTTCTTCTAATTTTTTTTCATATAAAATTTGAGACAAATTATTTAAAAAAAAACACCTAATCTTATATATATATATATATATATATATAACATGCTACCATTATTTAAAAATTAAAAATTCAAAGAATTCGTTATATAATTTTTTTAAAGCAAATAATCATATTTCAAAATTTTGCGCGCGCACACACACACACACATATATAACCATGCTACCATCATTTAAAAATTAAAAAAGAATCCATATATAAATTATATATATAAAAAAAAAGAGCAAATAGCATTGTTTTTAAAATTTATACATAGATATCTCTCTTCTCCTTTCTTTTTCTTTGTTTCTCTCTTTTCTTAGCCGTTAGATACCGGATTATAATACAAATAAAATTATAGATAGAAATAAAAATTATTGAAAAAAATAATAGACAAAAGAACAATATGAGCAACAAATACATATAAAATATCTGAAAAAACTTCAAAAAAAAAAAACCACTCAATGTATACTAAAACGACGTGTTGTATATCTATTAAATGCTTTAAAAACAATTAAAATAACTAAAATGCTACTGATTTATTTATAAAAATATCATCTAATGAATAACATTTTGTTAGTGCATGAACAGTAAAAAAACCCCTACGTGTGTAATTAGGCATGATTAATATATATATATTACAATGTTATTCAATATTTCAAAAATTCTTTGCCAAGGGCTTCTATTTATCTTTTATTATTGCAGGACAAAATGTGATATGGTTTTGAATCTTGATTTATTAAGAATTTATCATGTACACAACTAATCAACTAATTTTTTATTTTTTTATTGAAGGGCGAGTTTAAAGCTCTAGAAGGCAATTACATAGTACACACCATAGAAAAACTATTTCCATATATATATATTTTAATACATGTGTAGAATAAAAAAAAGCATGCATTTTTATTCATTAATATTCTTTTGGACATTCCAGCTAATAAAAGGATAAACTGATGGAAAACATCTCCACAAATGAAAGAAGCAAACTTCAAGACAGAGCATTAAATGCTCCTTAGAAAAAAAAAATGAACTAACGAAAAGGCCATAAAAAGCAAGACAAGAAAGATCAAGGAGAAGAGGACAGAAAGGTAACTTGATAAGAGGACAAAATGGCATTCGAGCAATTAAACAAACTATTGAAGGGAACAAATAATCCACGGTAAACAAACTCAGTGTCAGTATATACAAATGAAAGAAATGAGAGAATAGGTGGAAATGAATGATGGACAAAGAGGCAACTAGATGGACTGCAGGAAATGAACAGCTGAATAAGGACAAGGAATTAAAACAATGCGCCACAATCACAATCTACGGTGCAAATGAGTGGGGATGAACAGTTTTCAAATAGTAAAATCACCATTTGATTTCTACAGTGCAAATGAGTGGAGATGAATAGTTTTCAAACAGTGAAATCACTATCTGATTTAGTTTCTTTTGTAATTTTTTTTTGCCCTGTAATATTGAAGGAATCTCGTAACATTTATGTTATAACTAAATTTAAGTTTTTTATGTAGTAAGATTATTCACACATAAATATATCATCCATCACGAAACTAAAAGTAAGATTCATGTTTCGCATCGGAATTAAAAAAAAAATTTTTTGTCTAACTTTAGCTATAAGAAAACTTTTTGACTGAACTTTTTATATTCTTATTAAAAGATTATTTTTTTATCACATAAACTAACTACACAGGAATTGTTAAAGAATGGTTCAATACTAAAAGTTTTGAACTTTTAATAAAAAAATTCAAAATTCAAATCTCATTTTTATGTCTTTTGTTATCTATCATAAATCCTATGTCTGTTTTTTTAATTTTAAAAATATGGAGTAATTGAAATCTTTAATTTTAAATTCAATTTGTATTCATAAAAAATGATTAAAAAATAATTAGTTATCCAATTATATATATAAAAAAAGAGGATTACTAGGCAAAATAAGTGGATTTTTTGAGTGACATGAGGACATGGATCCAATATTCAAATTGTTGAGGAAAAAATGAGAGAAATGGACCTTTTTTCGAAGTTACACCAATAAAATAATGTAGATGAACGATGTAAACAACGACGTGAGATAGTTGTATCTTCTCAAATCTTGTAGGATCTCTAGTATTTCTTTAATATGAACTGCTAACTAAACATCCCTAATTTTTATTACGTCAGGAACTCGCACGTGGCATTGACTACCGCAAATTGTATCCCAAGTGGTTGCTGTCAAAAGTCTCCAGCGACAATGATGCTCAAGAAAATAATTGAGAACTTTATTTTACTATGCTTGGTCTTATACTTGATAATAATGCAAGTCTTCATCGTGTTGGAACTAAATTTTTGACCAAAGTATCAATTATCGATAGAAAAGGGCAAAAAAGAACGAGTGAGAAAATTTTAATTTCCTGTTAACATGCTATTCTCATGTTTAATTTTTATATTATAACCATACATGTGTGGGACATTATATATTATTCTTTTTTCCTCCTTTGATACCTTTAGAAGTCGAGAATTTTAATTTTGAAGACAGAAATTAAATACATGCAGCCTACGGGTTGCTTATTGTACTCAGTGACTAAAAATAGGTAATCAATCTGCAGAATAATTACCTTCACAAAGAACACGACAAGTACAAAAATTCTATCGTCTAGTTAAGAGATTATGAATAGCCTGTAAATTATGAATAATTTAATTTTCAAGATAAAAATCAAGCTATCAATACCTTAAATAAGAAATATGAAAACTTTATGCATGTCTCGATCTCTAAACTCTTGATAACCAAATGATAAATATTTATCTTTATTTGACAATTTAATTATATGCTTTTGTTTCTTTGATTATTTATTTAAGGAAAAGTTAATTAACAATACCAAACTCAATAAATATTAAATAATTCATTTTTAGCATTTCAAGAGTGCAATCTTTATCAATGTATTAGTTATGGAGTGACCTTCCGTCCTCGCTCCGCGTGGGGCCCTAGTTATTAAACTCTTACGTTAGCCTGAAATAATGAACCCTGTTGAACTTGGAAATCGATGACCATGGACGCTACTTGGCCTTGGTTGCTTTGAATCTTGGGGGCAAATGACAAAATACATGAATTCTACTTTGATCATGGTAAGCTGCTTCTATCACATTAAAGTGCGATCAATAATTATAAGATTTTAGTTTCAAGTCTTAGTCCATCTAATTATTATTCAAGATTTAAATCTTTATTAATTAAGATTCAAATCCGAAAAAAGCGGCCATATATATATATATATATGTGCAATCATCTTTTGGGTGTATTGATATTATCCATTTAATATTTCATTAAAAAAAAAACCTTAGTTTCCATCCATAAATAATATTCAAAAAATATATGAGTTTCTAAGATACAATTAACATTTATCAAAGAAAAAACAAAGGTGATGATAATTAAAGCATGAAAATTATGGAAATTGAAGGTTTTTGTTTCTAGTTTTTCTATTTTTTTTTTTTTTTTTTTTTGATTCATTGAAATCCCGTGATTCTTTCAACTATACAATAGAAAGCAGTTCTTTCTGATTAGATAATCACTAAAAAATTTAAAATCATTAAGATTTCAATGTAAAACATAACTGGATACATTAAGTGTTTTGTTTTGATTTTTGGTACATTAAAAGAATTGAAAGTAATTAAGTTGGTGATCAATTGTAAACATCGTTTTTCTTTCTTTTTAACAAGACGAATTTGTTATGGCGTTAAAAATGAAAGCAAAGAAGATATACGGAACCAGGAAACTTCACTCATTGGTGCAGTCGAAAAGAATTGAAATCCAATCGCTAGCTACTCAACTGCAGGCCCCAAAACTACTTCGATTGCAGAAGGGAACTGAGAAGTAAACCCTGCTACGCAATTCACAAGCCATACGCGACAAAATTTCACGATTTAATGGCCCTACCTCAAAAATGATGCTCTGGTGTTGGATTGATGATTTGAGGTGAGAGAATAGACGCCTCTGTTTTTTGCTTTATTAAGCATACAGTAATGTTTGTCTCTGTTTTTGCCGTGTGAAACACGCGATAATGGTGTTCGATTTTCTTTTGGCTTTTACACTGCGGATATGTGGGTGACATCTTTCACTTCTGGCTTCAAGCATTCTGTTATTGTCCTGGTCTAGTGCAAGCAGAAAACAGCATCCAAATCTGTTGGGTTGGACCAAATCTCTGAGGATAATAGACTTGCAGTCCTTTGGCTAATACTCCATTAAGGGATAAACAAACAGAAACTTCCAATTGTTTTGAAAAGAACATTTATAATTCTGTTGCCGTATTGCATTCCACAAAATCCAACGATGACCATCTATACCTCCCAATTCCTATATAGCGAAAACCTTTCTCAAATAATCATTTCATCAAAAAACTTAAACGAGTAATTAAAATTTCATAATATAATTTATATTATTTTTTAACACATCATCTCAAGTAAATATATTATTTTATATTTATTTAATTAAAAAAGAAATAATAATAATAAAACTTGATCTCAATACCATGTGAAAAAACTATCTCATTTAAAAATTTAAATTATAAAATAAAAATTTATGATATAATTTATATTATTCTTTAATAATCCTGAACATCTAATAAATCGATTTGCTATGTTTTGGCCTACACCAAATGACTCCGAGGGATAATCGAACAAAACTTTCGATCCATGCTGGACAGGACTTGCAGTCAAAATCGCGGGCAAATGCCAACAATTATAATTGTTGTTGGATAAATGGTTGCCATTTGCCGTTGATTTTATTGAAACGTACACCAAGAAACTAACACTTATAAGTAATTCATAGTAATTTGGATAGTAGAAGTCAATAGGAAGGAAATTTTTGTTCCATGATTACTTATGATTAGTATTAGTAGTTTAGTTTGGTTGATAGGCGAGTTTATTTTTTTGGTTATCATTTCGAATTTAAATTTAAGAAATATTACACAAAAAATTATTTTTTTAATGAATATACAATCTAAAATATGTACGATTAATTCAAGATTTGATTGAGAGGATTGAGGAGTTTAATCTTAATAGGCAAAAATTATCTAAAACCCTTAATGTCACATAGTGTTAAAAAAAATTTTGTGATAAAGTGAGCAATGAAGAAATATTAAAAGCATTAAAGACAAATTTATGATGTGCAACCTTAGTTTTTTTTTTTTTTTAATTCATCGAAGATTTATTGGTTTTTAAGCTCCACAAAAGTAGATATTCATACCGCATTATATATTTATTAAAAAATTAAAATAATTTACTGTCCAACTTTATTTTACTAAAAAAATAATAATAGCTGGATATATAACCATCCAGTTAAACCTGTTTGTAATACAACCTTAGTATTCTAATCCATTACCGACCGAATTCATAAAAGCACTCTTAAAAGCGTGTGTACTCAGAGTGGACGCTTGTGTATTCAAAGTGGGCACGAGTGAAGCAATAAAAGTCGTTCGTTATTAAAAAACAACGAGGTCAAAGCTGCCGTCTTATTCATGATGCACTTTGGTTCAAAGAAGTTGTTCTGAATGGAGGACGAGAACATATGAAAAGTTCTATGATCTTGTCGAAAACTGGTTTCATATGACGGCCAAATTGCCATTGCAATTTATACCATGCTGTTACACAATTAATGTATATAAAACCTTTGAAATCCTAAAATTACTTAAGAAATTCGTCAACGATAGAAGTAGTCTATGTAAAAAAAAAAAAAAGATTTTTCTATGGTGGATTGGGAAAAAGAAAAGGTTCTGTGATTTTTTGATGTACGCTTAAAATCAAAGGTTCTTCTAATGGTGTTCAATTCGAAAAAAGAAAAACTTGCAGTGCTATAAAAAAATGTTTTTATAGTCTACCGAAAAATAAAAAAAAGAACTTATATAGAAAGGGTGTATTGAATGTGTTATATAGGAAACACAAGATAAGGTATTGAATCAGGAGGGGAAAAAAAAACTTCAAGGAGTTATTTTGGTGGTGATGGTTAATGAAGTTTGTTCCTTTTCTTGATTTTTTGGGTTTAAATTTTAGAACTAGCATTCAAGAGAATTTATTAAATTATTTTACATGTACCTGATCAATATAGAGATGTGTACTTCAAATCATTAGGAAAGAAACTTCAAATAATTGATATGCAAACGGACTAAAAAATCCTCTGACCATCTAGTAATAAGAAAAAAAGAAAAAAATATTGGAAACCAGTATAATAAGAATTTATTATTTTTTTTTTAGAAAAAAGAGTTATATAGGAGATGCAAAAGCGAACAAAAAGGGTCAAATAAAAAACAAGTATTTTAAAAAACTATTTAGAAAATATAGGTATTAGATAAATATATAACGGTCATTTAAACAATTTAAAGATATTATGGAGTTAAAGCTTTTATATATAATTATGAATATATATCCTATTTATTTATTTCTCGTTATAAATCTATAATAATAAAACTTCAATTAGCCTGTTTTGTTTCTTAAATAGACAATTAATTAGGATAATTACTAAAAAAACCTTCTAAAACTATCTAAAAAATTTACTAATTTATTTTTAAATCTCTCAAATTTAAAACAATATTTTTCTTACAAAAACATTCAATAGTTAACTCCTACTTAACATAAGTTAGCTACTAAGCGTTTTAGTAAGAAAAATATTATTTTGCACTTCAAAGATTTTAAAATAAACCGATGAATTTTTTAAATAGAAGTTTTTTTTTTTTGCAAATTATTCATAACTTAAATAAAACTATTATTTTTCAAGATATGCATTTCTATTCTAGATGCTTATATTCTATTTAATTAATGCATCAAATATGTTATACCGTCATTGTGTAATTTAATTTAATTACTTGATGAAAGTGCTAAATTTTTATTAATTAAAAACAAAAACTACTGTTGGTGTTTTTTTTCCATCAATATATTAGAATTTTGGAGATCGTGATTGTTCATAATCATATGTATTTTTTATTTTTTTATTTGTATGATATCTTTTGAGTTAAATTACAAGAAGATAATAAGAGTTTTGTTTTACTAGTATTAACTAGTTGAATTGCATCGGCTCCTGTAACTATTAGGTAGTAAAATTCATTCTTTAATTGATACAAAATATGTTCAATATAAATAAATAAATTTACATAAGAAACTTTTTAGTGTAATTAAAAAAAACAATAACCGAAGGTTAGTATATCAATAGTCAAAAAACCTCATGAAACTTTTTTTTTTCCTTTCGATTGTAATAAGAAAGAACTCGAACTTAATCATGATAAAAAAAAAAACATTATGAGACTTATCAAAAACTGTTAAATGAGATTATTATTAGATAATTATAAAAAAAAATTCTAAAAAAATCTTTAATACGAAAAACTTATCAATTTATTTTTAAATTTTTAAACCCAAAATAATATATTTCTTATCAAAACATTTAATAATTAACTTGTGTTAAGTTGCAAGTTAACTATTAGATGTTTTGATATAAAAATATTATTTTGGGTTTAAAAGCTTTAAAAGTAAATGAATAACTTTTTTAAGCAGAAGAGTTTTTAGGGGATCTATCTTGTAATTATCCTTAGTTAATTACCTATTCAAACCGGCAAGGGGAAGTATCTAGGCCTCCCTTAGCGGACACCAAGGAGGACATTGCGAAAACCATTGACCAAAAGGCAGTTAAGAAGGATAATGACTTCATTTTCGAATATAAATATGGTAGAAATTAAGTCCACTAAGGCAAGTTGCTCATCATGCTACAACACCCCATCAGATCAGCAAAGAAGAGTGAAATCCTAATATAAAATCTAGGAAAATCCCAAGGCAATTTGCACATCTTTGTCACCTTTCCTTATTTATAGCCATTATGTAATCATCTTGTATTTACCATCTTTAACATCAACAAACTCTTACGTTAGGTTTGCGGTTTGCACATCACCCTATACATTTTTTGTTTCCTCTTTGACTAGAACCACCTTCTTTTTACAGGTCATTCATGTATTTTTTACAGCCTGATAAATCTCAATTACAGGTGAATCTAGCAATACTAATTTAAGGTTATAAAACTCGGAAAGGATAATTTCATGCCAGTGGGGTACCAGCCAAAGGCAAGCTGGGTAGGTTTAAAATTAGAGTAAATAGATAAATGTTCAATATGTATTTATGTTTTTAATTATATTTTTCATGTCTTTGAATATTTTTTAAGTTTTTAATTTATCTTGTCAATCAATTTTTTCAATTATAATATTATTATTTTTACCTAAATATCCCTAATTAAAATGAAAAGAAAAAATAATAAAATAAAATAAAAACTTTCTTGAAGTCATATGATGTGTGCTTACATTACATTTTAAAGTCTTTTTTTTCCTTCATTAAGTGGTCTTTTAGTTAAAAAAAATGTCTATAATAAAAAAATACTTGAAAAAAACTAAAAATTTAAATAGTATTTAAGACATAATAAATGCAATTAGAAATATAGAAAAATATTGGAAACTAAGATCGTTATAGAGGAAAAAATTGACTTATTTACTTTTAAAAATTATCCGCACATGGCCACAAAACAGTTATAAATATGTACAAATAGATTCTGAAGACAACTCCAACACTCGATTCTTTTCCTTCCTCTACTTTCTCTGCTTCTGTAATCCCTGTATGTCTCATATTTCCTTATATACAACATCTCTTAATCTTTATCTACCCTGAACTATTTAGAGTCTCTTTTAGTTATCTTAGTCTTTTTCTCTACACCTACACATATATCTATACCTACTCATCAATCAATCCCAGTTTTCATCCATACAAAAAAAAAACAACCCCTTGAGATTTTTCACCATAAACTTTCTCTGTGTGCACATTCCATCAAGTTTCGGGTTTCTGGGATCCTTCAACATCATGGTATAGCTCTCTCTCTCTGTGGAAAATCTGTATCTCTCTTGTTTCTGTTTGTTTATTGTTGTTTTGTTATTTAACTTTTTTTTTTCTTTTGGGTTAATATTTTCAGGCACGAGAGATTGGAAACGTCAGATATGATGAGGTAAGATAAGTTCATGTTTATGTGGCCATGGTTTATTTGTTACTGTTTTTTTGGCATTATATTAGATATTTTATATCAATTTTAAAACCGTTTTCCTTTTGTGAATTGCTGCAGGAGTTTGTATTGAATTCTCGAGGATTGAAGCTTTTCACGTGCAAATGGCTTCCCATGAATCAAGACCCAAAAGCCTTGATCTTTATTTGCCATGGTTATGCCATGGAATGCAGCATCACCATGAACAGTGAGTAGCTCCAAAAATCTGCACGTTAAGGCTTTCTAGTTTTTCTTGAATATCAAAGTGGTAAAGAATATTGGCAATTCAATGCTGAGGGGTGTTTTTATTATAATTTTCAGGCACGGCGATTCGGCTTGCGAAGGCAGGTTTTGCAGTTTATGGTTTAGATTATGAAGGCCATGGAAAATCAGCTGGTTTACAAGGCTATGTGGAAAACATGGATTATGTCATCGATGATTGCTCTAGTCATTTTACAAGCATATGCGGTGAGATTTTATTTTTCTTGCAACATGCGATTTTTATTATTTTATCATGAACTGTTTTGAAGCATTTTATATAACCAATAATTTCCTTTTTGTTTGATTTTAGAGATGCAAGAAAACAAGGGGAAGATGAGATATTTGTTAGGAGAGTCCATGGGAGGAGCAGTTGCTTTGCTCTTACACAGAAAGAAACCAGATTTTTGGGATGGTGCAGTCTTGGTGGCACCCATGTGTAAGGTAACTTTGTTTATTATCTCCTTTCTATTTGGCTTTTCCCTTTGGTCTCTCTCTCATCACATTATTTGTTCGCAAAAAAGAAAAAAAAAAAAAAAAAAAAGAACACATTCCTTTATTATATGGGAAAGCACGTTTGGTGGCTTTTATGTACATGGTCTTCCTACAAAATTGGATCTGGTTCTTGTTGCTTTTCTTGTCGTTCTTTATGTATTTATTTTTAATTTGAGTATGATTTAATTTTATAAACTTAAATCAAATAAGAGCAAATTTCGAACCAGCTGGCCAGAATTTTAACAAAAACAGTGTGTTTTACCTGTACAGAACCACTTAATACGACAAAGAAAGGCTGAAACAGCCTTCGTTTGAGTCAATCGTACGGACACGCTGTTTCAAAAAACCTATTTAGCTGAATAACTGGCCAAAGGTTACACACACACACGCACAAAAAAAAAGCTGAAAAACTCTGTAAATGTCAAATAAAACGACGCAGAAATTGGTTATGTAGGCAATATTTCCTGTCATTTCATTGATTTGGTCCTCAATTAGCTCTTTGGACCCATTCTAGATCAATGAAAGGCATGAGAATTTACTTGGCCTTTATTTTATGAACAGATTGCAGATGATGTGAGGCCACCTCAATTGGTAATTACAATTCTAAGAAAGCTTTGCAGTATCATTCCAACTTGGAAAATAATCCCAACCAAGGATATCGTCGATGTTGCCTTTAAAGTACCTGACGTAAGACAACAGGTATATTTCTTTCAAATATTAATTTTCCTCCCAATTTTTAATGATTAGATTTTTTTTCTCGCTAAAATGATAAATTAAGTACTGATAATGACTTAATTACAGATTAGAGAAAACCCATATTGCTACAAAGGGAAACCTCGCTTGAAGACCGGGCATGAACTTCTAAGAATTAGCATGGATCTTGAGCAGAGGCTTCAAGAAGTGTCATTGCCATTTTTAGTTCTGCACGGTGAAGCAGATAAAGTGACGGATAAAACTGTGAGCGAGCAACTCTTCAAAGTGGCTTCAAGTTCAGACAAGACCATTAAGTTGTATCCTGAGATGTGGCACGGTCTACTTTATGGAGAACCAGTAGAAAACAGTGACAAAGTTTTTGAAGACATTATCGATTGGTTAGACAACAGATCTCGTTTTGGAAATACCAGATTGGAGAGGGAGCAAAAGCATATGCATGATGAGTTTTCCAAGTCTAAATAAGAGCAAGAAATTCAGCAATGATGATGATCATGTCCTGGGCAAGATTTTATTCTTCAATTTGATGAGTGCTAGGTGGAATTTCCATTACAAAATAAGTACAGAAAAAAAAAAAAGAAGAAGAAGAAGACTGCCCAAATGATGACATGAGATACATCAATCATCGAGGGCAGTTGGGACTGGGACTGTTCTACCTAAAGTTAGCTAAGTACTGGGAGATAGGGACATTTAATTACATAAAATGGCTTCCGAATATTCATTCATTTCTCCTTCACATCCTCTGTAAGAAAAGTTGTTTGAAAGAACGCATTCTAATTTAATAGCGAGCAACTTCTTATCTTGATTTCAAGAACGTGTTCATTGGCTGATTTATCACTTCGGTTCTGAAGTAATTATAGGTAACTTGTGTTATCAAGTAATGGTTGTTGTCAATTTCTAGTTGCTGGGAAATGATGCTTAGTACTTTGCATTAGTGGAGAGTAGAAAATTGCATAAAAAAATCTTAAAAAGTGGTTAAATCAACTAATTCCATCGCTTTAGATGAGAGAATCTTGAGGCAGGTAGAAAGTTTTCCAATGAACGAAGAATCGAATTACCTAACCAGATGAACGACGTGGCGTAGAGCCACACAATCGTTAAATCAAAGTTATGGACCCCAACACAACAATAAATTAATCCAAAAGAGATGTGGACAAAGGCTGGTTGCATCTTAATCTTAATATACATGTAGGAAGGGCTTAAAACTAATGCCGTAAAACATGACCATGTCTTAAAATCACTCATGTTAATCCACTTGGCATGCTTAAAAAATTGTCATTTTAATGGTAACGATCCGGATGCGTTGATTACATTCAAGACCCCGACAGGTTTCTCCAAATAAAAAATTACTTATAATAAAAAATTATTCTCGTTTTCTTTTTTGAGAAAAATTGAAAAACAAGAGGAAAATTTTCAGTTTTGTAACTGTTTTAGTATTGAAGACGAAAAATTTAACTGGTTTTTGGAGTTTAGTATTTTCCTTTTTTTAAGTAGTAATTTATTAAAAAATCAGTTTTTATTTATTATTTATTTTTTCTAATGAAAAAAATTGTTTTATTAAATTCTCAATGTCATACGTCTATTCGTTATGAGTTATCGTTAATTTTAATATGTCATATTAGATTAATATTTATCAAATGATATGAATCGTTAAATTTCAAATAATAAAATATTTCAATCAAATTAAAAATAAAAAGATATCAATTAAAATATCAAGAATATGAGATCAACCCATTACAAAATAAGTTGAGAAAAAAGAAATTGCCCAAATGTTGACATAAGATGCATCAATAATCGATGGCAGTTGGACTGGAATGTTCTGCCTAAAGTTGGTACTGCGAGAAATGGCTTCTGAATATACATTCATTTCTCCTTCACATCCTCTGTAAGAAATTTTTTTGAAAAAACGCATCCTAATTTAAAAGCAAGCAACTTCTCTCTTGATTTCAAGAACGTGTTCATTAGCTGATTTAATACTTCGGTTCTGAAGTAATTATAGATAACTTGTGCAATCAAGTAGTAGTTGTTGTCAATTTCTAGTTGCTGGGAAATGATGCTTAATAATTGCATTACTGGAGAATAGAAAATTGCATAAAAAATCTTTAAAAAGTGGTTAAATCAACTAATTCCATCGCTTTAGACGATCGAGAATCTTGAGGCAGGTAGAAAATCTTCCAATGAAAAAGAATCGAAGAACCTAACCAGATGAACGACACAATCATAAAATCAAAGTTATGGACCCCAACACAACAACGAATTAATCCAAAAACTGTGGCAAAAGGGTGCACACAGTGGAGACAAGACCTAACCCACCATCTATGTATATTTTATCCCAACGGTATGCTGCCTGCATCATAATCTTATCTTAATATATACGTATGAAGGGCTTAAAATTAATGTTGTGAAGCCATGTTGTGTTTTAAAATCACTCATTTTAATCCACTTGGCATGTTTAAAAATCAAAAAATTTTATAATACTCGAGGAGTAATCAATGATATATACAGTGATTACTTCATGGATCTACTTAAAGAACGAGGTAATCACTAAAAAAGAAGAGAAAAATTAAAAAAAATTGAGCGAAATGTGAAAATCTTTTTAACATTTTTAATGAGTCCGGACACTAATTATTTTTTGAGTATTATAAAATTTCTCTTAAAAATCTACCATGTAAATTTAGATTTGATAAGTATAGCTATAGTAATTAGAAGTCTAGATTTTATAATAATAAATCTTGCAATTTTCCAAAAAACTCTAGATAAATACACGTTATTGTTTGGATTTGCTTGATGACTTTAGAGATAAATATTATACCTATGGTTACTCGTATCAAAGCCATGGATTACGTACAGGTGATTCACATTGCCTTATTTTTATATTTTTCCTCTTACTCTTTGGCTCCTGATGATCTCACACAACCACAATGACACCGCCAAAGATTAGCCGATGACTGATGTGTGGTCATGGGCGGCACCCAATTGGTCATTTCATGCACATACACATGACCCACATGTATCGTTAGAAATTTGTTTGGTTACGGGCCATATGCCCCCCATATTTGATATTTGGTACCTTGTTTATGACTGGAGATTCTTAAATGCTACACTTACTAAATATTGCCTGCACAAAGAAAGAAAAACAAGGTCGAAACTGCTGAAATCTTCTGATAACAACTGACGTTGCCTTCTTCTTCATCATTGCAATTCTGTTTGCAATTCCATTTTTCCTTGAGCCTGAAATGTGCTACTTAGACTATTTACGCCATTTCCTAGCTTGCTATTGTGATATACATTTGTTATCACTAATGACTAAAAACAAGTGGACCTCATCACATGCAAAGAGGCGCTTGGCTTCCTTTGATGTTAATAATTTATGGCTACAAGTTTAGCATTCAGGGCACATCAAATAGCATTTTCTAAAGAGGACACAAAGCATCTTTTTTTGGTTTTTACCTCTTGATGATCCGGCTCACAAATGGAAACCTAATCTACTTTTGTGATTTTTATTTGCTTTACCCTTCTGTATTATGTCATTTCTATTTAATATTAGTTTAATTTATCATTTTAAAAATAAAAATACTTCAGTTATAAATTAAATTATCAAACAAACCCAATGATATTAATAAGATTTCACATCTAAAAATTAGAGATTCTTCAATTATATCCTTCTTCTATTTAATTAATACTAGTTCAAATTACCAAACAAACCCAACATTGCTCATGTTAGACCCTTTAATTTCTTTTATATTATTATAATCCTGTTTAAGGATTTATATTTAAGATTAATATAATTTCTCATTTAAAAAAGAAACATATTTCGATTATATATATCACATTACCGAACAAACCCCCATCGATGCTTGTATTACACCCGACCCCTGCCAGGTGCAGGCCCTACCTTAGTCATCAATCAATTTAAAGCATTTATAATAATCTTCAATCAATTTAAAGCATTTATAATAATCTTACCCTCTTTCTACTTAAAACAACAAATCCAAGCTACCCATCGAATTCCCAAATAATAACTTGGAGATCGACATTGCAACTGTAAACTACAATGAAGAAGTCATCACGCATGAACTTCCATCGCTATCTAATTATCATCTCTAGCTGTTGTTAAAAAAAGCAATCATCAACGGTGATACAAAGACCACTGCACGTACACAACCAAATTCGTTATGAATCTAATTTCATAGATGCATCTGTCTTTATGCAGATGCATGTGCATGCACAGGAATTTGCAGAAATCATCATCTAAGCCTCCACTCGTTCAAAATTATCTGCTAGAGACATGCCAAGGGGTTTTCAATGCTTGTAGATAGGATTCCCGGGAGGCCATGAAAACGTTACGGGGAGTATAATTATATGCAGAGCATCCCAGTCCATCGAAGCCAAGCAATGACTTGACGGTATTTCGTTTTAACAACCGGAAGATATCAAGAGAATCAGAGTTGTGGAAATTAAAAAGCATTGCGCTCATTCATCCATTTATTAAATGCACCAAGACAATCTTGTTGCCAGTTATAATTCCAGCGAAGAATAATCCTCAACTTTGATTTTTCCACGTATAGATTTTTGAAAAAGTTTATTTAGTCGTTGTTATTCGCTTATTTTTATATAATCAAATTTTATCAAAATAAATTTTATAGTTGTTTTTATTACATTTTATTAATTTCAATATATTTTGTATAATTTAAAAAATTTTAAAAATATTTTTCATTTTATACAACATACTCCGACCTATTTAATATAATCATGATGTACAAAAAAATAACAATAAATAATTTTATTAAAAATTAACTATACATCTACACACATAACTCCAACTATTTATTATTATTTTTTTAATATTTTAAAATTAATCTATTCAAAATAAAATAGTCAAACTAATATTTTAGAAAAACTGCCTAATAATTCAAATAAAGCTTTTTATACTAATATTATTCATTATATTTAAATAAATACATATAAATTAAATATACATATTCTTAAAAATTAATCTTCTCATAATAATAAATGAGAACAAAAAAGATTCCTTCTTTATATTTTTACATAAGTTTTTAATTAATTATTATTTTATTTCTTCAACGTAATAATATGAAAATAAATATTAAAACGTTTTTTTTAATTTTATATTTAAATTATTATGGATTATTACTTAAGAAAAATTACATTTTACCACAAAACTTTGATTAAAAAAATAAAACTATATCTTTTATTTTTAATTTAATATATTTCAATTGATTAATAAAATAATACATATTATTAAATTAAAATAAATATATTTAGTTCATCCAGCTGCTTAATGCAGAAAGCTACCTGGCGACAACCAAAACCAAAAGGGATGAGAAGTAAAAAGAAAAGGTGCATCTTAAAAACATGTTATATGTTATAATAGGTTCTCGCATTGACACCGTGGATTAGGATAGGCAAATAAACATCCAACAACATTTCCAACTCAGAAAGAAGGATTGCAAATTTACAAAATTGGAAGAAACCAAAACCAGAAGACTTCTTTAACTTAACTTTCACAGGCTGATCAACATGAAAAACTCTATCAAATGAGTCCTAACTAACTAGACTTACATATGCACCCTTGTTGCGAGACCACTACTAGCTACACTGTTAGTACAACAAGGTCAATGCCAAGCCAACCAGGCAGAAAAAGGACTGCAAGTATCAACCTTCAGCTGTAAACAGGGTTCACAACATGCCAAGACCACCCAGACACCATTAAGTGGATACAAGGCGGTGCACTGTGACAAGCAAACTCATTTCCTATTTACTAGTAGGAAAAGTGAAGCTTGATCATTTGCATTTGCAGGGCGCTAAAGAAAGTCACACTCAGGTTAGAGAGGAGGGTTGACATTGAAATCTTCTAGTCCCTCCTAGAACTTCCCTGAGGGTTCAATCATAAAGTGCTCTTCTTTGAGGGTTGCTCCAGCAATTTCCACGTGATCCAGGCTTCTCAATTTATTAGTTGACACGGCACATGAAATTTGATACTGTAAAAAAAATAAAAAAGTTATCGAATAACCTTTACTTTTAAAATATTGTAAGAAGTGAATTTTTTGTTTTTTTTGGGAACCAAAAGGTATTTTAAAAATTCAAACAAATAAATTAGCCATATGGCAGATTAAGCAGCAGCAGAGTACAGGCATTTTTTTTTCTCCTTGAAAAATTCAGCAAGACATAGTTGCAAAAACTCCAACCATAAACATTAAACATATATCAGTTGGATTACGCTTTAACTATGAGTACATCTATAGAACAAATGAAAGGATGAATTGGAGCTTCCATCAACATCGCTTGCTCACCAAAACAATCAACACAAAACGATGATTCACCATCTTCTCCCGTAATTTATTTAATTGATTTTGTGTAACTATTTATTAGATTCCATGGGTGACTACCTCAATAGCCAAAAAATCTTCATATCATAGGGTGATGCAGGACAGCTTATGGGGGCTGTGCTCTAGATCTGACTTTGGAGGCTGTTTAGGGCTGTAAAGAAGTTGATTTCTGCTGGGAATTGTAGAAACTATTAGTCACACTAATAAAGTTTCTAGGAGTCACACTTAGAGGACAGAAAAACCTAAGCTTCACACCTAGGGTTCCTTGGAGTAACCTAAGGGATATTGAGTCATGCAATCAAAAGCAAATTGCTGGAATTTTATTCATAAACTAATATTTTAAATTATTAAAAGACTAAATGCTTATTTATAGAGTTCTAATAGTCTAAATCCAATAAGTTCTTAGATTTCTAAATAAGCCACTACTAAAGTCTATATAGAATAGGAAAATCCTAAAAAACTAATTACTCCTAATAGAAAATAAAACCTAGACATAGATAAATTTCCAGATTTTTCCAGAAATTACAGAAATACTGTTGCCTATAAAAACACATTTTGCTTCCTTTGTTGGCCACGAGATAGGGTGTTCGATTGGATAAAAGTTCATATATAGTTTCAAATCCAAATCCCAAAAAGACCCACACAGACATTATCATGTCTGTCCCACTCCTGCAATTTTTAAAATCACTGTATACATGCAAATTGAACTAAAAGTAAGTTGATCACAACATTCAAAAGGGGAAAAGAAGCACCTTCAATTTAATCCTTCCTCAGATGATCTTGTTTCGAACTTCTTCAAGTTTCTTGAGTATCTCCCCAGGAGTTCTGTCCAGCTCATCGGCAATTTTTCTTTGTGCATCAAGGGGCAGAGTTGGGAACTGCTCACATAGATCCCCATCAATCACATCCTGCAAAATTATCCTAAGACTTTAGCATTCTTTTAGAAAATACCAAGTAGCACTATAGCTTAAACGATCTAGATAAAAAAAAAAAATGAAGACAGGATTTTCTTAAAAACAAAAAAACAAATCACTGAGATAAATAAGTACATGCAATAAATTGTTCCTGTTCGAAAAAACTCAGTGGCTTTAATGCATTTTAAATTCGTGTTGAGAAACTACAATCAAATGAGGCCATCTGTGATGACTTACCTTAACAGGAAAATAAGCAGACCTATATGCCATATGATCTCTTCCACACAAAGGTGGGTGGTCTTGTCTCAAATGCATCTCCAAATGTGAAAAGAAGTCAACATCATCTCGAGAGGTGAATGGAAGTAAAGCCCCCACGCTCCCCATCACTGTCCCATATATGATGCACTCTCCACCACCTGGAATTAGAGATGCCTTCTGCAAGCTATTAACCACATCGCCGATATGAAACTGTACTATCTCCTCTACCTTGTTTGGAGCTCCATTAAGCTTCCCCTGCTCCCACTTTATCTTTCCACCAGTTGGATCTTCCTCGATCTCATCAGAAACATCCTGTGGTAACCTCACAAAGTAGATATTCCCAAACTTGTCTGCACCAGCCACGGTATCGAAATCTACGTGATATGATGATGTGAGCCATCTTGGAACACTATCATCAGCAAAAATATACAGCTGATTTTCATCCCGCCTGTACTTGCAGAAATGAAATGACTGCAAAGTAGACACCAAAAATATACTTCATAACATCACCAGGAAAAGTAGGACATACAGATGTGAAAATGTATATGAAAACAAACAAATATCTAAAAGGAATATACATCCAGATTAAAGGTATTTAGAAAACATACTTCTTGAATGTCGCCCACATAAATCCGATCACGGTAGGTGTGGATGGAGACAATAGTGTTGGGGAACAGCTTATTCTCACACTTCCTAAGCAACCTCTTTTTCCCCAAGTCATACAATCTCAGCACCGATCCTATTCCAGCAAGTAATCTTCCCTGAAACTGGCACAAAGCAAGTGGAACACCTTCTACTTGAGTCTTATGCAAGAGCTCCAGGCTTTTGCCATCATCCACAAACTTATAAATGTGAATGAACCCAGCAACTAAGCTTCTTTTTGGCCAAAACTGCAGTCCCTTGGCTGTACCAACAGCTAAGAGAGTTCCATGCTCCTTGTCGTGGAAATTTACAGTGCACACGCTAAATGCAGCTTCATTGTCCTGAAGTTCCAACAAGCAAGTAGTAGAAGCAGACCTTGGGTCAAGGACTCTAATGCAAGAAACCCATTTGTCTGACTCAGCCTTTGGATAACCATACTGCTCATCAGATAGGGGGTCATCTTTATCATCGTCACCATTTTCCATCTGCTCAGCATTGGCACTTCCATTTTCACCCATTCCAGCAACTTCAAAACACTCTTTTTTTGCTGCTTCACGCTCCTCTGCTGTATAAGCTCCTTGATCGCTCTCAATAATGACCAACAATTTCCGCTTAGGTTGAAGCACAAACTTTCTTGGAGTGTATCTTAGAGGGATTGCAGTTTCATTAAATGTTTCTCCCAATCTCTCAATTGTGAAAATCCTCAACGCATCCCCGGCAACAGCGACTACACCTTCTGCACACTGATCAGATGAGAATGAGGCGGCATATTCAAGAGTCTCATATGAAAGGGGTGTTAACAGAAAATGGCCTTGGTGTATATAACCAAGCCAGGGTCGACTAGATAAGCACAGCATTGCACGTCGACCTCTCACATTAATGGAAAAAAGTTTTGGGGCCCTCAACCCCAAAAATCGGGAACGAGAGTCGGAAAGCTGCCCTGTCACCATATCTACCACTGTCCTGGATAGAACCCCAGTCTGCAAACCAGCATTGAGGAAAAGACTGGCCGGGTGATCAGCACCATCTTCCCCACCAATTGATGCCTGAACCTCAAGAAAGAGGAGGGATTCTGGAGGTGCTGAAACACTTTGAACACTCAGAATCTGCATACAGTCATCAGGATCCAATGACAAGACACGAATGGTGTTATCATACGAACCAACTGCTAGGAACCGAGACCTCTGTCTTCCTTCTGGAACAGGGGCAATGTCCAAACAAGCCACGTCCCCGGACATCTCATTCTTCTCCACTTCCATTAGCTGACCAGTCATATCCACCTCAAAATATATAAGCTCTCCTCCGCTTAAAGCAATAACCACTTGAAGTCTATTTGAGCCAACTTTCACAATAGTCCTCTTTCCAGGAGTTCTCCACTCATTAATACGCCCATCTTCCCTAATATGTCTTATGCCATTCGGGTGAATTTGCATCAAAGAGTCATCACCAATTAAAGAAACAGCAAGTGAAGGTGTGGTATCAAGGAACCCACTATCACTGACTTCCTCAACTGTTTCTCCAATCGAAAGCACGAGAGTTGCATTGTTAAAAGACACAACAATATATGCATCAAACTCATCACTAACATTCTTTTTCACAGTCCAAACTGCACTGGGTACACCAGGAAGCTGTGACACAGCCATCTCACTAATGGCCAAACCAGGCCTCAATATCCTCAATGAGGAGCGAGGACCACGCCCACAGAGTGAAAATATCTGCGGGGTTTCTTCGTCAAAAAGATTAGCAACCTTCATGTCCATAATAGGCATCAAGCTCTCAACCTGGTCAATCCTGACAAGATTCTTTAGCCCTCTTGGCTGGAAAAACACAGGCTGGAAGCCTTCCTCAGTTTCCATCAAAGTGGCAGATGAGGCCTCCACATCCTCTTCCTCCCCAATGGCCTGAAACTGATACAACGCATGATTCCCAAACTCTGATGCAGCAAACAAAAACCCTGATTTCAACACACACATCGAGGAAGTAACTGGGATCGTGTCAAAATACTTGATCTTCAACTCCTTAACCTTGTCATTCTCATGATCCAACGTAACCTTAAAAATGTCACCATACTCCGTCTGCAACAAAAAGAAAAACATAGATTTCTGCTTATGTGTAGCTGCAGAAACTATCAAAACCCCACGTTCAGCAGGTAAATCAGCACGCCTAGGAATTACGGCCCTCACATCAGGATGCCCTTGATTCTTATAAATCACAAAATTCTCAGCACAAACTAAAACCCCACTCGGCCCATCACCACCTCCAGGTACCGTAACAAGCATATTAGCACCATTATCAACCTGCTCAGACCATTTCCTAGACACATGGTTAAGCCCCAAATCAAGCTCGTAAAATGTCAAATTCTTCTGTGCTTCACTTGCAGCTTGTCCTGTCGAATCCTGATCCGCTTCTGAATAATCCAACTCAATTGCAGCAAAAATCGGATTATCAAACCCACAATCAACACCACATACAGAATAACATATAGTATGCGACTTATGCGCCTCTAGAGGAGAAGAAATGGTTAACCTGGCAACAGTATCTCTATTCAAAACATAGACTAACTTCTGTTTCTCACAAGCACCAATCATAACAGCTCTTCCTTTCGGATCAACAGCCAAATATTGACCCGGAACAATCCGGCGACAACCAGATTTTCCAAAAGTTTCTTGATGAATTTTATCAAAGACATTTCTCTCCTTATTATATTCTAAAATAACAATCCTACCGGAATCAGAACCAACAGCAATATAATCTTTTTGAGCTCCAGTTAGTCTAAACTGAGCTAATGAGCGAACAGCACCGAATATTTCAACAGAGAGAACTGTTTGAAGCTTACCGTTCTCGTCAGGTCGAAGTAGATCGAGAACTTTACCACGAGCAACTACGATTTCTTGTGCTTTGCCGCCGGAGAAGTTGCCGTTTATGGCGGAGACGATTCCGGTGGCTCGTTGGAGAGTGAGGCTGTAGAGGTACATCGTAAAGTTAGGTTTGGAGTGGGAGACACGATGGGAATCGGGGTTTTAGGGTTTTAAGGTACAGAGCTACCTAAAGAGTGGCTCTGAGCTTTTCCGAAGAAGAAAAAAACACTTGTTGAGTGATTATTGAAATGTATCGTTGATGGACTTGAAGACTCGGCCCATCAAGAAGGTCCTTTTATACCAATACCACAGCTTACACGCGGGCTAGGATCAAAATTAAACTAGGACCAAAAGTTTTATCTAAGACTAACCATACTGACATTAAATTAGTTATTTTGACTGGAAAGTTATAGGAGAAGGGTCAAATTGTCACTTTCTTTTTCTTTTTCAAAAAAGTTAGTTGGTAATATATATATATATATATATATATATAGAAAGTTAATTTTTTTTAAGTGTAGTTAATTGGTAAATTTGCGTGTTGGTTAATATCATTTAAAATGAAACCTTATTGTCGGTCAAAAGAAACTCATTTATCAATAGTGACAATCATAAAAACACAAAATTGATTTCAAAATTACATCATCTGTAGTAATTTATGCTTTTTCTAAAAGCCTTTAGGTAAAATTAACTTTTTGTAAATTTTTTTTGGTAAAACTAATTTTCTCTAAAAAAAAATTAGGAAAAACTAACTTTTTGTAAAAAAACTTTTATGTAAAACTAATTTTTTGTAAAAATTTTTAGGTAAAACTAACTCTCTAAAATCTTTTAAGTAAAACTAACTTTCAGTAAATTCATTTAGGTAAAACTATATATATATATATATGTGTAAAAACAACTTTCTTTAAAAACCTTAAGGTAAAACTAATTTTTTGTAAAAAATTTAGGTAAAAATATCTTTATGTAAAAAAAAAAAAAAAACCAAACATTTTCTAACTATTTTAATTATCATCTTTTAGAAAAAAAAAAAAAAAAAAAAAAAAACTAGGCCTTGGTCCTAGCTTAGTGTTGATCCAAACCCGTTTGAAATTGATAGAAATAGATATGTGCGAACTCCACAAGACTAGATATAGCCCGACGACTATGACAATTTCATCAATAACCCTGCAAATAATTTATTTGCCTACGTTTATCCTAATGTGCAAGACTCTTAATTAAAATTTATTGGTAGGTGAGCTCATTAAAAGATTCGAACTTTTAAATAATGATTTGAAATTTTAAAAAATTAAAAATAGATGGAAACGCTCTCTCTCGAGACTAAAGAGTTATACATACAATCATAATTTTCTTCTTCTTTTTTCTCCAGCAATTTTCCTCCACTTAATTTTCTTTTATTTTCTGTTTAGTCACTTAGAAATCTAAAAAGAGAAGAAGAAGGGAAAAAAAAACTCTCTTTATGTTTCATTTTATTGCAATATAGCAAATAACAATGAACGATATTCATTTTGACAGAAGATATAATATCTGTCGAGCTGAATGTTTTGCATGTTTTGCTAATATGAGTGCCCTTATACTACTACTTAACCAAAAAAGCTCGACTGAAGCATATAAAGAACGGGCATGGAGGCGTTAATTGACGATGGGGCATAGCGGCAAATCGTGATGGTTCTTATTTTATTTAATAATCTCTACATTTACTAATATTTTCAATAATTATGTTCTGGTAATTTTTTTCTATTTCTTTGTTTTCATAAATTTTGATTCTACCTTGGGCGATCATGTGGGGTTTGTAAAGTTTGCCAAAATCTCATTGGACCCTAAAGGTCTTAGACTTCAATTTTATGCCATGAAAATCAGATGGACTTTATCAATTTCTTGTGGCATAAGAATGATATGAAAATTAATTACATTGGTATATATCAAAGCAATTGAATTATAAATTTCTGATTTTATTTTTTGATTTTTTTTCTCTTTAATCAATTTTTAACTTCATTGTTTTGCTCCAATATTCTATAGACGTGAGGTTACTGATGTATTTAATTCTAATATGACTTTATTTTTCAAGAGACATAGTTTGAGTTTCTGATAGGATGATAACATAGTAATTGACCTAGACAATTGTGGGTTTCCTAGAATGATTACTAAGGTTTTGGCTACAATAAATGTTAAAACCTGTTCAAAACAGAGTTGTACCTTTCCCTTTCTTCGATGTGTCAAATTAAGCAAAAATAAAACTTTTTTTTTTTTTCAGTAAACATGCATCTGAGACTAGTTTATAGATAGATCTAGTGCAGTCTTAGCAATCAACTTGTGTTTTAACACCAGAACTAGAATGAAACCACAAGTACATCTTCTTCATTCATAAACAATTTAAACAATTTCAAGCAGATAGTGGATGGACACTCATATGTTGCTTATGCATAGACTTTTTTCTGGTGAATGAGAACTGCTATGATATTAGTAATCTGCCCATTAGATATTGCAAAATGTGGTAGTTATTATGATCATTAATATGATGATAAGGATTGTCATCATCGTTTCGCTGTGTTATTGATGTTGCCATCGTTGTTGTTGTTGAGAGTTTTCTTTTTCATATATATATATATAAGTAAAAATAAAATTGCATCAAAGAAAGAGAAAAAATAATGGTATTTGTAGTAAAACTAACTTTTTGTGAAAACTTTTAAGTAAAATTATTTTTTTTGTTAATTAAAAATAATTTTATGTAAATATCTTTAGGCAAAACTAACTTTTTCTAAAAATCTTTTGGTAAAACTAAATGGTTGTAAAAACCTTTAGATAAAAATAACTTTATGTAAAAAAAAAATTTCTAATTAATTTACTTATCATAAAACTGTGCATTGGTCCTAGTTTAGTGTTGATCCAAGCCCGTTTGAAATTTATAAAGATAGATATGTGTTCTTACCACACAAGATTACATAAAACCCAACGACCATGACAATTGCACCAATAATCCTGCAAATAATTCATTGGCATATGTTAATTCTAATGCACAAGATATTTAATCAGAATTTATTAGTTAGTTCATTACAAGAATTCGGGCTTTTAAATAACGATTTGAAACTTCAGAAAGTCAGAAACATGCAATTACGTTCTCTCCCAGGACTAAACGGTCATACACACAATCATAATTTTCTCCTTCTTTTTTCTAGTGATTTTCCTCCGTTATTTTTCTTTCATTTTCTGTTTGGTTACTTAGAAATCTAAAACTAATATGGAATTTAGATCCTAATTCTCACCATTTTAGGATGAATATGCTTGTCCAAAGTTTCAAACCTTTTTTTTTTTTTTTTTAACATAGATGAAACTGCCATGGCAAGTATTACAGAACACATGATTAATCAAGTTTGGATTAATCTAAACTTGTTCGTGCAGTGGACTAGCTGCATTCCACTTTTGATGTTCGGATTTTCCATTTAAAAGTGTACATCTGTCAATTTTAGGTCCAATTTTGTTGAATTCGTTTCCATTGACGTAATAAAGAATAACAATTTGTTGTTTAGTAATAGCATTAGTTTTTTTTTTTAACTGTATACTTTATATATTGGATAAAACATATAAAGTCATTTTAATTTGATGATATGAGCTACATTATAAATCCGTCAAAATATATTAAATCAAAAATTAAAAAAAAAAAAACTATTCAGATTCATAACTTTTATCAAAATTTTATATTTAAATAATTATTCATTATTTTTTTTATAATTTTTTATAAAAAGAAACACATGATTTATTTTTTTATCCACATTTTTTTACTAAAAACTTATAATAATCTAAAAAGAAAATTTAAAAATCTATGGATTTTTAACTAAAAGCTTATCTTGTAAATAAATTTTTTCTAAAAATATAATACAAATTCTCTGAAAAAATATTTTTAATTTTTAGATTAAACTCTCTCACACACACATATAGAATCATGCTATTTACATTTAAAAATTCTAAGAACCCATCATATAAATTATATAAACTTTTTTTTAAAGAGAAAATAATCATATTTTAAAATTTTATTCAAAAATCTATACTTAGAAAAAATAATCATATTTATCAATAATTAAAATTCAAACAAAATAAAAAATTAAATTTAAAATTAATTGGATGATAATTTCCATAAAAAAACAAATTGAAGAAATAAATTTTAAACAATAAGAGTAATATAATATAAAATATATGTTCATTTTAAAATATGAAAGCATATCATATATATTTATTTCATAATTTTTGCAAAAAAATCCTTTTAAAAAAATAAATTATTGAAAAAGAAGCAAAAAAGAAAAGCCTGGCTAAGTACCACGGCCCGTAGTGCGTGTGGTACCCTTCGTGTGTGCCTGGAATCTGGATGACCAAGCCTCTCAGGCTAGCTAGAAAAAAAAAATACGACACGACGTCTTTTTGCTTAATAGCAGACGACGCTCGTTTGGCTGCAATTTCTGGTGATCTGATGTTTGCCAAAAAAAATTGCTGCATGTTTTTAGTTTTCGGTCCCTTAAAAGCCAAATTCTGTTACATTTTTGTCCAAAATCGTATAACTAATGTCAATAAACCCATTTAGAATTTTAAAACTGATTTTAGTACACACAAGCACACGCAAAAATTCATTTTATTTTAGTGTTTTAGTTAATTAAGCAAAGTACAAAAATTTATGGGTGAACTCATGATGGAAGGGTGCTCCCTTTTTTTTTAAGTTTCCTTCTATTATGAGAATGCTTGTGGTTTCATTCCAGTTCTGGTGTTAAAGCACAAGTTGATTGTTAAGATTTCTCTAGATCTATGAGTAGTTGCAGTTCATTCTAGTTTTGGTTTCAAAACACAAGTTTATTGTTAAGATTTCTGTAGATCTATCTATAAATTAATCCTATATGCTCGTTCAATCAAAAAATATATATGTATTTTTGATTAATTTTGAATATTGACAGAAGAGAAAAATATGTCGCTGTTTTGTGAAGGTTTTAACATTTGTTGTAGCAAAAATCTTAACAATCATTCTAGAAACCCATTATCGTTGAGGTCAATTGCTACCTTACTTCTCCATCTTGAACAATGAAACCACATTAGAATTAGATACATCAGTAACCTTATTTCAATAGGGTATTAGACTTGCATGGAGCTTGTCCTACAAAACTCAGATTCTTCCAATAGATACCTTATTTGGCTAGGTTACTTCAGACAGGTTCATTGGCGGGCCTTGACGAATTAACGTTACTGGCAATCAAGCTCTGATAGGAAGTCTGTACATTTCCTTTCCGTCCTAGCTGTTTGTCCATACGGTGTTATACTGTTACTGTTTGATGTTGTAGTTTGATCCTTGCTCTTGGCCTATAGAACAAGGTATGGGCCTGGAACGATCACGATGGCTCCAATAACACTACCAATGATTCACCGCTTGTGTTAGCTCTCCGCGCTTCCCTTTTTTCTATTAAGACGAGCAATAATTTTATCTAGCCAGCTTTTTGTATTTAGAACTTTTTTTTCTTTTATAATTTGTTTATAATTTAGATAGCCTGCAACAACTTAAACCTGAATTAACAATTACAGGACTTAATTAATCTAGCATACGTGTGCGCACGCACACACACATATATATTCTCTAATCTTAATTTTTAATTTTAATCATACAAGAAAGAGAGATACTAATTAGTATTTTTAGCTATTATAGTTTTGAGGAATTCTTGGATTAATATTTATTAATTAACTTTTTTATTTTTATAAATTTCCACTCTAGGAAATACAACAATGAAAGTGAATATTTTTCTTAAGGAGGTCTATGAATCTCAAGTTATACAATAAAAATAATGTTTTTCTATCACATAATCACCAAAAAAAATTTAAAGTAATTGGAATTTAAATTTAAATTTATTAAAAAAGCTATTTAAATACACAATCTTAAACATAAAAACATTTTTTTTTCATTGAAATACCATCATCATTTGAACAAACAATATTTCGGTCTGTATCGGTTGAAGTTTTTATTATCACAAATACACCACATGAACTAACCCAACAGCATCGTTCTAAAGAAATGGAAAGAAATAACCTACCCACTCCAACTAAAACAGGCCTAATCCACCACTTATTATATTTTTTTTTTTACAGGAACAATGCCATTTCTTCCTTTGTTTTCTAACTTATAAATGATCAAGATTGGCCACCAGAATCTAAATTTAATCAAAAATTCACAATATGGAAACGGGCAAGGTCCCTTCCATGCTAACCTTGGTTTGCTTGCTTCTTTGCATGAATATCATCAACCAATCATCCTTTGCTCGAACCCTTGGCAATTCAAGTCCTAGCCAACAGCACCACAAACATCACAAGAAAATTACTTTCCAAATGCAAAATGTATTGAATTTGACACACCCCTTACCAAAGCCTGCAACAACTAAAGTTACAAGCCAGATACCATTTCCTAAGCCTCTAGGCTATTTTCCTCCTAGTGGAGGCATCCCTATTCAACAATCCAACCCAACAGTTTCCGGTACTGGATTGTCAACACAAACACTTGATGTTTCCAACATTGGCCTATCATTTCCGGCTAGAGCTACCTTGCAAGAGTTGGAATTCGGAAGTGTAACAGAAATCGATGAGGACTTATTTGTTTATGGTTCATTAGTAGTTGGAAAAGCACAAGGGGTATATGTCGCTAGCTCAGAAGACGGAACTAGCCACATGATGGCAATAACAACAAAATTTGTGAAGAATAAGTTTAAGGATGGGCTGAGATTTTTTGGCGTGCACAAGACAGATGTGCCTGAGTCTCATATAGCGGTCATTGGTGGCACTGGTAAATATCATGGTGCTAATGGCTATGCAGTGATCAGAGCGGTTGGTACTGTTGGTTCTAAGACTGCAGCAGAAGAAAACAGAACAGAAGGAAATCTTTTATTCAATGTTTATCTCAGCTAGTAAAACTTCTACAGAACGTAATATCATAGATATATGTCAAAAGATTTTGTTTTTTGATAAGTGATATATGTCAAAGGATTGTTAAAAGGAAATCATCATCCTAACTTACTCTTTTATTGTTCCTTGTAAAAAACTGTTAATTACGGGACCATCACCATTCCCCAATTAAAGAAAAGACTGTTAATGAGTCCAGTCAACTATAAAATGGGGGCATCAATCTTGTTTTCCAAATGAATTCTTAATTGTTGTGAAAACTGAAGGATCTTTTGCTTCCAGACAAATGGAAAGATGGAAATTGCATTGGTAATGATCAAGTTTTAAACTTTCGTAGTGATTCATCGGCAACAGTGAAATTGTTCATAAAATGGGCTGTGGAGTGTGGACCTCGACACCGGTTTGGCAATGTTTATCACCTTCTTACAACTGAGTTGCAGTGTGACAAGACAAAACTCTAATAAATAATTTTAGGCTTAACGATCTAACTTCATGTTCAATGAGACTATTTAAAGTCAACAAGCTAGGTCCAGAAATGGAGAATGTTAGCTACTCCTGTTTCAGCTTTATCTGTTTGTTCTTAAATCTGTCAGTGAGTTAGAATCCGGATGCCTAAATATTCAGAAAGCAAAATACATTTCTGAAGCTGCTTCTAATGGCTCATTTTGAGATGCTGCAAAAGGCTATCAATTGTACAAGTCTAATTTTACAATTTCTGAGAACCTTTTAGAATTTGAAATTTCAAAGAGTACAACACAATTTTACATAGTAAACCAAAAAGATTCAAAAGCTATTAACATGCTTTACCATTAAAAAAAAAAAACACTATTTCCCTCGACTGTCTGCAATACATGATTCTTCATTGCCCTCTTTTCCACCGCCAGATAACCAAGAGTTATACAAAATCTCAATGACTATAGTTAGATAGTAGGGGATGTCAAGAAGATGTAGGAAACTCATTATCAATTTCTGGACTGAAAAATGTAGCGCAGAGTAATATCATATTATTTCAGATTTGAATCCCTACTTAGCCCAACCTTAAGGAAGGTAATTTCTGATCCTTGCTAGGCCTAAGATTGTGCATATCATTTGAACTAATCCAGCAACTGAGCTCATAGCATGTAATGCTAGAGAGAGAAATCCCAATCATCCAGCATAATAGAGTACCTGCTTTCAAATATTAAAAGTAGAAAGGTACCTAAACCAAGTGATTTATGCCTTCTTTCGGAAAGCAGCACAACACATTTGGTGTTACTAAATGAAGTTTTACAACCTTCACTTTGTGATCTGGTACAACACTTTGTAATTAGCATCTGGACAAGCACAAAGACAAGTGTCCATATTTCAAGTAGTAGTCAACTGCACCAGTTCATGCTCACATCAAAATTATCAAACAGGAGTTTGGTATCACAACCAGAACACCACAGCATAAGAGAAGGTATGCACCAACTCCACCATATCAGCTCCACTTCTCATTAGAGTTTCCTTCAACTATATATAACCACAATAGACTCTCCTTCTGCATCAAAATCATTCTTCACATCTCAAACATCCTCTTGAACAACACTTAGCTCTTTCACAGAATCAAAACCCAAAATGGCCAAACCCCTCTTTGTTACCACTACAGCACTCGAGGCAATTGTCTATCTCTTCTTGATTGCCATGACTCTCTCCTATGCCAACTCAGCAAGAATCCTTAATGAGGTGGAGCCGGAAAATCCTGCTGTTGTTGGCCCTCCTGTGACAACAACAGTCACATCTCCTTCGACTACGTTACCAAGTGGCCACGTCCAAGCGACCACTCCCACCAAAGGTGAAGATGACGAAGCAGACCCTCCACTTCCTGATGAAACTGAAGTCCCTGACACTACTGTCGCAGCACCAGTTGCTGATGCGGTAACACCTGTTGATGATGTTGCAACACCAGTGACTCCTCCGGTCACAGTGGCAGCACCAGTTGCTGATGCGGTAACACCTGTTGATGATGTTGCAACACCAGTGACTCCTCCAGTCACAGTGGCAGCACCAGTTGCTGATGATGCGGTAACACCTGTTGATGATGTTGCAACACCAGTAACTCCAGTCACAGTGGCAGCACCATCACCTGCAGGTCCCGTCACCACCACCACGCCACCAAGTGGGCCGGCCCCTGTCGTGTCCACAAGTGCCACCGTACCAAAACCTGCTGGCCCACAAACCACCACCGCCACCACTTCTCCTCCGTTGTCCTTCTTCATGCATGACATCCTAGGAGGATCCCACCCTTCAAATAGGATCGTTGCCGGGATCATCGCCCGCACTGAGATCAATGGCATTCCTTTCTCTCAGCCAAACAACAACTTTTTCCCACTCCAAGGTGGGACACCACTAGCCAACATTAACAACCTTAACAACCTCATAAACCCAAACAATGCTCCACTCCTCACAGGCCTAACTGGTACCCAAACCAACTCATTACTACAAAACACAGGGAACAACAACAATGTTGACAATGGCAACAACCAGCCTTTTGTCACCGCTGGCAATCTCCCAGCAGGGTCCGCATTACAAGAACTCATGTTTGGTTCGATCACAGTCGTTGATGATGAATTAACAGAAGGACATGAGTTGGGGTCTGCTGTGATTGGGAAGGCACAGGGATTTTACTTAGCTAGTTCCTTGGATGGTACTAGCCATACAATGGCATTTACAGTGTTATTACACGGTGGAGAAAATCATGGTGATGTTGAAGATACTATTAGTTTCTTTGGGGTACACAGGACAGCAACACCTGATTCACAGGTTGCAGTGATTGGTGGCACCGGAAAGTATGACAATGCAAAAGGGTATGCTACTGTTGAGACTCTTCCACAGGTGGATCAGCACACAACTGATGGTGTGGAGACTATAATGCATTTCAATGTTTACCTCTCTTAGTAGGAAGTGGGATGTGTCTGTGTGTGCATGTGTTCTTGGTTGGAGTTGGTTTACAGTTTACTGGTATGCAAGATTGGTTCTGTTTGAAAATTTCTCTGAAAGTTTGATGTACTTAAACTATATATATTGAGATATTGAATGAGACAGCTTTGTTTTTTTTTTAAATAAAAATACATAGGGAAAGTCTTTATTGGGATGAATGGAAACACGGATTTGAAATAATGAACTGTCTGTCTACAGTTCCATGGGCTTTATTTCAGCACAGTCTAAAGTTTGTGGGCTCTGGGAGGCCCAAAAGAATCTCAGGAAAAAAATACATTTCCGCTTTGGGGCATTCCGAGAATTGAACTCGGGACCTCTCGCACCCTAAGCGAGAATCATACCACTAGACCAAATGCCCAACCCTGTGTGAAAATTATTTTATGATTATTTTAATTTAATCTATCCACAAAGCTTTCTCCTTCCATCCAATGAAAATTTTATCTTTCTTGGTTTTCTTCGGGAGCTTTTATGTGATAATGAAATTTGCTTCCAAGCAACCAGCATGATTAAATTAATCAGTAACATAATGCTTTCAAAAAGAAAACTTTATCTTGTTCGACTGCATCAATTAATGAATTTCCTCAAACAAACTTCTTTAATGTGATACCTAGGTAGTCCAAAACAATCAATTGAGATTAACTCTATGTTCTTGCATATTTTAATTATATATGGTCATGTGTTAATATGTGAGAGTTACTCTAGAGCAGGGCTAAAATTATCAACAAACAGGCAAAAACAGCATGGAACTTCAAAAGGAGTTTGCTTTTGGTTCCTATGGTTATCAAGCAAATATTTTATCTCTGGCGAAGTTGCAGGGTAAGGGGTTGCCCATGAGACCGATAACTTTCCAAGTCAAACTGTAGTAACCTTTATTAAAAATAAATAAATAAAGCAGACAGATAGTGACATAGAATCATAGATGACTGAAAAATCTCAATTAGCCTCTACATTATTTTGATCTATAGTTGATATTTGAACATAGAAACCCTTGAGAATTAATTACTGGATACTTTTAGTTTAGATGAGTTCGTCATTCTTTGAAAGCTAATTAAATTTTTCTCTGCTCGAAGGTTTTCTCTGCATTGGATATGAGATAAGATAAGTTTTCATTTCACATTTTTTATGAATCATGCACATATTGCCTTAACTTTGAACTTCTTGAAAACACGAACTGAGTTTCCATTTTCTCTAGACATGATTCACAAACGAAGCAAACATTCTGTTCAAAGAACCCCAAATATTACAAGTACACAATCTCCAAGCACACATACAACATGCTTACAAATACAACATTAATTTTCTCAAACAATCTGGATTAGTAACTAACATAAACAGCAAACTCCAGCAAGGTCTCAACACCATCGGTCGTGTGCTGATTGACAGAAGGGATAGTCTTAACAATAGCAAAACCCTGAGCATTGACATACTTTCCAGTGCCACCCATGATAGCAAGCTGAGACTCGGAAACTCCTGTTCGGTGAACCCCGAAAAAGCTAAGGCTATCAGCATAATGACCACTCCGAAACATAGCTGTGAATGCCATAGTTTGGCTGTTACCATCCACAGAACTAGCCACATAGAACCCTTGTGCCTTACCAATAAAACCTGACCCTAAATCATGCCCTTCGGTTAGTTCGTCGTCGATCACAGTAATGGTTCCAAACATGAGCTGCTGAAGAGCGGAACCAGATGGAAGGTTGCCCCCAGCGCTCAGTGGCAAGTTAAATGCATTGTTGAACGGGTTATTGCCATTGTTTTGACTCACAGGCTGTGTCGTGCCACCAAGGCCAGCGAGGAAAGGTAGGTTGTCGTTATTTATAAGACCGTTATTGTTGTTGTTTTGGGGCACCCCAGTGTTTAGTGGGAGGTTTGCACCATTAGGTTTGGCAAATGGGAGTTGGCCAGTGACTGCCGGGTTGCTGACTATGCCAGTCACGGCTCTAGCTGAGGGTTTTGTTCCACCAAGAATGTCATGCATGAAGAAGCTTAAGGCATGACCAGGATTGGTTATTGTGGCTCCCGCACCAGTACTTGCAGCAGCCCCGGTTGGATTAGGTTGTGTGGGTGCTAATGGTGTAGGTAGTGGTGGAACATTGGTGACATGATTGTCGACTGCATCATCTGACTCTGGGGGAACAACAGGTGCCTCTGTTTGCTCGTCGAGGACCCTAGCTGAGGCGGTAAATGCAATGGTGAGAGTGAGGAACAGAAGACAGGCGATGGCCTTGTTTGTGGCAGAGAGAATTTTGTGAATTTCCATTTCAGAGACTTGAGGGAGAAACAAGATAAAGAGTTAAAGAAGATTTTCAGTTTTCTCCGGTTTTTTGCTTTTGCATTAGAGGGTATGTGAATGTATGTATATATAGTTTGTGTTATCTGAAATCGGAGTTGATGAGATGGAGTTGGTGCAATCCTTTTTAATTTTGTTTGTGTTTAGGTTAGGAACCTAAACCTTTTTGTTTTCAGGTGTAGAAAGTGGAATAAGAGGAATGGTTGGGATTCTAACACAGAGGAAGTCCGTACATCTAGTTGTGTGACACCTTAAAGATGCTTTAAGCGGCAAAATAAGCCCCCAAATGAAAATTATGCCTCTATAGGCATTGTTAGGCCTGGCAGTGGAGTTGTTATAGACCTAATCATCAATAATGTTAGTCCATCAGAACTATGCAATAGGGAGTTGTTCTCATTCGAGTAATTTCTGCCTTCAGAAAATGCAATTTTAATAGAAAACTAATAACCTCACAAGCGGAAATATTAGCAGAAGAAATATTTAAGAGTATCCCAGTAAACATGTATCCCCTTGTTTGGGTTCAGAGATAAATGATCTTTAGAATACAAATATACCAATTTGGTATTAGTCAGATGAACATAATACCAATTTGGGCTACTTGATTTTACAAAATGAAAAGGAAAATCTCTTTCCATTATCCTAAATGCAAAGACCACGAATATCAAATTAAAACATTTTTTTGTCACCTGACTGATTAATCATCTGATAATCACAAAGCCAGTTCAGAAACACGAAGATAACACATGTTCTATAAAGTAGGCAACTGCACTATCTCACAAGGGTATATCAGGCACCACCGAACCTGAAAAACTACACATTTTTCATTTCACAGGAATGAATGAACCTGATACTTCTAAAACAAAAACTTCCACAGAAAAATGAATTTAATACATCAATAAAATTGGCTCACGAATTTGATACAGCAAAAATTTACTAAGGTAAAAAAATAAACTTGAATACTGACTCTGCAATCTCCAACACCAATTTCAAGCCTCACACCTAGATCAAAATTGTACCTACACATGCCTCTCTCCTGCTGTTCAAAAATGAACATGCGAAAGACACTATCTTCTAAGTCCCTATACCTCTGTTTTTTTTTTTTTCCCTGTTTCTTTGGATTTTGAACAATACAGACAGACTATCTCCATATTCTCGTAGAATTCTGATAACATATAGTTATTTTGGCCAAAAATTTAAACACGGCCTTTCAGAAATTCTCCATGCAAACAACATCTGCAACCAGCTCGTCCATCAAACAATTTTCTATTTCTATAACGATGATCTGAACATCATCACTCAACTCTAACCACCTGTCATCCTTCCCCAGTACCTTTCCAGAGTCCTTGCCGGCTTCCTTTTCCTGGGCAACCAGCAACATCCACAACTCCTCGTCAATCATCTCCTGGCCCAGACCAAAGCTAAACCTTCTTGCTACAGGTTTTGTCCATGTCGGCACACCAATGGATGGCTGTAGAATCTCAATCAGCCCTGAATTTATACGATCATATAGGAGCCTCCTTTCAGACCTCTTCCAAGATATCTGCTCGCCATACTTTTTCTCAAGGGTCTCAAAGACAGAAGAGCTTATTGGATATTCTTGAGAGTGCCAAGAATCAAAGCCAGTTTGCAGGTTCCTACTGTCAAAACCTGCCTCGGACAATACATCGACCAGGTAGGAGAAATCCCTACTCTCTTCAGCTCTGAAAAATCTCTTCTTGTCATTTTCTTCAGAGTCATCCACTGATCCTTCCCCAGCATCTTCATCGCCAGAAACCATCATCCCAGATCCTTCTGAGAATGTTTCTGATGCCTCTGACTTCATAAGTTCAAGATGTGATTGTAAACCTAGGAACCAAATCAAAAGACAATGAAAGAGATAAGGCCAAAAACGTAAAAGAAATAGAATCTGTACAACTCAGACAAAGCAGATCCAGTGCACGAACCATGTAAAGAAGCACCGACACTCTCAAAACAGTCAGAGGTAGATGAAAACTCTTTCTTGAATAATGGTTCCAGTACGGAATCTGGACTAGGTTGATAAGCATCCTCCATGCTCGTCAGAGATTCTGGGTCTCCGTCAGTGCCAGAGCAGTATGAAGAAACAGATTCTATCTCAGAGATTCTGGTGGATATATCCTGCAGCATTATAATGTAATTCTTACTAAGAAAGAGCCTCGAAATTTTTACAGCAACGGTTATCAAATTGAAAGAAAAAGCAATGAATTAAGTGAACAAAAAAAAAAAATTGAGGATGACTATAATGTTCACAATCGACCGGAATATGCGACCACTCCCTCTGACATGGCAGCAGTTATAAGCACAATTTAAGAGAAGCAATGAAATCCTCTCTCTCTCAGTAAACCTCAGCCAAGGACCTATATTCTATGTTACAGAGATGAATAACAGAACAAATAATGGACAGAATCAATGTGCCTTTGGGAATCTATACACCAACTTGCGAGAAAGTTTCACCAACTCCATGAGAATGACACTTTTCTAAGCTTGGGAAGCAACAAAACAAAACTCTTTTTTCTAGAAATCCTTTCTTAAAGATCAATCAAGAGTATTGATATCAATTGCATGCATCATAACATACAGCTCAGGTCCTAAGGCATGGATACTATTTCCGAAGAAGATGTAAAACTTGTATAAATTTTCTATTCCAATTTGCACAGCGTAAGGAAAGATACAGGTATTTATGTTTCCAAACAAATGCAGCAGCTAAATTACATTTAAGAATCTGCATAAACTTTCTAATCAAATTCAAGGTGTCAAGGAAAACAATGAATCACACCTGTTGAACTGAAGTAGGTGGGTCACGAGAAGAATTTTCATCTTTTACTGGCGAGACACAGTTGTTAGGATCCAATTCAAGCAACTCATGATATAACAGGGACCTCTTCAGAACTGCAGTTTCAGTATCAGACGCCAGTGTATCAACTTCCACATTGATTGAAGAAACATTGCTCGTTGAAGATTTGCAAACTTCAGAATTCTGTTCAAATAGATGCCCATCACTGCCTTCGTTCTTTTGCTCCTCCTGTGTCACCCACGGGTCTTGCATGGTCTGATAGTTTTGTCCAGATGAACCAATAAACGGGGAACTTTGGCTGAGTGGATCGTTCACCTCAATTTTGTTTTCGTAATCAGCTTCTGCAGAATGATTGTTCTTTGACGGCAGATGAGGAATTGATGGAGAAATCTTACAGCTGGACTTTTGAAGAGATTTATGCCTGGTCATGGTTTTAGAACTTGCAACTGTATTAAAATTCACAAGAAGAGATCTGGATTTTGGTAAGTCTCTGACATGCCCATCATTCCAGACTTCCGAACTTCTTATGCCTAAAGGAGTATTAGAGTTTGCACCTCCACTGTCAGAAATGACTTTATCGCTGTTATCAGGATTGTAAGCAAACTTTATTGGCTTTGATTCACAATTGGGGATGGCAAGCATTTCACCCAAAGTTTTGCTCCTACTAACCAGTTCAACCTGCTGAAACTTTTTGGTCGTCTTCCATCTTTCAGAGATTTGCTTCTTGGCTTCCCGAGCCAGATATGGCTCATCTGAAAGGTGAAATTGGTTCTTCCTATCAGAAAAAACAGGCAAAGAAGGTATCATTGACTCAGACTCTTTAGGCAATGTGTCACTACCCCTAATTTCAGACGTCGTTTTTCTGCTTATTTGCTTTGAAAATCGAGACCTTGACTTTGCAGGTCCTGAATCACAGTCCATGTTCTTCCTTTCTTTCACTTCAGCATGCAAATTCCCATTCTGAACGTTGAGAATCTCTTTAAGCTTCCGATCACCTAAATGAAAAACCTCGATAGCACCAGTAGATGAAAAACATCTTCCAGCATTCTGTGCCTTTCCTGGCTTTGATTTCAGAACAACGATCCTGCTAGTGGGGAGGCATGATCCATCATTCAAATCCAATTGTGACCCAAGAAACTCATTAGCAACTTCAAGGCCAAGTTTTCCACAAGAATATGTCGCAAGGCCATCTTCAACTTTCCTTGCATATCCTTGTTCACTTAGCCTCCAAAATTTCCTGCTCCTGCCAATATCTCTGCAGTCAGAAGGACACAGTGGCTTTACGACTGAAATGCGCTCTGACCGTGAGAGACGAGGGATGTCTTGCAGATTATTTGCTTTCTTGTTAAACTCTGGTCCCTGGAAATATTTTGGAAAATTATCAGTCTTTGAATCAATAACTTCCTGTGCATCGTGACATTCCTTTGAACTTTGAAGCCTCGTATCCTTCGAAACATCTGTCAATTGCTTGAATTCCTCACTTGTAAACATCAATTTTGCCCCTGAGGAACTCGAACGTATTTTATTCTTTGCAACTGACATGCTGTGGCGCTTGCGACTCTTTAATGTTTCTAGTATTTGAAAGACTTCACTATAATCTTTCTGCTCTTCGCCACTCAACCTACATGAGTTGTGTACTGAATGTTTCTCTCTAACGCCAATAGAAGAAACTCTTTGTAGATAATTCTCAGAGAGCACTCTTTGTTTTTTTTGGATAGGCTGCTGGGGTGGCAGTTCATCAAGACCCATTAATTTTGCAATCACACTTCCAGTGATCTGATCAGGCTTCGTTTCTGTTGACATGACTTCAGGCACTTAAAGTTAACACTGCAAATTCAAGCCCTCTTTAGAATATAAAACAATGCCCCTGCACCAAATAAAATAAAAGAGAAATACCAAATGAGGTGAAATAAAATTATTCAAATATTGTGACAACTATTTCATCATGTATCTGTTTTTCCTATAATTTTCATGTTGTTGTATTCTGGGTGTGCAAAGTTAAAGAACAATTCTGCACAAAATCAAAACAGCAATAAGCTACTTACTCTAGAGTAACTCCTAGAGCAAAAACTAATATAAGATGCCAAATTTGGACCATTTCCAGGAATTCAGACCCTTTTTGCTTCCTTGAAATGATTTTATAAAAATACATCAAATATGCAAAGAGAATATATTTGGAAAATAAAAAGCAGAAAAAGAAAACAAAGAAAGAAGATTCACAAACGACCAAAAAGATGAGGAAACAGCACATAAAAATGAAATCTAAGCCCTAAACACAGGCGCAGATGACCAGTAAACTAAATATTGGATTTAACTTTTGAAAAAGCCCTATACTAGAAACATCATAACCTTTAGACCATATCTATCATCCTCGAAAAGAATAAAGAAAAGGAAACACAACATTAACAAATAAAAAAAGGATTTTTTTTTCCAAAAAAAAACAACTACCGAATCCATATCACAGCCTTTTGTGATCAACCCATGAAGCCAAAACCTAGTCCCTATAAACCCTATTAAGTACCAAACTTCAATCAATACAAAACACTAGTAAAGCGTCGGCACAGGCAATCAGCATGCAGAAACAGAATCATTAAAACTACAGCTTTCTTTGGCAAGCAATTATTAGAATAGCATAGAAACAAGTGTAAAGTGATTTTGAGTAAATGCAACATACCATCATTATGACGACTTGGTCACAGCTTTCAAAAGTAAATAAAATAAAATAAAAACTACGAACCAAATGCCATAATAAGAAGTAATAAACAATAACCATTGATTTCAAAGCATCAAGGAGAACAAAACAAAAACCAAATGATTTTGATGCCACTATCACAGAACATGACTATTAGATTCACTAGAAACAAAAACAATAACTTTAACAAAAGTACACGCAAAAATCAAAATCATTACATACACCCCATAAACAACACAAGAACAAAAACCCAGAATTTGATTAAACAGTAAGGAGGAAAACCTGACCTTTTTTAAGCGATCGATGAATCTTGATACTGATCTTGGATATCATTCAATACCCATCACTTCAATTCTCTCCTCAACGTTTGGATGATTCCATCAAAATCTCTTGTTTTAAAAGAAAAACAAAATCTTCAAATCACACTCGAAAATAATCTTGATTAGAAATCAAGCAAGAAAAGACACGCCGCCATGTTTAAAAAAAAACAGAGTCAAACGGATTTAATACAGAGAGAGAAGAGAGTGGAGTTTACGTCAACAGCAATGGAAATCTTACAAGAAATGCATAAATGGTCGGCTAAAATAAAATGGCAATTGGTTTTTTTTTTTTTATGAATTAGATCATCGAAAAACGCAAATGATTTAATAATAGTAATAATTAAATAAATGTGGATAGAGAGACGTTAAGAAATCAAAAAGGGAAAGAGATGTCAAAGTTAATTAATGGAAAATTAGAAATGATTGAGACGGGATCTAATTATTAATTTGCTGATTTTTCTATATAATTTAATTATTTTAAAGAAGCAACATGGAAAGAAAGGGAAGCGGCTTCTGTTTTTTTTGTCGCTGTGTGGATTTACGCGCGCATTTTTTACGACGTTCGCTAGCTTCGCGCCACAATGAAACGGTTTTTATTTTTCTAATAATAAAGCAGATTTGCTAATCTCGCTCCAGTTTTTGCTTCTTACAAAAATATGCTGCTCGCCTGGGATTAATACTATTCGCCAACTAAGGGGAACAGCCAAGTTGTTAAAATTTGGAGAGGTGACATGAAAAATAAAAAAAATATTAAATTTTAAAATAAAATAACAAAAGATAAATTTTTGGTTGTAAAATATGTACTTCCCATAAAATTAGCCTTAATTTGAAAAGTACAACTAACACGTTTGGATGATGGATGCTATTAAGGCATTTGTTAAGAAGTAATCGAAGCTTCTAATTACCTCTAATTTATATTTTTTTCATAAATTTTATTGCAACCAACCAAAAGAAATTTTTATAAAAAATATGACCCATTTAATATGTTTAGCTATTGTAAAAAAATAAAAAGACCAAATAACCTTCACGATGAATTAAAAAAAAAGGTTATAATCAGATATAATTAATTAAAGTTTTAATCATTGTAGATGGGTCCACAATTTTTTCAAGATATCATTAATAACATCAACAACGTGCTGTTTTTCACTAGGTGAGAAAAATATGCTAAAGAACACCCTTGCTTAACAAATAGAAATAGTGGTTTTTGTTTGATTTTTTTTTTTAAGAAATAGAAATTATTTTGATAGGAATAGGAAAAGAAATTTCATTTTTTTGGTGGAAATATCAAGGGGAGTTTTTATTAAGGTTTTTTGGTCATACAATATTTCAATAAAGGATAAAGAATACACTTTTAAATAAATATAGATTTTTATAACATTTTTAGCTAAATCCAACAAAAAAATAAGGTATTAAATGTGTTTAGATGTATTTGAGGAGTATCCTTAGAAAATTCGTTTTTTTTCCAATTTAAAAAAAAAATCAAAATTTACAGGATTATAAAAAAAAATTCAAGAGCCACATTCCTTCGAACGATTGCCTAGTATATATTTGATATTTATATGCTTTTAAGTCCAATTGCTTTTGGCAATAAAATTATAATGTTTGATTGAAGTATGTTATGATTTGAGAACAAGACAGATGATATATAAAAAGAAACTACTTTACTAATCAAAATAAAACAATGCTTTGAACTAATTAAAGCAAAACAATTTAGTCATAGAGTCCATTTTTTTCAAAAAAAAAAAAATCAAAATAATAATTTTTTAAAACACAACATTCAATTACCAAATATTAATTTTATTAATATTGTGTACCAAAAAATACATGCAAAATGATTGTTTTGCGTATCAATTATTCATATGGCAGGGGTGGTGGAGATATTCTAGTTCGTATTGGATTTAGAAGGATCGGATGTGGAGATAGTGAGAAATATCTACGATAAGGGTATCCATTAAGGTCGGCGGGTAACGCGGCAAACCATCCTCACGTGATTTGCATGTGAATGGAGATGTGTTTAGGTTTTTGATGTCCGTTGCATGAGATAATTGCGTGGTTTGGAAGTTGAACTTGGGTGGGCCTTTCGTGTTCCAAGTCTACACTCAAACTAGGGTCATGGTCTTGAATTTGGGCTTCTGAAATTTTATCCACTAAAGACTTAACAGTGAAAATGATTTAAAATTAATTTTTGTTTTGGAAAAAAAAAAAACCCAAGGAATTTATATTCCTTACAGACCGATCTATCTATACATTTTCATAATAAAAAAGTACCTGCGAAACTTTGTTAGCTTGCAACAGCAAGATGACCAATTGATATAATTACTGCAAGAAATTTTTTTGAGCCTTTCAAAGGTGAAATGTGGCTCTCCTCTTTTATATATCTTGGTAGCCTCTTTCTTCTCATGAAAAAGGAAACTGGATTGTCATAAATTTTTAAAAATAAATCCGTAGTTAAAGTGGCCGTGACGTAGTTTTAAGGCATATGTGTTTTTTTTTAAAAAAAGAAATAGTATTGGGTTAATATTTTCATTGTTTCAAAAATTTTGTTTTATTTGATTTTTCATGCATATTAAAAAAATTATTAATTATTATGTTATATCAGTCATTTTTATTTATTTTTTTATAATATATTTTTTTAAATTGTATTTAAATAATTTTTAACCAATTACACTTGAATTGAAGATATTTGAAAAAAAAACAAACCACTTAAAATTCGAATATCGTTTTATTTTTAAAACAAAACAGGATACGTTTTGCTTTCAATTAAAAGCACAACTGCACACTGTGAAGTTTTATATATATATATATATATATATATATATATATATATATATATATATTAAAACGACAACTCTCGCTATTAGTATTATTTAAAATACACATACTAATATACTAATTATTTTATGTAACTCGATTTCAAAATTTTCGCTTTTTTATATCATTGATTTTTTTGAAATTTTACATCATTGACTTTTTTGCAATGTGGATGTGCATGTCATACGGACACTGCAAGAATTGTGAATAAAAACACCTGCTGAAACTATTTGAGGATTCAAAGGCAACTGATTTTTAAAATAGTCAGCGTAGCTGTCATGACCTCACTAAATTTTAATTTTTCTGACTATTTTATGAAATAGTCGGTTTTATAAGAGTGTTTGAACCCAACCATTTTTCAAATGCCCATGTTAGGGAATATGTATGTTTATTCATGGCATCTAAAAAATCCTACCTGAATAAAATTTCCCTCCAGCAGACTCCCTTTTTTTCAAAAAAAAAAATTGTTTCTTTCACATTAACACCTTATCAGATTAACAAGAGAGAGAGAATTTTTTTTAAATTGTTTCTTTCACATTAACACCTTATCAGATTAACAAGGAAGAGATAATTTTTTTTTAAAAAAAATTAAGTCTGGATAGAAATATTCCTATTATTTTTAATAGGTTTTTGATGTAATTTAATTTTTTTTAATTATTAACTATTCCTCTTTTTAAAGGTAAATTCATAAAGTAATCATCATAAATATGATTAGCTATTTGTGAATAAATATAAAAATTTTCAATTTTCTCTTTTAACCATTATGTGTCTTTAACTCTCTCCCTCTCTTCTATCAACTGATTGCGCTACTGCTCTCAGACTTGACGAGGTGGAAACAATTCAACTCAGAAAGATGAGGTGGAAAAAATTAACATGGCGTCAAGTTAAGTAAAAAAAAACTTTAGCCACTTAACAACAAACACCAACACTTAGCAGCAAATTAGCAAACAATGGCGATACCGAGTCACAGCAGCAAACCATCAAGTCTTTACAAATGACGGTTCACGTGCTTGTGGCAATTATGAATTAGAAAGGCTCAAGACTTCTTCCATTATATTATATTCTGATTCTGAAACTTTAAGAACTTTCGTGATGCGGACAGGTAATAAAAATATCTAATAATATTTTAGCGAATCCAAACGTTAATTTTTAACCAAATAAACCGAATTGAAGTTAGTATCACAGCAATACAAGTTTAAAAATTTTGCATCGTTGCTACAATAATTAAATTCTTTCATCATAATTATTATTATTTTATTACATTTTTATTGATTTTACAAATTTTTGATGTTTTATAGGAACGTATACGGTGGGTTCGTACATAATTAGTGGATAATGCACATAAATACGCACATAATTGAAGATTGCTTTTTTTTTGTGGCATTGATTTGTTCATGAAATGCTAACGGCTTAATTCTTAGTTGACTGATAAACTTAGTTAGCAAATTGACAGACCCCAAATAATTTTGGTATATTATAGTTTTTATTGATCATTTTATATCTCAAAAACACAACAATAGAATTTAATTAAATACCGCTTAACTTTTTAAAATATTTTTAAACACGGGTAATTCGTTGCCAAATCCTATTGTCACTTTGTTATATAATATTTGTCTATCGTTATCTCAAGATGAAGGGATTGTGACTCTCAGAGAAAAAATTGATCAGCCACATAATCTAATAGAATCCATGATCAACAAGTAAACATAATCAAAGAGAAGAGATCGCACGAAAGAAACACCAGACACCGCAACCAATAAACAATAAATAAAAAAGCAGTGATATGGTGGTGTTTGTGAGTGTGACTGGATATTCCCACCGTGGAATAAAGAGTGACAATCATGAAAACCCCATGACACTCAGTGCTTTCCTTTTGACGTTGTGTAGAACGAATATGTGATGGAAAATGAACAAATGGCCAGATTCTCCGACAAGGTTCCTAAAGAGATCGATCCAAAATTCCTCGTGGACCACTGGATTGCGTAGTACGGCACCTGTCCGTTGCTAACTTAGGGGTTAAATTTTTTGAAACACCTTAGTTCACCTCTCTAAAAAGGGATTGATCGCATGTTTCATACATCTACTCTTGATAAGTCTGTGTTTTTTCTATTCTTTTTATTGATCAAATTCTTTTATTTTAGATATTTTTTTAATGTGATTTATCTAACAGCATTTCAGTTTTTTTTTTTTTTTTGCGAGAAATGATGCTTGGACTGACATAAAATTGACATGTAGCAAAAAAAAAAAAAAAACGCATAAATAAATAAATAAAACAAAAATACAGATATTTGTAGAATAAAAAGAAAAACCTTAAAAACAAAGAATAAAAGAAAGGAAAGTCAAGATGTTGTAAACCGTAATCCAGATATTATCAAGGTCTAAAATGTCCGTTCATTTGTTATTAAAAAATCAACTAAAATTTTATAAGAAGAACCACATTAAAAAATATAAAGAATAAAAGAATAAACTAATCCACTAATATAAAATGTTTCAAGATTTTAGGTCCACTGTATATATATATCTGATTATATTATTTTTATTATTTAAATTTTATTTTTTAATTATTAAATTTTTATTAAAATTATCATCAAATTAATTTTTTTATATTCTAAATTTTATATTTTTAAATAATTAATTAAAATAATATTTTAAAAGAAATTCTCAATTATTTAAATATAAATTTTTATGTTAATATTATTAATTATTTTATTAATAAATATATATAAATGTATCTAGGCGTTGGATGTGAAATTTAAGAATTTGGAATAGCCTGCACGGTTCTCATTACATTTGAGAAGGAAAAAAAAAATTCTTTAAGCTATCCTTGTCTCACAAACCAACAATGAAATTAAGCAAGTTTGATTACTCTTGCCAGCAACAAAAAGAAACTGATTTAGGTATATCTTTGGTAATTTATTATTGTAGTTCTCTTATCTTCTAACGTAGATGATAATAAACTTATGATAGTTTTAAATTTATTTTTTAAATATCTGAGTTTAAAAAAAATTGTTAAAAAAAAAATATATAAGTTCCTTCTTTGTAATGATGATCAATTCAATTCATCTTGATAATACAATTTATTTTTTTATCCTACTAATTATTAATGGTAATTTTTTAATGTTTAACAATTAAATAGATTACAGACTCCTTATGTGCATAGTTATATATAGGTTAATGAATTTAAATGAAGAAATCAAAGATATGTTTGGGATTATATGATTATAAGTGTGATTAGAAATACCTGAATACCCCCAAGATTTTAAAGATCAATAAAAGGATCCTAACATGATACTTTCAACATTATTACCAAAGACGCACTAAACCTATGGTCAATTCGATAATGATGCGTTTCATCCGAAGATTTAAAAGGACCCTAACACCACCAAGAACCTATCTGGGAATCCGACTATATTCATTTTGATGAGCAGTCTTTACTGCTGCATCCTAATTGTCAGCTCCATTTCAAACACGCAGGCTGTAGCTAGACAAGGAAAATGTCGCAATCTCGCAACAGCCAGCAAAGTCATCAGATCCTTTTTAACGATTTGAAAAAAAAAAAAATTTCAAATTGTTTGACAAATTTTTTCCCTTTCAGTTTTTGCTCCCAAAAAGAAGGTTGATAGAAGATAATTCTTGAATCTCTAGTTCATATCCAAAAAAAATTTAGCTTCGTTAAAATAGGAAGGTTAAAAGAATGGCCAAAAGGCAAACAAGTTTCTGGATCAAACGACGGCCTTCTGTAATGACTCACTTTTAACACGTCTTCCAAAACCAGAATATAACAACGTTATCTTTGACCCAACAAAGCATAACAATGCCCATATCTCACCTGCCCGGTCCGGTTCACTCTGGTCTAGCACCCATCAAAATCACATAATAAATACACCACCACACCACCAGTCACTCAGCACCTGCTACATTTCCCCTCCGTCTCTCTCCCCCGTATACTTCTTTACTGCAATTTCTCCCACAAAAAAGAAATAATGGCTCTAGAGATCTGTGTCAAAGCTGCTGCCGGTGCCCCTAATATTCTGGGAGACTGTAAGTTTCTTTGTTTTTTTTGGATTTTACGTATGGGTTTTGGTTGAAATTTTGTATGTTTGTGTTAAGTTTGTGTCTTTTTGTTGTTTTAGGCCCATTTTGCCAGCGAGCTCTCTTGACTCTGGAAGAGAAGAAGATTCCATACAAGTCTCATCTTATCAATCTTAGCGACAAACCTCAGTGGTATTAAAATGATCATATCTATCGGTCTTCAGAATATTTGTGTTTTTGTAATCTGGGGTTGTTGTGTGCTTTTATTCAAGTGTTTAGAAAATGGGTTCCTGTTGTATCTATGGTCATGTACAATTTGGAGGTCTTTTTTGCTGTGTTGGATTACTTATAGCTGCTGGATTTGTTGACTCCTTGCTTGTGTACTGTGTACACATGTGCTTCATATATGGGTGACCGTGCCTGTATATATATGCTATCTGCCTTAGAAGGTACCTACCAATTGTGATGGTTATTGTTGACTTTGAGGTAAACCAAGCCCCTCTTTTATTTATCCATTGAAGAAAACGATTTGGAGGGCAGGATCATTTTTTTAGTCCAAGATCGTTTGTTTAATGCAGATATGAAGTAGATGTTTAAATGAGCAAACATAATTGAACATCTCTGGTAACAATCGGTATCATAAACTATGGATTCATGGAACTTTAATGACCAGAATGCACTTGATATGATCACATTGAATAGACATGGAAAGTGTATGTGCAATTTTGTTGCTTTTATTTGTTATGATGGATTAACATTTGGATGATTGTTATTTAATAGGTTTTTGGAGATAAGCCCGGAAGGAAAGGTTCCAGTGCTGAAAATTGACGACAAATGGATCGCAGACTCTGATGTGATTGTTGGGATCTTAGAGGAGAAATACCCTGAACCCCCTCTTGCCACTCCTCCGGACTTTGCCTCTGTGTAAGCATCTTTCTCCTCCCATGACAGTCTTCACCAGTTTGAAAGTAGATGTGGTAGTGTCCAGGGCTTTTTTACTTTCTTCCGAACTGATGTGCATGTGGAAGTTGCTGGAATTACAAGATAGATACCTTTTGCAAATCTCTCTCTCTCTCTGCTCCCTCCATCATTAACCCCTGATTGTATTTTGAATTTTGTGCTTAATGCCTTCTCACTGTTTATTTGGAAAATGGATCTTTGAGAAGTTCATAGGCAGAGTGTGAAATTTCTTCCGTCTTTTACATTAATTCTCATTTCATGATGAAATCTTCATCAAAACATCTTGCATACTTGTAGCTTTTTTTATTTCTTCTTCCAGGGGTACATTATTCTAGGACATGTTTTCTAATCGCAATAACCACAAACTGATCTGTGCATGAGGTTGTCTTTGGATGTTTTGTGTGTGGTCACGCTTCTATTCTCATTGGCCTTCTCTAGAAGGTTATTAACAGAAAGTTAAAGGATCGAATCATTAACTTGCAATATAAACCATGTGGAACTACAGGGGTTCGAAGATATTCTCATCTTTCGTCCAGTTCTTGAAGAGCAAGGATCCCAATGATGGAACCGAGCAGGCTTTGCTTGAGGAATTGAAGGCATTGGATGATCATCTTAAGGCACATGTATGCATAAATTTGAATCACAGACATGTCTTTGAAGAGTTTATGGTTCTGCTTTACTGTTTAGTTTTGAAATACAAAATAATTTTTTGGATCATGTTATCAGGGTCCATTCATTGCTGGAGAAAAGATCACTGCTGTAGATTTTAGCTTGGCTCCAAAGCTTTACCATCTCAAGGTTGCTCTTGGCCATTTCAAGAACTGGACTATCCCTGACAATTTGACACATGTACTCAACTACATAGAGGTACTCCCATTTTTTTTTTCTGATATCCTGTAATTATGCACCTTGTTTTTCGCTTCATATTTGACTTAAAACAAATTGAATGATAGATCAAAAACTATGACAAGCTGATTTCATGTATGCTTGGGTAACCAGCCATGGATACTTTAACTTCCCTGCCTCCCCTGGCAATGTTGAATCCAGCAGTTCTTTGGATTTCTAAGGGTGTGATATTGAGATACAAATGTGGATTATGTTTAAATGTACTACAAGTTTTTCTTCTATGTTCGTTTGGAAATTTGCATTAATTGTGTTAGTTGAATTCCATGACCTACCATAGTGTGGCCTTGCGGGGTATGGCATTCTTGAAAATTTAGCACCAGAAAACAAAATGATATTCTTGAGATTCCCAAACCGTGATGGTCGATGCAGTAGCCTCATGCTCAGGGTGACCCCCTAAGAAGTGATATTATAAAAAATTTAGCATAGTGCAGGGTATGATATTCTTGAAAATTTAGCACCAGAAAATAAAATGATATTCTTCAATTTCCCAAATCTTGATTTTCGATGCAGTAGCCTCTTGTTCAGGGCGACACCCTAAGAAGTAATTCTGCATTTGATCCATTCATCTCACTTGTTGGGCAAATTACCAGGAATATCTTATTAGTTATTGGTGCGTATCATCGGGGGCTGCATGTGCCTGAGGATTATCAGGTACTCGTAGAGATAGAACTAGTCGAAAAAATAAAAATAGAATGAAGTTTCTATATTTCTATGAAGATGCCCTCTCTCTTGTGGGAGGTTGGTGTAGAGGGTCAGGGGCAGCTTAATAGAATACCTTGATGTTAATGGTATCCATTTGATGGGTCACATCATCCCGCATTATGATTGGAAGTGCAGAGCCAGAACCTTCTGAAGGGATGTGGCTGAGTTTTATAAGCCTGATTTTTTGGCTGATCTTACAATGGAGATAGGTTTGGCACATGATGTCCTTTTCCTGGTTGCATCTTTATTCTTTGTACTTAAAGAAGGGTAGCATTGCAAGATTTGTTTATCCAATTCCCAGGTGTTATTATTATGTTGTTCTGCGAACTGAAGAGATGGTTAAGCTTTTGGGGTTTAGATTTTTAAGGCAACTATAGTTCATAAGGTGTTTATGATTCAGTTGTTTTAGATTTTTGCATGGAAGCAAACCAACTTGAAGAACTCCCTATGCTTTACTATGATTAAATGCTCTTGATGCTACAGCCTTAAGAGTAGACTTGAACAACGCACCATATTCTGCATCCTCCTAGGATTATGTTTCCTGAAGCCCATGCTTTCGACTGTAAGAACTCACGAGGGCCTATTGATATTCATGCATTTCATGCACAAGAAACAAAAACAATTATAGTGTAATACTCTAAAATAACTGATGTGCTGGACGACTTAGGGAAAGAACTTTATCATGTTGGCTGTGTTAGGTCCAGTTAATTTGAAATAGAGCCAGAAGTAGGTAACATAACATCAACTTCAAATTACTAATATTATTTCATGGTTGACTGATGGATATGTGATTTGAATGGGGCTATTTGATTTCTGATTTTTTGTTGTTTTGAACTATTGGGTTTTAGATCAATAGAAACATAGACCCAAATCCCCCATTATTCTTGAAGTTGGAAAATGGTTAAAAAATATCTCTGTTCTTTGCTTTGCAGTTGCTGTTCTCGCGTGAATCTTTCAAGAAGACCAAGGCTGCTAAGGAACATGTTATTGCTGGATGGGCGCCAAAGGTCAATGCATGAATTCGTTCCAAATTATAAGTTATCAGCACCTAGTTATGTAATACAGTTGAGCCTGTTGTGTGTCAGACATTTAAAGCCTAGATGTTTGCTGGGTTCGTCATTATCTAATAAAAATCTATTGACCTATACGAGTAGTAGCCTATTAATTTCAAATGGCTGGCATTATTTTTATATAGCTATGCATTGCATTTCTGTTGTTTTGTTATTACAGCAATTGGTTTATGTCTGCTCTGTTATTTTGCTCTGCTGTGTTTTTTATGTGTGTTCAAAGAAAAAAAAAAGGTTGAATCTTAGATGCTCTGCATCTTCTTGATAGGTATCCATTAACAATTACTGTGAAATGAAGTTAACGTGTTACTTGGAGTTTGGAAGGGGTGCCCAAATATTTATTTATTTATTTTTCCCTGGTAGCTAGCTAGTCTCCAGTTTCTACTAACACAGTACTGCCCCTAAGAATTCCAGCAACAGTACTTTGGTTTTGTAGAACCTGTTTTTAAAGAAGCAGTGGAATAAAAAATGGCCCAACTTAATTTCATCTATGGAACGAAGAACTCAATTAACAGCATAAGTTCTATATATATATATATATATATATTCATTTTTTGCAAATGATGCCCGGTTTTTTTTTTTTTTTTACACTGCCATAGATAAAAAAACCTTAGAGTAAACTCGGTCGGTTGTTACGCATTCAAGGTAAGCCTTAGAAGTTAATAATTACCCGGATAAGGAAAGTAGTTGTATTATTTTCACGTGGAATTGAATTGGTAATTATTAAAAAGATGAGTGAATTCAGTTTGTGATAATAAGTTTTTTATATTTACAATAAATCACGCATTAAAATCTTCTCCTTAAAATATTTAAATCTAAAAGAAAAAAACTCTATTACAAAAAAAGAAAAAAGTGGTTCATTTTAAGACAAAATAGGATGACATAGTATAATAATTAATAATTTTTTTTAAAATTATATGAAAGGTCAAAATAAACGATTTTTTTTTTGAAAAAAACAAAGAGAATACACCAATCCTTTTTTATTGCTTGCTAATATGATATATAAATACCAACTACCAAGTCAAGTCTTCAAGCCTTTTACGAGTGTAGAAGCCTTCATTCTCTCTCGCATAAACTTTTCTTTGTGGCTGGGCCTCTAGCTGACGCTGGTGAAACAGCAACTTTTTTCTGTTTTTCTTTTAATGTTTTTTTTTTCTTTAAATAACTCAAAATCTAGTGGTTACTAGCAATCAGAACCGAGAATTGCTGCGGATCTGCTTATAAAAAATATTTTAATTTTTTTAGTTAATTCATATTGAAATATAAATGTACTACAAGTAATTTCAATTAATATTATTATTTTGATAATATTATTATGGGGAAATTTTTAATTAACTCAATTGATGAAAAATTTTCTCTAGCAAAAAAATTAACTTCATAAAATTTTTATTATGTGTATTATAGAAAATAATGCTTATCACTAAAAAACTTATTTCTTAATTTTAAGGAGAGAAGTGATTTTCCTAAATTCACAAAAATTTCAAAAAATCGATGTTATACATATTAAAGAAAAGGAATACTTATCACTCTAAAATTAATTTGTGGAGCATTTCATTCCTAAATTTAGGTTGAGAAGCTAATTTTAACCACTAATTCTTGCACAAAAATAAATAAATAAAATAATAAGAAAGTTGCTTCAACGGTTAAGGTGAGTATTTTTTTTTAATTAATTGACTCAATGAATTTGACATTTCATTAAAAACAACATCTCCACCAAATATTTCCAACAATGTTATCAACTAAAATTTAAATTACTCAACATTTTATACATAAATGAAAAGTTAATCTTTTTTTATATATAAAATTAATGTGACTAAAATTTAAAAATTAGTTAACTTCAAAACTAAGTTGAAATATCATGAAATAAAATTCTTTTCATTATAACTTTTTCATTAAAAAAGAAGAAGATATAAATGGGCCTACAACACAAGGCCTATGGGCCTAGGCCTGGTAATCCAGGCCCGCTTATATGAAGAGCAAAAAACGACGCGTCGCCTTCTTGATTAACGCGTCTTTTAGTGTCATCTTCTCTATATTACTACGTGATTAGTGGACTTCCTGACTAAACCTTATTAAATTGGCAAGGAAAGACTATTGTAGAAAAACTCTAATTCCCTACATCAGTTGATAAAAAGGCACACACACACACATATATATATATATATATAAACGTTGTGGGTGGTGGGTTTACTAGTGGAAGAATTCATTGACAACGTCATTGACAACTAGTGGGTTTACTAATGAAATTCTCTATATTTAAAACGTCATTTGAACCTTATTTTCACATTTACACTTTGTATTAAAAGATTCTAATGATTAAACATCGATCTCTATTTATATTAACAATTTCATTGACAGTACATATATGCTCCTATAAATTAGTCAAAAGCTAATTGACACGCCAAATTTTGGTTTTAAACTTGGGCCTCTTTCTAACATTTTCTTCGTCTTTTCAGCCTCTTTAATCGATTTGTTTGAAGATATATAATGCAGCAATTGGAATTGCAAGTAGCTAATATATGTTGTCTTTATTAGCTAGCTAGCTAGCTAGTGGAGGGGTCGGTCCATTTTATGGGGAGTTTTTCACAATTTTAAAATATTTTAATTTTTTGGAGGGTTCCATGCACGCATTTTGATTTAATAGTTGAGTAAACTATAATTTACTTCATGCATGTGTTTTTAGCAATAGTCAATCCCTTTTGGTTTAATAAACTTGGTGTGTGTGTATATATATACACGTTTGGAATTAATTAATCCCTTATTAGTTGTCAGTTACAAAAATTTATTTTTCTAAAATATCCTTCCTTTAGTCAAAATTTTAATTTTAAAACCAAAAAGGCATATAGAAAGTATAATTTAAAGATTTTAAAAAATAAAATAAAACAGTGAATTCTAATTAAAAGATTAACTTATACTAATAAGTTGTTAGTTTAGCAATAAGTAAACTAGTTTTCATATAAATTTTTTCTTAATGTGCAGAATTCGAATCCTAGAGTTGTATTTGTTAAAAAAAAATTAAATATTATTTTTTATGTTCCAAACAAATAATAAAGTTACATTTGTTAAAAAAAATATTGTCTCTCTTATCGAATTGAACTAATTCTTTTTCAATACACGATAAAAGATACACGTGTAAAAAAAATAAAAAATAAAGATTAACTTATGATTTTCCCCCGTATGTGGACACCATAAGAAGTCAAAATATACAACATGTGGAGTAGCAAGCGAAAGCAAAAGGTGCTACAGCCGATATGTTGATGCCATGATATATACTCCTTGAAATAGCAGCACAGAACTTAATTATCAGAGCCACCCATGCAAGGAAAACGATCCATCGAACAAGTTACCTTATTATTGTAAAACCAAAAGACAACCTGATGTATGCATCAGACAGAATCCATCATATTTGATTCATATAGTTTTTTCCCTGACTAGTTTACATCCCAAGTTACCTTATTATTGCAACATAAAATCATTTAATGCTGCTTAAAACGAATTATATATAAAGTGTAAACTATATGTTTTTGCTATTGTATAGATCCATCAATGTTTTGCTTTTATTGTTCTGATTCAAAAAAAGTTTAGCAAGTATTAATAAAAAATAAAATGAGTATAATAGCGAATACATATATTTTTTAAAATTTTTGTATACACCAATACTCATTAATATTATTTTGCTAATGAGTATTTATTTGGCTAAATAAAATATATATCCATTTAATTTGATGTTCGGCCATTACCATCCCTACACATAAGTGGGGTCTGGGGCCCAAAAAATATATTGTAATTTGCATCTTGTAACGTTGGCAAGACCTGTTCCTTATTATCCACAAAATTCGAGCAATCCCTTAATAATTATTAGCCAGTAGCAACGATACCAGGCGGTTCGTAGTGGAAAGTATCAACTAATCATGCATTCTTGCACACGTAACCATACTGGAGCTGCAGTGGGCAGAGCAATTAATAAAGTGGTCTTCCTTAAATCCTGCAAAGTTTGATTGGGACAAACAGAAATGTTTCACTACTCTGACACGATATGATTAGCCCTTTGACTGCTGCTCTAAAGTAGGAGGAATCCTATGAAGAGGAACCATTATTTTCTTCAAACACGCGGCACAGCAGTTAGCATGCGCCTGACACTCCTTCCAAACCTCCCCTATTAACAGTTCTAACCCTTGTGGGTTAAATGATTCACCACATTAAAGGGCCCAACCCAATATTTACCAGCGCTGAGCTCGCGTTGGCCCAATAGGGGTCCAGTGGATATGATTCTTTCACTAATATTCCAAACCTGGGAAAGGAAATTCTTTGTTTTGGAAATTAAGGAACTGCTACACTCACTTTGATCATGGCAATTATTGTATCCCTAACAAATTAAGGAAGGTTGAAATTTGTCTTGTAATTATTTTTACGATTTCATTATATTTATTTTAGATTCTTAGGTGTGTTGTAATAAACGCGAAATGAACTTGCACCATTGCTTAATGCAATAAAATTACTTTATCGCTCAAATTAAATACAAAGACATTTATTCTAAAAATAAATAAAAATACAGAAACATTTCAAAATCTTTGGTGGGGTCCCGTTCCTTTATAGCTCTATCCCAGTCCATACGGGTAAAATCAAAAATAAAAATGGATCAAAAATTATTTTTGCGTCCTTTATTTTTTATTTTATTTTATTTTATTTTTTTGTCCAAAACCAAAACCGGCTCGAAAAGCTTGAGGTCCGCATTGAGGAGACAGATTCAAGCTTAGGAATTAGGCAGAGGAGCCACACGCGCCAGGCTTTGGCCCACTAAAATATATTTGGGCCATATTAGCCCAGTGTAAACCTGGTGTGGCCTTTGAACAAGCCTAGTCATTAAGCAGCCTACACACTGAGCACTAGTGAGCCTTCCATAACCAACAGGGCTCTGGGCCCAAAATGATTAATCCTTGAATCAACCATACGAATTAGAGTAAATTATAAATTAGTCCCTCTATTTTGACAAATTAATTAGTACCCCTCGCATAGAAATTAATTTTTTAATCATTTGACTAGTGTTGACCACACATAATTTAATATTATTTTATTAAAAAAAATCATCTTTTCTCATCAATCTTTTAGTATTTTTTTTTATACTTATTTTCGTCCTTTTCTATTTCTTAAAAAATTAAAATAAATTGAAAATTAAAAAAATTAATTAAATTACAAGAAAATTTAAAATATAAAAACCAGATAATAAGTTTTCTGAAACTAGCATGACTAGTTTATAATTTACTCATAGAAATTAACAAAAAGAAATGGCAAAAGAAAATCACGATATATAATATACACTGATAGGATCTGAAAACAAATAAGATTATATTCTTCTTTATATACACCCTAGTTAATTACATAACTGGTGCTGTCGTTTGCTACATGCAACACAACACATGATTTTATAAGGAGTACTAAGTAAGATGACCATGAAAGCGATAGAACATGATTTTCTGTATTAGTTAGACATATACCCACAAACATAAGGACTAGGAGGACCACAACAAGACATTGAAATAACTTTAATTTTTTCGGCTGGATTGGAGTTTTGAGGGAAGCGGAAACTATCTACCAACCCGAACACTGAACATAAGGAGAATATCGAACCCGATCATTTTCGACGAGAAATACATTATTAATCAATGTTTACTCATAGGATCATTAGAAGATTCAGATTCTGATGATTGGGAGATCATCTTCTGAATCATTTGACTGGTTTCGTCCTCTGACATTCTGTCATCTTTGCTTTTATATTGAGCATAGGCCTCGAAGAATTCCTTGTTCTCTTTCTCTAATTCTTTCCACACTGCATAAATTCAAGCCACTATATCACCACTATTGTTATAAATAAATAGCTAGCATGCTATTTACGTAAAAAAAAAAAAAAAAAAAATCCTAGTGTTTGTGTTTCTCTCTGCATGTAAATGAGAATATATTAAATAATTATTTCAAGCGTTTTATTTTATTTTATTGTTTGTCAAAGGAAGAAGCTAGCCAAGCTGGAAAGAGTGCACCAAGGCAAAAGGAAGTACAAGAGGGTCATATTTCTGGATTTTTTTTACCATATACAGAAGCCAAGATTAATCTTGTTTTGGAGGTTTTTTTTTTTTTTTTTTTTCAATTTTGTTTTGGAGTTTAGACATATTGGGATAATTCTATAAAGATGATTGCATCAAGTAACTTATATAAGTAGAGCGTGGATTTATCTATTTAAATATATAGAAACACTGGCCGAAGATTAATTCATGTTTGTAAAACAAAACATGCTAATTTTGTTAGATCATGTGCCAAGATCGATTTGCTTTTGTCTTATAAGAAAAGCCAAGTCTTCTTTTGGGACTGAAGATCCTTAAAATTTTGTTAACAGTGCCGTACATAGAGATTAGGATGACAGGGCAAGTTTACAACCTAAGTAGAGGCAATTTAAATGGATTGAATAATATAGGTCCCCGTTAAAAAAATAAATAATATTAAAAAAAATCATATGATTTGTTAGTGATTCCTTAAAATAAAATCATAATTATATATACATATAGGTTTTTTTGGTAATTATATAATTAAAAAGGTTTTTTTTCTTAAAAGAGAATAATTAAATAGTTAATCTCAAACCAATAAAGCAAACTTATTGATTTTTCAACTCAAAACATGCTAGACCTACTTACTGCGTCTGTGTGCATACATGACTTGGCCATGCTCTATTTCTAGTGATCTTTTTAAAGAGGACATGACCATAAAAAGTGAACATGTAATAATTAGTATTATATGAACCCACTTTTTCTTTAGATTAAACGAGCACGATCCGGTAGCAAATCCATCTTTATTGCCTAACATATTGATTAGGCCAGTATTGCAAGGTCATGGTTTCCAGGATTGAAGGGAAGAAGATGAAATAACAGAAATGAACAGCTAGAAGAGAAACTACAAACCAGTGGAGGTGATGACAGGCTCGATATTTGCATGTTTAGAGAGAGCTTCCATGCACTCTTCTTTGGTCATGTTGAAGATCAGGCACTTCTCTATAAGGTGCTGCACCTATAAATTTAATCACCATATATATCAACAACAAAATTTAAATTTTCAAAATCAGCAACGGCAGTCCATAGAATCAATAAACTAAACGAATCCTAAATTAAAGGAAAATAACGTTGAGTTCTACAAAGATTAACCATGTGTATGTATGAAGCTGAGTCCCCCATGATCCTGATCCAAAATACTGGAGCTAGGCAGAATACTGAGCAAGAACTGGAAAGAAATCTGTAAGTAGTGCAGAATGTATGAGTTGGTAGTGCAATATATATAATACAAGGAAGATAATTGCATCATGCCATCGGAGGTGATCAGCAACAAAGAAAATAAGGTGAAGGGGATGCTAGCTAGTGGAGATGAGTGCAGCAGTCCCACGTGGGAGATGGAAGATAATTGGTGGAGAGGGGATTAGAGGAGATTTGTAAATGACCATTCCTTTGTCTTGTAGGATGCGATTAGGGCAGCCCTTCTTCACGTGATAAGTGGGTCCTTGCCAACGTCTAGAATTTCTCTGAACAGATAGTCGATTCCCTCTAATACTAGCCAAATCATCATATCCGTAACTCACAAGGAAAATTAACACCAAACATGCAAATTTATCAACAGAATGTACTAACATGCAGGACAGTGCCAGCTTTGTGATCAGTAGTATATACTATATATACTACTATGCACCTAGCTAGATGGTCATTCAATCCCTGCACATTACGCTCTTTCTAGCTCTTTGCCATTAATTATATATATTTCCTATACTTTTCCCCCTCTAGTTATGATTTTAATGTAGATCATAGGGACTACTAATTGGTAACACTATTAGCCTTTATACATGTTGAGTAATCGTTTTCCAGCAGTAGCTATAGCTAGTTGTGCTGAGGGTGAGGGTGGTGATATTTTGATCATTGTTTTGGTTTTCAATAGATATGGTTAAGAAAATTCTCCAAAAGTTCAGATTTTTTAATACTATGATGATTTAAGTTCAACAAAATTTGTCCATATCACTGATGTGACCTGATTGGTCTATAAGGCTAACCCGCATTAAAGAGTTCGTAACTTAATAATAGTGATTTTTCAAGAAAATTCTCAATTCAAATTTTTTAATACTTTAATGATATAAGTCCAACAAAAATTGTCCATATCATTGATATGACTTGATTGGTCTAAAAGGCTAACCTCATCAGAAAGATTGTAACTTAGTGATTGTGATTTCTTATAAGAGATCACAGATTAAAATCTTAACTAGCTCTGTTAGAACTCTAGAATGTAAGTTGGGTGTGTGAATTAAAAAAAAAATCCAACCAACCCCACCCCACCCCCGCCCGCGGCGTCAAGATGCCTGTTTGAACCAGAAAATTGGCATTAGCTATATAAAAGGCAAGTAGTTCCTCGTTTTCTTTGTCTTTCTATTTAGTAGAGGGGCCAGGCTTATTATTCTGTTACTTTGCATGACTCTATCCTTTATACTAGCCATATATAGTTTCTTTACAACAAGCTAGATTAATTTATGCCTTTCTCCAATTAATCTCTATGATCGAAAAAATCAAGCACATGGGTCCAAAGCAGTACCATATCATATATACTGTCAACTCAGCATGCAAGGATGACAAACATTCACTTCTCTGCAAATCCCTCCTGATCAGCAGATGAAAACGATGATAAAAGAATTTTTACTGCTACTAAGTTCAATCTTTGTGAATTTCTTAAGAGTATGGGATTGCTTTTTAGCCAACGTTAAAATTAAGAACAACAATCAATCTATAGGTTTTTTTTTTTATTTATGAAATCAATCTTTATATAGTTAAAAACAACCGCTATCTAAATGTAGTTCTAGGCACCGTACAATTCAGCAATGTTTCTGTCTTGTTGCTAGAGTTTCTTGACAGGTTTGTCTTTTCTGTTCTAGTTCATGCATCATGTAGTTCCATCAATTGATTCCATCTTGAAAAAGTATATTGATCATTGAGTTCTCTATGGCACAATAAACCACCTAAGAATAGACCATATAGACGCATCGAAAGGATATGAAATTGTTTGCTTCTCGTAGATATTTTTCCGAAAAAAATTTGTCCCAACACTCAACACCACCATAGCATCTAGCTAGGTAGGTATATGCGATATTAGCGCATACTGAACCAAAACCTCAGCAATATATCTTGAAAAAGATATGGCAAAGAAGAAAGAAACAAGGTATTTGCGCGTGAGAATTCTTCTTCATTTCAGCAAGTTTAACTTTCCTTATGATCACTTCTCCCTATTTTCTTGGTTTTTTTTCTGAGGAGTTCTGAACACTGCTCAGAGGGTGTAAAATCAATGCAGTTTTCATGCATGAGTGGTCCACCAAAGGGAAGTTACATGTGCAGCTTATGTTGAATAAGAGATGTGCATTGTATGGTATGATGTAGCTATTTGATCCTGTCTTGCCATGTCAACACACCCCAGTAGCTAGATTTTGATATCAATATAGATTGAGCTTGATGATGTGTCAAACATAGATTGGATTAGAAGATGAAGTAATAGTAACTTTCATCTCCAACGAATTTTCATAATATGATTCTGGGCCTTGACCTTGTATATATGTACTTTGTCATCCTCTAGCCTTGGTAATAATTTCTAACTCTTAATTTGCAGCAAACGACAGCGAGCTACTATATGACAGAATATGCATATTCATACAAGTATATTGGCATATTGCTGGTTTTTTCTCCCATAAAGCACAAGAAGACGGTAACTAGTCCTGCAGCTGGTTGGCTTTACATAATGATATGTTTCCAACAACCATATAAATATTCAGCTCATCAATCTATGTCATAGATGTGACAAGCAAATGCAACCCACATTTAATGGAAAGGAAATAATGAGGTCAATTGTAGTTAAAATGATTATGCGAAAGAGTATTATAACACGTATAATCTTCTCTTAAACCACAGGTTAGATCAATGAGGCTGAATGTAATCATGGATAACTTAATTAATGACAAGCTAGCTACTGCTTCAGTATTATCATTGAAGTCGTACGTACAAGAAGACAGAGGAAAGAACAAGTCGACTTGGAAGTACATGCCTAAGATTCTTTTGGTGCTAGTGACTTGTTCAATAATGTCATTTTCCATGTCAGTTGAAAGGACATTGTTTCTGATCACGCCTGCATCAATGCAGTTGCGTGTGTAAAATCACAGAAAATATAAGAAGACACGGATGATCGAAATGCTACTGAATTGATGCAGGCGTGATCAGAAAATATAAGTAGACCATGCCAAGGCTCGAACACTCGCACCGATTCGGAAAGGATGTCAAAGGTTGGAGGATTGGATCGTGTCACATCGTATCGCATTGGGATTTCCATTGATATAATTGTAGATTGAGCTTGATGATGTGTCATCTAAAGATTGGTTTGCAATAGCGTCGGTATATTCTTCTCATATATTTGGGACCCACTAATCTTTACTGCAGGAGGTTACACCTTACAGCCACAATCTAAATTAATGGATGAAATTTTTGTAGCATGCGAAAGTAAAAAGGCTGATCAATTGGTGAATGGTGATATGTCTCATCAGAGAAAAGGGTAGGCATGACCAATCCACATCGTACAATGATCACATTTTCAAATAAACAACCGTTTTGTGGAGAGTATTAACCCTTTGATTCTACAGTTGCAGACAAGGTGTCAACATCCTACAATAGAATTAAATTCGAAACCTGTTCTGGATGGAAGGACCACTTTTGCACAAACGTCAAGAATAATTATTTCAAGACTTATTTGAAGAATCTAATTATCTGATAGCTGCTTTGCCTTCTCCGTACCTCAAAATGTTTCACCATTAAAAATTTAAAATAAGGAATCCCCTTGCCCCTTTGGTTGGAATACAGTTAGCCCTATAAATCCCATATACTTCTTTTTTTTCTGTCATAATCCCATAAACAAGGATCTCCTGCAAGGTACCTCTGTTTCAAACCCTCTTCTGTATGGAACCAAAAAATAAATAAGTTACCTAGGGAAATATATACTAGCTGAAAAAATCTGGACCGATTCTTGGCATTTCTTAACAAGGAACTTACATAGGATGTGAATAACATCCATGGCTGTACCCATGAATATCGTAAATAAGAATGACGCAAGGCCCATATTTATCAAAATAAATTTGGGCTTAATTTAGGGGTGGGTCCAATAGGGAGGCCCGCCTAACGAGTTCTGCAGAGTAAGCAGCGTCTACGTTTGGCCAGCCTATAACCCCTCCACAAATTCTTGCGCACAAACTTCAGTTGGCGCGACGAACGGCTCTCACCGCTCGCTTTGTTTTCCTTACTCATTAGTTTAAGGCAATTTTTAAAGTAGGAGCAAAAGATTATTTATAGCGCCTCTCTTAGACAAGACTTGCCATTCTTTCGATGTGGGACAACATGAAGGTTTCACATCAACTACGCCCCTTTTCAATGCGGTCACCAGAGTCCAAACAACTCCACAAGTAGAATCTTAGGGATTTTTAGTTGTTTCGAGTGCGACAACAGCAACTGGCCTAGCAGTATAGCATGTTACATTTGAGGAGCAGATACAGACTGGAACCGAATAAGATGGTCTCGTCGGAAAGATGGCTACAAACATAACAAACGCATGTCCGGATAAAAAAAGAGTAGACCTGCTACTGATATGTCACTCTCGTACTCATTGGGTGTAAAGAGAGCTTCTCTGATGTTTTAGCAACTACCATGATGACAATATGTTCTGCCCGTTTCAAGACCAACGAAAGCATAGCAGACAAGTAGGAGAGGGGAAGATATTGGGGAAACTCCTGATGTTGTTAGTTCATAATTATCTTGCAGGAACATAAAAGCTACTCAAATGGCTGACGGGGAAAGGATCGGAGCCTTAAGTGCTCATGGCAGGAGGTATGAATGCGTTGCGTTATATAATACTATGAAGAATACAAACCTTGCCGTATGTGTGTCACATTGCGTTTTACAACAGTAAAAGTCTACATACTATCAAATAATCGAGAACCTTAAAAAATCAATGATTTACATACAAATATTATACTGCCTTGAAAAATTGGCATCATATGTTCATATAAATAATCGAGCAAATTTCAAGACTTTCGGGACAACAACGGTTCCAAGTGCGGCTCAGTAAACTCGGGAACTGAGGGGTTTTTATCTCCTGACTCCAACTCTGCAATTGATGAATCCTCTTCTCTCTGCTTTGATAACCTTCGGAATAAACTTGATTTATCCTCAGCAAATGAATCTGGGTTCTTAGGAGTTTGGTTTAAGCTCTGAACGTGCTGAAGGCAAACTTGAACAGCATCATGCACTCTCACAAAGTACCACTCCTTACCAATAAGCTCTACAATACCAGCCTTTGTTAGGGTCAGCAGAACATCTCGGTTTGGATTGGAAATACAGATCTGCAAAAGAACCCAATAAAAAGCAGAGATTATACTTGCATCTCTGTATAAAACGAATAGCTTGTATTTAAGTGTGACTTCCACAAAGTAGACACTCAACTTGAATATCCCGTGATTTGTACTCCTGGTGCAAGTCTTTCAATGCTTGAACAGCACTGGAGTCTATGTATGTGATAGCTATAGATAAGAGAAAATTGGAATATAAGTAACTGGACCGTTTAATGAAACTTATTTTCATCAGCTTGCTTAGCAAACTTGGCAAGCATACTTGAAAAATTAGAACGAAAATTGTTATGGCACCCATGAAACCACCATAACAAATTCATCAGGGACCATAACGCCAAATATTTCATTAAAAAAAAATCCAAATCGGCATAAAAGAAAGTACGTGGAAAATAAAATGAGGTGAAAAGCAAAGCAAACAGTTTTGGTGGCCAAAAGTGACTTTTGCATGGATAAAAAGCATAAGAGCATGACAACTGTGATGGAGATACATAATATAAGTTCTATCTTGACCTTGTAACCCGAGTAGGATGAGTAAGACTTACGTGACATCTCTAAAATCACAAAATGAATCCTTTCGACTTCTGGCCCACGTCTGGCAGATTTGTCAACATCAACTTCATATTCCCGTAACCTGACGAAGGAAATCTCAATAACCTAAAATCCGAAGAGCTTATAATCCTGTGTTGAATTAATTTAGGGAAACGCAAAATTTCACCTGTCTTTTATGAAACTTATATTTGCAAAATAGATTGGTGCATCAATGCGAACAATCACAATTCCATTGTAAGTATATGATTCTGGATACTGTTGAATATTTCTGTAAACAGTGGTGCCAGGAAGACGTCCCAAGATAGCTGCAGTGTACACCAAATTAGAATGATTGAATATGTACTTAAACTCTAAGCGTATCTACAATAATTCAGCAAAAATATAATATGATTCTCAACAAAAACTGCACTGATGTGAAGCTTGCAACCTTTATTTCCAGTCCCAAACCGGAAAAAAAAACGATCATTTTAACAGAATAAAATGGGATATTTGGAAAAGCTGATCTTTTAGAAGTTCAAAGGGGAAGAAAGAAATCAAATACAGCCATCAGGAAGATGTAGATGATCATCATTGCCGTAGTTAAGATGCTGGAGCAAATGACAAAGGTTAGAATAACGATTACGCATAGACCGTATAATAGAGATCAGCTGGATTCAGAGAATAATTAATCCTATTATTAACATGCATAAATACTATTATACAACAAGTCCCACTTACCAATGTGTGGATTTGCTGATTCATGGATGACAAAAGCAAGTGATACACCAACCTGCAGTTTCAAAACCAATTTAGAGTACAAAATGCTACCTCCAGCAAGCCAGTGGCATTCATACATCATAAACACAATTTATACAACCATGGTAAAGGATTATCAACAAATTGTCTCAAAGTTACGTCAAACTGAGGACCTAAAAGGACTTAGCAAGATTATCATGTCAAACTTTTGCACTTGAACAAAAAAAAGGTTGTTAGATTCAGAATCTTATAAATAAGCTGAGAAGGCAGCTGACATGAAGCATTTGCAGATTTCAGATAAGTTGGTGCATAAATCTAATAATTACTATCCACATCGCATCATGTTTAACATAACTTCTTTAAATACTTACTCACCCCAATAAGGACACCAATCTCGATGCCAAGGAACAATGTTGTGGTACTGGTAATGATCCAAAGAACAAAATCTTTCTTATCTACACGCCATAAGAAGATAGCCTCATCATAATCCACCTGAAATGATAGACATCCAGAATAAATAAATAAATAAATAATAGGATTTAAACCACAATCCAAACAAGGTGGTAATCAGTACAATTCGCTTTTGGATACCAACATAGGTACAGACGAGCATCAACTACCAAACTTAAGTTAATAGGATTTGTGCTCTTATATCATTCATTAGGTTAACTCGACTCGTGTCATCATATATGATCTTGCTTGGAAAGCCAACACAAACTGATGTTTTAAAATGTTCTGGAATCAGTTTCAGTCTTTTGGAGCTTCATATCGATGCTTGAATGCATTGTCCCACAGCATGTTGCTTTCACAGACAAAAAGAGTATAAAATAGACTTAGAGCCACAAATACTTTAAAAACATGCAGTTACAGTAGAAGTTTTTTGTGGTTCCTTTTTTTTTTCCCGAGAAATAGGCATCTTGACCTCTTAGAAACCATGTTTGCATACTGTTAACTTGGAAAATACAATAACAGTCTCCAAAGCTTCAATTTTGCATGTCATTCAAAATCTGAATGTGAATATGTGGACAGTCATGTCATAAAAATGAAAGATTGCCAGCAGAGTTAAGTAAATAGTCATACAGTACATATATGTTATATATTTTGAGTAAGACTCCAGCTTGCTACAGAGAAGCCTAATGTAGGGAGAAAACTTGTTCTTTAAATAAGGAATTCAGCTCATGTACACTGGTGATGTAATATATAGATAAATGGTTTAACAAACATGGAAAGCACAGATGCTAAACAGAATCTGTAGCCAACTCCTCAGCTTGTGATTTTAGCATACTTACCAGGCCCATCACAGCAGAGATTACTATCGCAGCTAGAGCACACTGCAAAGAGAAGAAACCACAAAATCGTCCATTAGCATCTAGAGAATATTTAGGCTCCTCAATCAATGCAATGATAATGATACAGCAGACAAAGGGAAAAATACATTGAACCGTCATTTGCATGGTACCATCACATATCTCAAATACTTCAACTTTCTACGACATGGATTGCATCATATATTGCCAAGCACTTAAAGTCGAAATTTATTGATACATGACAGAATAATGTGCAAACCACCTCTTTCTCAACATTTCTTCACAACATTTCTATGTCAAAACAAATGCAGGGCCATAGAAATAAACCTGTGGTATGTATTTGAATAATGGAGTCAAGAATAAAAGAGAACAGCCCATAATGATTCCAGCTATAATTCCAGATAAGCCAGTTTTGGCCCCACTTTCATTATTTACAGCTGACCTAGAAAAGGAGCCTGCATATTAGAAAAAGAAGCTCTCATTTTATTGAATGACCTTCCAATACAAATTCCAGAGTTAAACAGTTAGTTAAGGAAAAACAGATTATCTAAGTCAAAATCCATGGTTAGATTTGAAGCTTTTAGTACATCCCAGAAATCTCACCTGTTGAAGGGTATGATGAAAAGAATGAGCCCAAGACATTGGCCAAACCAAGACCAAACAACTGTTGAAAGAGAAATAAAGTTAAAAATTCATTCTGTTTCACTACATTCTAGACCACAAATAGAGAACCAGTCAATAATTTTGGATTTGTCCTCTTATTTATTTGCAAGCCAAAAGGGAATCAAATAACACAATATATAAGTTGGTAACAGGCAGGATTATCCTATATTGATGGTGAGGTCAGAGGCATCTAGTATGCTACATTCATCCTCAAAAACAAAATGCTACATCATTAGGCAGTAGCTCCTTCCATTTCAAAAACATACCTCTTGACTCGAATCCAACTCATACCCATTCTTTGCTGCCAAAGCTTTAGCAATCCCAACAGATTCCTAAATTTGAAAGATTAATTTGATTGGAGAAGGAACAACTCAAATTTAGAAAGCAGTATTGCGAGCAGATGATCCCTAAAACGTCTCTTACCAATATGGCTACCCCAGTAATAAGCATTGCTGTCGGGATTAAAGACTTTGCATACTCGAATTTTTTTGGAATAGAGAAGCTTGGGAGTCCCTGCGGTATCTCTCCTACCTAAACAACATTTTTTTAATCTCTGTCACCTGCTGCGTGATTTGTCTAAATTGAAAATGGAAATATGACATTCACCGAAAAAGGAGACAGCTGAAAGAAAACATTTATCAATAAAACATATAACCAGGAAATTTTATATGAAATCCAAAGTTTCATTTACCAAGATCAATAATAGTGTCAACTCTGACAGGACAGGAATGACCTTATGAGGCAGGAAAACCAACTTCTCTGGTTTTGCGTTCCTCTACATTGTATTACATCCTCCCTAAATTCCAAAACTACTATTACATGCAGAATTAGGTCCTTGATTATTTAAAGAGAGAATAGGTAGGACTTATGGAATGTTCACTCAGTTAGATTTTATAACAGTGAAAAATCAAAATGCCGTGCAGGCAAGCATCCTAAATCTATAACGATCATATCAGGTTGGAGCAATGAAACAAATACCGAGCCAGTAAAATGGCATATTGGCATTACAAAAAATAACAGGATTTCAATGTAGGGCCATGGAAATAAAACACTGAACTTCAGATGATTAAGGTTTAGGAGAGTCCAGTAAAAGCATATAGATCAAATTGGGTTGTAGCAAAGATTGGTAGAAAGCAAATGCCTTGCAGCAACCAGCTGTTACACATTTCAATCAATCAGAGTCCAGACACTTAAGGACATTCCAACAAGATGAGGCAATAAAACTATGAGTTACAAGGCAAAAGCTGAGAAGTTTCTTTTCCCACATTTTGTGATTATGTAATGAAATTAGGAATAGATGTCAAGTAAAACGCATAAAATTATTTGTTTTTTCACAATGCAAAATGTTGGCCACCCAACTACAAAATGTTCGTATGATTAATGTAGAAACCAAGGCACTAAGATGAGTGTAAAAAACAGAACAGCAAAAACAAGCACTACTTAGAAAACAGCAAAGACTTTAAAAAGAGTTCTAAGCATACAAATTGCCTCATCTCAACAGGGAGATAGGGGATCGATGAATTTATTCTTATACATGAAACAAACAGTTTTAGAGGGTGTTTCATTATATATGTCATTCTCACCAAAGAAATTGAGGATGGATGAAACATTTTCACAAAAACTGTACCCAAAACAACTGCTGTAAATGGACCTGCCGCTCGTAGGAACCTGAACTGCTTCCTTGATTTTCCCTTAACATAAAAAATCAAAGTCATAACAGAGATGTAGGAAAAGGCACTTCTTACCATTACTACCAAAATCTGAAGTGATTCCATACCAAATGCTTCATGACCAAAAGTATTGCAAGAATGCAAGATCCCATCACAAAAGGAGGCCAGGAGAACTACAAAAGGAAAAGATCACCTGTGGTTAAAGAACAGTATTGATGAGTGGTGGTAAATGACATGACACAGTAAAAAGAAAGACAAGAGGATAATTTAGATGATCACAAGTAGTCGATTCACAAATCAAAGTAAATAAAAGGACCAAACTAAATGATACACAACATTCAAGGGCATAAACTCAAGTATTTAAAATTCTTATTACACGAAGTTCTAGTCATCAGCCACCAAACAACCATAAAATCAGTGATCGAAGATTGGAAGTTGCAGGAAACTCAAGGAAATGAAGTCACTAGCATAATACTACCAGTATGACTAAATGAAAAAAATTACCATCATCCACGTCACACGATTTGATCATCAGGCCCGAACCCCTTTTTAGATAAGTTCTTTGTGACCACAAAATATGTACGATTGCTATTAATTTAACAAGCCACAAATAACAGATTGCAATGAATTCTCTCTCTGCTTGAATAACCCTACCTTATGTGCACCAGATATTATGCTTTTAATCAACGGCACAATCTTGCTACTTCGTACAATATGATACCCCAAGAAATACTTTGCTTGGGATAGAGCAATAACAATGGCTGAAGCAGTTGTGAAGCCCGAAATCACAGAGTGGCTGATGAAGCGGATAAGCCATCCAAGCCTAAAGCGAAAAGGAATATATGCATTAATCACTATTGTAAAGCTATAAGCCAATGAAATCGTAAAATAACTTCAGAGCAGGAGATCTGTGCATAACTTAATGAAAATGCGGGAGCATTTTTTAACTATATACAGTGAATGCAATACCTCAAAAGTGCCATTACACATTCCAGTATTCCAACCATAAATGCCAATAATATTGCAAGTTCTGTATATAACTTGTCAGATGAATCGACAATTCCACCCAAAACATTAGAGACTAGCAGAGAAACCAATGCCACCGGACCAACTGCAAGTTGCCGAGATGACCCAAATATGGCATACACGAATATCGGTATAAAACCAGTGTCTAGCTTGCAAAACCAACACAGCCATTCTAGAGTTAGAAAAGATATGATGGTAAAGTGAAGTGAAGTGAAAAGCAAAGAACAATACCTCAAAGTCACTATATATATATATATATATATAAAGCTAATCAACTAGTGATATCAGTTCAAAAGATGATAGATGCTGTCATGATTAGATCATATTTCATCTGAACAGCGCTGACAGTAGACCTAAGGCTAAGTATAATCAAAGTGAATTTTAAATTAATTACGTATCATATTTTTATACCTTAAAACTCTGCCACAAACATTATGCTATTGTGAATTTCTGAATCCTGTCACTAAACATTCATGACAATATCTTCAACACAAATCCTATCTAAAGAAGTAAAATTTAAAACAATTATGAACTTATAATAACTTACATAGTCCATAAATTGGATGCAGTCCTGCTAATTTTGCATACGACATTGCCTGTTCATTTACAACAACAAAAATTTTATAATCCAACTGATCTACATAAAATGACTTCACAGTAACAAACTCACACTAAATAATTCACAATGCTAGCAGTAAAAAATATTAAATTTAAGACAGCAATATCAGACTCCAGAGGAAAGTAAAAGCAGAGCAAAATCACAAAGACTGTATTTGGTTGCGGACAAATTGAAATTCCACATTCAAAAGATCATTTCCGACAAACCAAACACAACCTCATAAAAACTGGAAATCTTATCGTCAATTTATTAGGGCAAAAGAAATCAGATTGGTCGTTGGAGTAAACTTTGTACAGTGTAAAAGCTCAATAATTCAGATTTATGAGAACAGAAATCTGTCAAAATCACTTAAAAAATTCTCATTATCTAATCCATTTTTTTCTTTTTTTGTAGAATCATTGCAATCAAAACCATGACAAATCAAAGAAAGCAGATAAACTCACTACGCGTTACCATTGACAAAGCTCAACACGGTTTATTTCAAATCAGATTGATTAGACACATTTTTCTTAATAAACCCAACTGTAGCATAAAATCCACTAACTGTTAAGCATCAATAATTGAAATTTAGAAAAATGAGAAAAAAAATCTATTGAAATTATCGAAACAGTTAATTATTTGAAAAGGAGTGATGATAATTTAACTGAAGAATTCTTTCCAAAAATCATTTCCACCAGAATCTCATTGGTTGAATGAGTGGGTTACACTGGCGGATCCCAAATCCAACGGTGTAGATTTTTTGGGGAGTGATTTAGAGAAAAATTTTAGTAAACTAGCTTGAAAAGTTGTCGCAATCTAATATATCTCCAGTAAACAAAATCCAGTTAATCCAATTAAATATCAGTTGAGTAATTGCCTCCAAAACAACCATGACTAATCAAATAAAGCAGAGACATGCACGGCGTGTAACCGTTGACAACTGTAAAACCACCGAGAAAGTACAAGAAATTAAAGAAAAAACAAAGCACGATTTTCAAGTTATATGAACTCAGTAAATGATTAAAAGGAAATTAAAGAAAGGCAAATAAAAAATAGCTGAGTTTTTGACTCGGTCAACTTTGTGAAACAGTAAACAACCGTAGACTCGCAGATTTTCCTTCCTTTTCTTTCATTTTCCTAGGAGCCAAACACTTAAAATTCAGAAGTTATATTACTAGGTAACAAAGGAAGATTGTAGATTCTATTTATAAAGAGAGGGAGTGGAATTACCTGGGGTACAAGCATGATGCCGACGGTGAGACCGGCCATGAGATCGGGTTGGGAATACTCGCGCCATTTATAAGTTCTAATCCATCGGCAACAAGGAAGAAAGTTATCCATCCATTCAGTCGGGGCGGTTCGTTTTATTTTGGCGGTCCATCTGGCAAAAATGGCCCCAGGAAAGGGAGTCGAGGAGGAAGACGCCGTCGAGCTTGGGTGTTGAAGGGGAATGGTTTTGATGGTTCGGTTCGGCATGGAGGATGGTGAGGGTGAAGATAAAGAGGAGGAAGCAGAGATTGTGGGAAGATCACGAGAACTCGAAGAGGCGTAGGTTATCTCCATTCTCTCCGGTGGTGCATCAGACCAAAAAGATGAGGAGGGGGTTGGCAGGTCCCCCTTCTTCAGATTGTGGCGGGGAGGGATCGTTGCGTTTCCAATATGGCTCCACATGAAAAAAAAAAAAAAAAAAAAAATTATATTTAATATAGTTTTTTTTTCGATTGGAAACTCTAGGCTCTTAAACCTATGATAAATAACGTGAAGAAGAGAATAATATCCTCTTGCTTGCTTGACTAATGATTAGGATTCATAATCAATCGATACTACACTAATTGTGAAATTTGTGGTGAGAATTTTTGTTGTTGTTGGAAAAATAATGAAGACTTTTTGGTGTTGATTAATGGCTATTGACAGTCAGGTTTTGGCGGGGTTGTTAGAATATTTTGGTTTTTTGTAAATTGGTGCTGTGGGTGTGGTCTTCTATTTATTTGTTTGTTTGTGGCTGCATTTATGGCACCATAAATAGGTAAATGACAATCTTTGAGCCGTGAAGGGATCTGATATTTTATGATTATGAAAATAACAAACGGAAACTTAATAATTAATCCGATCCAATGTTTGGGTGGAATTGTTCACAAATTGCTATTTTCCTAGGACTCCAAGTTGCTGTTTGCTGTATAAATCAAATCAAAAGGCATCACTATTAGTAATTGGTAATAAAAGGGTCCCAATGCAGAGTGTAAAGAGTCAGCGTTCGATAATTAAAACGGGCAAGGGTTACGTAAATAAGGTAAAGGCAGGTTTGTAATTTGCGGTCAAGGATCGAGATGGCTTGGCTGTTTATTTCTTTAATTGGTAATGAGGTCAGAGAATGAGTTGGAAATTTAGCCCACAAAACGGTGGAGATTCATTGGAGTGTACAAGGACGTGATTGGAGGAAGGTTCAAGACGTGGAAAAGAAGGACGAATCAGATTCGTATACGCAATCATTCTCGTTAGTGGCCCACTAGAAATGCCCAACAAACCCATTAATAGAGTTTAGCACCAGCAAAGTCAAGTGTCCAGCCATATGGGGGCAGCACCTATTATTTGTCCAACAGTTTAATGGCATTATTTATATCAAAACTACAGTGTGGTAGTAAAACAAATTTATATTATCAATTTAGTCATTTGAATTTCAATTTGTTATTTTTATCGAATCTGATGGTTAAAGTATTGATGGTTAAATAAAAAAAAACTTATAAATTAAATTTTTTATGATTGAAATTAATTTTTAATATATATATACACACACACACGTTAGAACTTGGATGATTTTGTTGTTCATATATATGATTTTTGTTGTTGAATAATTAATGATATGTAATTGATTCATCTAATAAAAAGATGGATTATTAATTTTTTTCAAATTTTATTTTAATTCTAAACAAATTCTCAAATGTTTACAACAATAATATTTTGACGGTCAATGCTTTGACTATCGGACAAAACAAAAAAATGATCAAATTTGCCTAAAAATTAATAATTTGAACTTTTAAATAGTCTAAATTAATAATATAAACCTTATTTTGCTACAATTCTAATAATTAGATGGTAAATTGTAACATTAAAGCCCTATCCAAATTGTGAAATTTTATAAAATTAAAAACAAAATGCTAAAAGATCTTGCCCATGTTACCTTAGATTTATAGTTCATCAATACTCAATTGCACTATAAACTTACCGTACAATGACTTTTTTGTGATTCATAGTCTTTTTTTCAAGCATCTAATATGTAGATTTTACTAAATATTACCCCATATTTCTTGATGTTTTCCAAGATTTTTGTCTAGGTTTTCAATTTTATTGACACCGTGGTTTGGTTCTTATATTTAGAGAGGAGAGAGACGAAAGGTGAGAATGGAGAAGATAGAAAACCACGACTAGTTTCAATTTCGCCTAGACAATCGATGTTGCATTTAAATTATCTATCTTGTAGTTAGAGGATGGAGATCAAATTCTAAAATATTTTGAATTGTTGAATTTGATATTTTTTTTTTTTTTGGATTTTTATGTGAATTGAAATATGTTTTAAGGTTTTAACGAATTTTTTACTTTATTTTAATGACTTTAAGGTGTTTTTTAGACAAAAATAATGCAAAGTTGGGTTTGAAACTAAAATCCTAATTTTCCGACAAAGATTCGATGAACTCCAATCTGTCAAAAGTTATTGGCAAACGACGCATAGCTCATGCTACACCGTTCAAGCAACGCGTTGTCCATATGTTTTTAGTTTTTTTTTTTTTAAATGGACGGTCCACATGAGCTTGTTGTTATGGGTCCAAGGGCACAAGCCTACTTCTACGTGCCTCGCTTGGTCCTCTCTTTTTTTGGCTTTTTTTAGCAATTTATTATTTATTTATTTTTATTATTGAATTTGGTGTGAGAATATGAGAAACTACTTTGTGTTTTGCACGTAGCATGACAATTTTCAAATATATATGAAAAGTTTTCAAATTTTAAAATGAACACATATGTGAAATTATATTACTCTTATTGTTTAAAATTGATTTTTTTCAATTTGTCTTTTCTTATAGAAAGCCTTGTCCCATTAATTTTTTTTTCTTTTTATATAAGTTTATTTTTTAACAAATATAATTTATTTTTCTCTATATGTGGATTTTTAAATAAAAGTTTAGAACAAGATTATTATTTCTAGTATATTAATATAATTTATGAGATGGATTCTTATGATTTTTAGATAAGAGTAGCATAATTTTGTTTGTGTGTGTTAAAAGGCTAAAAATGTATTTTAGATGATTTATCTCTCTCTCTTTTTTTTTTGAAAAAAATAAATTTTACAATAATCAATTAAAAAATAGAATTTATGTTTTTTATTTGCTTCTTCTTTGCGTAATCAAAATTTTTCGAATCGATTTTATCGTAGTTTTTATTTTAGTTGGTTAACTTCAAATTTACTTGATATATTCCTTACCGCTTAAGTGTTTTTTATATATATCTTTTGTTTTACGATGCACGCTTTGAACCTAACAAGTATAGTCAATATATATATACACATAAATATATCAATAGTTTTATTATAAATTAACCATGCATCTAAACATATAATATCAATTATTTGCTATTTTTTAATATTATAAAAACAATAATTTTTAAATAAAATAATTAAAATAATATTTTAGAAAAACCATTCAATGATGCAAATACAACTCCTTTTTTTTTTATGCCGATGGTGTTAATTATTTTGTTAATAAATAGACATGAATTAAATGCACCTATTTTCAAGAAATTATCTTTCCATCGACATCAAATAAGAATAAAAAATATTTTTTCATTGTTAATTTTAATACAAGTTTTTATATTAATTAGTGCATTACTATTATTATTATTATTATTTTATACTATTCTTATGAAATTAAGGTATTTTTAAAAAAATTTGGTGAAAATTTATATGTAAAATTTTGCAAGATTATATTTAAAAATCAATGCACAAGGAAGAGTAAATCATGTTTCTTTTTCAAGTAGAAATTTTATAAAAAAAATACAATAACTAATTAACTACATACAAAAATTTTAATTAAAAATGATAAAATTATATATTTTTTTATATATTTAATTGGATATATATTTAATAGACTTGTTGTACAAAGCAATTTTTCGAACTATAATAGTTTTTTTTTAAAATAGTTTCACATGTCATGTTTGAATGCTAGTGTAACATAAGTAACAACTAGGGATGTCAACGGGTCGGATTTGGATCGAAACATAACGGATCGAATGTGATTTGTTTAGTAAAATGGATTAGATCGAATTTTATGAATTCGGATCAAGTCCGGAAATATAAAATTAGATCCAAATCCTAACGAATGTGGATCAAATTTGAATTTTTACCGGATTTATCACTTGATTTTTATATAAAATTTATGATTATTATATTTCATATATTGCTCGAATATGAAACATATTTCAATCACTACATATATAATATTGTATTTATCGATTTTATAAAAATTCAAAATGTCACACAATTCAAAAATACAAAATCAAATAATTTTAATAAAAGTTTATCTTAAACTAAGTAGAAAGTATGATAAAACTAAAAAAACAACTAATAGATAATATTTATTTTTTGCTTTTGTAGCACCAAGTCTTGAAGATATGTATAAGTTAATTTATAATTTTTTTTCAAAATTAAATTAAAAAAATAATAAGAATTTTATATAATTTGTTTGAAAATACAATCGATATTGTTGAAAATATGCGTTATTTGAACTTTATAATAAATAAACTATAAATTTCAACATGTTTTCATATTTATATATTTATTTATATTTAAATTTTTACTATTTAAAATAATATTATTTTTTATTTTGGATCGAATTATTATTATATCATATTAATATAAATTTAAATTTATCTAGTTAATAAATGAATTAACGAATGCAATTATAATCCGATTCATATAAAAAAAATTATTATTTACTATATCCATTTAACTAGACAGGCTTTGCATCGAATTCGGATAACATTCAATGCATTTGCAGCCCCAGCAGCAACCTAGAATTACACAAAAAAAACCTTCACAGATACCAATATCCAACAACTTCAATAGCCACCTCTGAAATTTGTCGTCAGCATCCCCCGGGCGCTTTATTGCAGTCGCAACCCCTTTACTGTCATAATTACTTCATGACCATAGCTACCTTATCACCCTCATTTCACCAGCGTTCTACAACCATCACTTTTTGTTTTTTTCGTTATTCATCAAACCTTATAAAATATACTCTATTTAAAACATTTAATCGGAAAAGATTTACATGTAAAAATAAAAACTTTTCCTGGATAAAATAAATCTTTCACAATCAAATGGATCCATCCGTGAAAAAAATATTTTTTTAGCAACTTTTTTCAAATTTGAAAGATGAGAAAAAGCGGAGGAATAACCCCACTGTGGCACGAGACAACACCAAAAACATATGGATTTCGGGCTATCTGGCTATGGTTTGATTTATTTCAGATGCATCTTGGATTTGGGTTTTGGCAGATGCATTGATAAAACTGGTGCGAGTTTTGATTCACAAAAGTTTCTCATCGACGTAGGGTCCCAGTATTTACATCAACTTGCTCTGGTCGTTGATGTAGACTCGAAGTATATGCACACGTGAGATGAGAGAGACATGAGGACCATACGTGGGCTCTCTCTTGCCACTTTTGCTTATGTAGCAGGGATACCTTTTCAAAGTGAAAAACAGAAGAGTCAACAATAAAATCATACAAATCAAATCTGCAAGTGGCCGCCGACGATACCATCAAATGGGGGGATCATAATTTATCCGGCGACAAAGAATATTCCTGGAACGTCTTTAACCTGATAAAGAAACGGATTTGACAAGGCAGGAATACAAGTCGTCTTGTCAATTTGGGTTGACAAGACTAAAGAGAGAAATATTCACTTGAATATTTTGTCCAAGAGAACCAGTTGTGACAGAATAAATAATAGTACTTTCAGGGCTTCATTCCTTACAACCTCCTTTTTCATATCTTTAGAAACAAGTCATCCGACCACATAGAGATCAGTACATTAATAAAGTAGGACGACTGGATGTATCATACAAATCCCTGATTCTCAAATAGAGAATCTGGCAGTAAACTGCAGCACTAGACTTGTCTATTTTCTCCCAAATCCTCCCACTACGAAAGCCTTGTCCCCTTGGAATAGACTACTAATTTACCGATGTCCTTGCATACAACTCTGTCAGGAATTACTTTCCTCCATGTGGCTTAACTTGCATGGATACAGACGTGGTGGATCATGTTGGAAAGTGACGCAAAGATACAGGCCACTACATGGCAATGAAGAGATCATATTCACTTGCTACTACTAAGAGTGCGACTGTGCATGCTCAGGTTTGTGGGTGCATTCATAATCAAGATGGACAAAGGCACGCTCAATCTCTGGAAGCAACTCGAGCTTCTCTTGCAAAGATTCCCCAATGTCATGAGCCTCCTGCAAGGGCATGATGGAAGGCAGGACAATGTCCACCTCGACAAAGTAGTGAGACCCAAAGGTGTATGCCCGAACTGTGTCAATGTGTCTAATGGCCTTGTGATGGTTCCAGCAAAGGTATGTTAGCTTTTGTAGATAATCTGGTGTAGCTGATTTTCCAACGAGAGAATTCACATTCTCCAACACAGTCATTGACCATGTGCGAATGGTGTACAAGGCCAGCTGCACCAACACCAAACACATATTTTAAGCATATTCAGATGCAGAAAGTTAAAACAGAGGTTTTCATAATGCTGATTTGATTCTTTAAAACAAGGCTAGCAAAGAAAAGTTCAAATCTGCATCTATGAGTTCTAAATCTTGATGAGTTCAATTTCACCTCATGGATTGGGGAAGCATAATCATAACCATTTTGCATGCCCTATTGCTTAAGAGGTCCAAAAGGGGTGAGTTTACAAAAACAGAAGAACGGCAGGTTCAGGTAGTTGCACTCATCCATGATGCTGTCCTCATTTGTAAGAGTTGGATATCTCAAGGGTCCAATAGACAGCTATGTTTAAGTGATAGATTCAGGTGCATTTGTGCCAAATAAGCAAAACTCAAATTGCAATACAAACTCTAGAATGACTATGTACAGATGGGTTTAACCATTCCAGATAACCCTCTTGTGAGTACTGGATTCGTAATTCCATTATGTAAACTAATAATGCTGAATTCAAATAGAATTGAGCTAGCCTGATGCCAAAGAAGAGCAGAGAAAAGGAATAACAGAAAGGGGGAGAGAGAGAGACATCACTTACAATTATAGCGCCGACAGGATCCATCCAGTCTTCCATGTAATTAGCAAGAAGTGCAGCAATAAGGCCAATGATATTTGTAATAACATCAAAAAAGTGATCCTGGGCATAAGCTTTGACGATCTCATTAGTAAATGACCGACAATAAACCATCAACATGAGTTTTACCAAAGTCACTGATAGCATAATGCCCACAACCCAGCGCTCTTGCTCCTTGGTCAGATCAAAATCACTCTCCTGGGATGAGCAGTACAAGAAATGTGAGATATGATCATACATCATCATTTCAAGTACACCCAGTAGATCCTACCTTTTAAATAAAAAAGTGTGATGCTTGTTAATTGAAAACATCCAAAAGTTGTGAATTTCAATGAAGTCCACTTACATCAGACAGCAATGTGCGTAATGATTCCAATATAATCTGCAATCCTAAAGTTGCCATAACAGAGGCAAAAACAAGAATCCCCTGCATATGATTCACAAGTTAGAGAAAATCTATTATTTCATTAAACAATTTCTCCACATTAACACGCAGAAAAAGAGAAATATGTCCATTATAATTGAGGCATATAGCATTAATGAAACGGAAAAAAGAAAAAAGAAAAAAGAAAAAAACTTAGCGAAGGAACATCATCAAGATCATGAAAAATTATAATGCATTCGTATGAGATAATTTGACTGGAAATCATTAAAGCATAATTGATAGAGGACTGACCAAAGGCTGCATACGTTTCTTTCCAATGGGGTATTGATAAGGGTTCGGTGTTTGCATAGAGAATGCAGTAAACCAGAGGATAAAGCCAGACAGAAGATCAAGAAGAGAGTCTAATGTGGATGCAATGATGGCTAATGAACCACTTTTGACAGATGCATAAACCTTAGCAGCAAAAAGCACCATATTTGCAAAATTTGATACTCTAATTGCAAAGGTCTCACTTCTAGCCAAATTTTCCTTCTCTTCCTGCAACAACAACAGCAACAGCTATTTCAGCTTAAACCACGAGTCACACACTGAAACAAAGGGAACGAAGCCAACACAAACCTTCGACATCCCAGGAATAAATCCACGCTCTGTCAAAGCATCCATTTCATTAAAGCCCTCGAGCATCTCCACCTGCTGCTGATAGTACTCAGCTACATCATCTTCAGGACCTAAAGCCATCAAGCAAAATAACCGAGACATTGCTCATCCAATTTCTGTCTCAAATACTTGAATACCATTATACATAGCAATAATTACTTGCATGAAAGGTAAACAACACTAGCTGCAAAGAGACAACTATGCAAACCAAAGGAATGGCTTTGCCAAAGCTTTTTGAAATCATAGACTAGTTCGTGACATTATGAAAACTAAACCTACAGATTTAAATAAGGTTGGTATAAAAACCAGGGATGACTAAAATAAACCCTGCCGATAAATTTTGATTAGTTCATCGTCAATTTAATCCACCATATCCAATCATTTTTTAACTATTATAGTAGTAAACGAACTAGAAGTGGAAAAGGAATATAATATGCATGCATACATAAAAAAACACATAGCGAACAACCCCAATTAGTTTTTCTGAACTTCCCAATTCCACACGCCCAGAGACACTTGTAAGGATGGGAAATGAAATAATAAGCTCAAGATTTAGCAAGAATAAAGCTAACTCAAGTATATTAATGCCCCAAACAGCTCAAATCTCCATTAAATCGAAAAAAAAAATTGCTGACATAATTTCCCATTAAAACCTCATGCCTGAAGTTACATAAATAAAATCCTACCAATCAAACACCAACCCACCAAATTTTGTCTTCTATACCAACCTCTGCTAAATTTAATAGTGAATTTGAACAGCTAAAGCCAAACACTTGTACAAACTTAACTAGCCAAAAACATTAAAAAAAAAAAAAAAAAAAGGTCCAAGAGAAGCAACCAAAAAAAGAAACAAACACATTTTTTATGACCCAAAAAAAAAAAAAAAAAAAACCCAGATACACAAACACCGAACTTGAAAAGAAAAAAAAAACAGTACTTTAATACCCATATAAGGAAAAAAAATCAACCGAATATTGCCAGTTAACCAAAAAAAGAAAACAAATCACTTTCAGAAAAGATTAAACAAAACAAGCATGACCGCTCGTTATTACTTTAATAACACTGATTACTACAAAAATTTAAGCATTTTTTGTGTAGTTACCTAAAACTCCATAGCAATCATGGATTCCACGAGACGGTTTTTTCTCTTTGCGTTCTGGTGATAACTGATAGCCGTCGAAGTTTAACCGCCATGACCCGTCAACGTTGCTGTTTAGAGACAACAGTGAGAGCTCCTCCTCGTTCTCGTTCACCGGCTCCACCATTTTCCAGTTGATTTTCTGGTATAGGTGATTTGTAGCTTGGGTAATGTGTGCGCTTTACTAAGTACTGGTATTTGGTGGAAAATAAAGTGAGGCGGCGAGGGTGTTTCGGGAATGTGAAAATATGGCGGCCTTTTGAATTATTGTGGCCTGTGTGAGTTGGAAGCTTTTGAAGCAGGGAAGGGCAAAACGTGACAGTGTAGATATATTTAAAAATAGAAAGTTACATCCAGGACCTTAACTATAACTCGTGTTTATTTGGTACTTAATTTATATAGAATTCAAATTCTACCCTTAATTTTGGGATGCCATGTATCTTCCATCGACACCATAAATTTCTTACATCAAAGATGAATGCACATAAAATTTCCTTGATATTTATAAAACTTTTCATCCGTGTCAAATTAAGAAGTATATTTACGAAAATTTTAATGAAAGAAATGAGATCCAATTGATTGTCTTGTGCTTTTTAATGACAGAATCAAATAGATTTTTATCTTACATCAATTGATATACATAACGTAATTGAAATTTATAAAGCACTGAGGACCGAAATGAAATATAGATGACAGCGGATGGTTGGATGTAATCTGCCATCTGGAAAAATTATGTTGTCTACGTGGTGATCTATGATTGGTTTGGTAGGTAAGGCACGTGCTTTTGCTCCCAAGGAGTGGGATGTCGAGTGGAGGTAATTTACACGTGTAGGGTTATGATTGAGTTGGCATGAATCAGGATTCAGGAGGGATCGTTGATGATTTTATCCTCGGTTGTGTTGGTGGGTCCCTGGTTTGAAATCTTGGATCAGGTTCCGGGATTGGATTTTTGGCCTTTTTGAGTGTTAGGGTGCATCCTAGGAGCACACGGGCGTGATTGTTCTAGGAACGTAGCCTCTGTGATCATGATTTGGAGATGAGGTGTTGAGCATGCGTCGGAGAGTAATATAACGAGTTTTAGTAATTTTTTTTTGCTATTTTTTTGCTTCCCAATTTAATAATACGAGAGAAAAGCTAATTTAATTTCTTAAAAAAAAATTAAGCGTGATACAATAAGTTTGAAAAAAAAATCAAATACAAGATACAACAACTTTGATATTGGTCATAAAATTAAAAAAAAATACAAGAGAAAATTAGTTTTAATTTTAATAATTTAAATAAATAGTTTTTATTTCGAAATCTTTTATATGTATAAATCTTTTTTAATAATTATATTTATTTTATGTGTTTCATCTAATAATAATAAAAGATAAATATAGATTTTTGAGATTGAGATTAAAAAAAAAGAGCATGATGTGATGATGACGATAAGAATAAATAAAAAATCTTTGGTGAATCAATTCGTGTGGCAATTTGAAATGACAGAATTATTTTCTTTCTCCAAATTAAGCTTGTCTTATAACTCGTAATTGCCTTTCATCAGTCAGGCATACATCATGCATTCGTGATGGAATGGATCGATGTCACATGGTTTCCCGATGCTCTCATGATCTCATTGTTTGAATTAAATATTAATTTGTTATAGAATCAACAAAGTGAAAGAACATTATCTTGAAAATACTCATTCTGGAAAGCTATGCATTCTCTCTAAAATTCCAATCCGTCTGTCTGTCGCCACTTTTCATCAACAAGACTTAAATATCTGTGCAAGGAGACTTTCAAAGGGGATCGACATGATCTCTTGTCTTTGGTATTTGAAGATTGGATTTAATAAAAAATAATAATAATAACGAAGAGTTGATGCAATATTCGGTTAAAATAAATAGTTGACGCAATATGACAAGTAAACTAGCTAACGTTTTTTTTTTTACTAATCCTTGTGCGGTAGAAAAGTCTATAATCAAAGAGACTTCGTCAAATCGTATGTAAAATTGGTCGCAACCGACAAACATCCTCGCGAATCGTTGTCGAGGTTGATGGTGGGTTTATCGTAAACACATCAGCAAGTGGAGATTAGAATTATAGATTGATCCACAACAAGTGGAGATTGATCCATGACAAATCTGATGGTGACATTCTGCTTTGTTCCTCGTCACAATAATATAATCTTGTTCAATCCTCGTTAGTTGAATATAAAATTTTACAATTTACTCGTCTTCTTTTTTATTTTTTTTGCAGTCAAGAGTGACAGCGATATCACGTCACTCGAAGCACCATCTAACCGTATATCTTATGATAAATCGCTTTACTTACTGTGCTAGAATTATAGATTTGACTAAAGAAGTGACTGTGAGGAAAGAAGAGTTGTGAATGTCTAAATGAAAAAAAAAAATGGCTGGTTTCAAACGTAATTTGGGATATACATTGGTACGAAATGGTTTGGAATTAATGATGAGGCCAAAAGAATTTAGATAAGAGGGCCAGTTTTTTTTAAAAAAATCAAGTTTAGAATTTTAGTGGACAATATTATACATGGGAAGATATATATATATAAAATATCTTTCTATGAAAGCATGTTTTTATTCTTGATATTTTCTCAACCTAGTCTCTTTATGTTTTTCAGTTATTTATCCCGTGTTTTTATTTTTTGAATTTTCTTAATGTGGTTTCTTTTATGGTTTTTCAATCAAATTTCTAAATAAACGTGATAAATGACAAAAAATTGACATGTGTAATGTTTTGCCAAATAAAATTACTACATGACAAAAAAAAATTATTTTTTTCTTTTTCTCGATTTCATCTAACCCAACAGTTCTTTGGGTTTTTTTTTTTTTTCTATTGCTATTTTCATTTGCAAATTGGAAAAACACAAACTATTCTTCTTCATGATTGCAATCCTCAGCCAACCTAGAAAAATGTGATATGCAAAATCAATAATCCAAATTTAGGCCGCTAATCCCTAATTCCTTTGAGAGGATCCATGGAATCTCACCAGGCACTCATCATCACATTAAATTCCTTAAAATCAATCATCCCATAACCTTCACCATCACCGTCAACTTTACTAATCATCTCCTTGCACTCAGCCATTCAACAAAACTCCCCAAACTTGCCATTATCTTGTAAAGTTTCTTAATTAGAAATCGATCCATTTCTATTAATATCATAAACAGAGAAAATATCCTTCAGATTTAATAAAAAGAAAAAAAACTTCAACGATCGATGACAAATAATTTTTTAAAAAAACTTCAACCTTTATCCCAATCAAAATGTAATACTTTATCCGATTAAAGCATAAACTAGTTAAATCAACTTGTATTCAAATATCAGTAATTATCTATTTTTTTAACAATCAAATCATAACATATGATTACAACAAAATTTATAATCCACGTAACATAAATACCAAAATCTCCTATAAAAAAAATCATTAATTCAATTCATCATTTCAATCTTGATCAATGCTTCGAATTTATTGAAGACGAGAGCCATCACAAAGTCAACATAAAATTATATTTATCAACAAATGAGTTAATTAACATCTAAATTTTTAACATTCAATTATCTTTTATTTTTTTAACGACTTAAATTTTTTTTCAAGACCCAAAAAGAAAAAAAAACACTATAGACAAGCAAGAAGAGGAATAAGCATTGTGTTTCTTTTCCGGAAAAGAAAAAAAAAAAAAAAAAAGGAAAAGAAGATAAAGTAGTGGGATTTGGACAAAAGAGGACAACAGGTTTGCAGTGGCTTTCAGTTTGCAAAAGAAGGAAAAGAAGAATTGGTAGGCTAGAGGAAATAGAGGATAGAGAACAAAAAGAAAATTTCTTTTTAATTTTTTGTTATAGGATAATTTTATTTGACATGACATTACATATGTTAAATTTTGTGCTACCTATCAAGTTTGCTCAAAAAATTAATTTGAAAACTATAAAAATATCATATTAATAAATTTCGAAAGTAGAGAGAATTGATAAAAAAAAAAAGATTTTTAAAAATATCAATAGTAAGATTACGTTTCATGTGATTGATTCTTTTATAATTTATTTATCAATAATGATGCATAATCTAATTTCATTTCTTATTCTATAGCATCAATTTATTTTGCTGTGAAATTATATCGAGAAACACAGCATGGATTGCAATTCCTACAGAGTGATGTGACGTGAGATAGCTTTCAAATCCACACATGTTTTAGATTTTCTTGTTTCTCATTGAGAGTATGATTTGGACTTTTCTTTGCTAGGAGGCGTTTTGGGCCGTGACTTGTTAGTATCTCTGCAGGCAGTATTTGTCTTTCGAAGACTCGAGTACGCAATTCTTCGAACTGTAGCCCAAATTTCGCAGGCCTGATTCCTCCTTAAAACAACAGGAAGTGAACTTTCTAGCAGCGCTGAAGTCCGAAGCCGAACCAACGATTCAGGTTGGTCCGACGTAGTCGGGTCGGCTGAGCTACGAATAGTTTTCCAGATTATTTTGCATATATATATATATATATATATATGCATTGATAGATATATAGATATACTTGAGTAAATTATAAATTAATCACTCTGGTTTTAAGAAATAAATAAATTAATCGTTTTTTTGAAAAAATATCATTTAATTTTTTAACCAATATTAAACGTACTTTGTTTATTATTATTTTTATTCCATAAAATGCATTCTTTCTTCGTCAATTTTTTTATATTTTTTATTTAAAAATTTAAAATAGAAAAATAAAAAAATAAAAAAATTGAAATTATGAATAGATTTAAATATATAAACTAAATAATTAATTTTCGAAAAAATATTAATTAATTTGTTTCTCCAAACTAGAGGTACTAATTTATAATATACTTACATATGCTTTCATTGTGTCTCTTTTAAATAGAAGTTATGAAAAGGAATGTATTTTGATTTATCTCAAATCTCTCATAGTAATTAGATTGAAGTTTCAAATGCATGTATATATACGAAAATCCTTTTGCCACAATCTCAAAATAATTTTTTTTTTCAATTGTTTGCCAATGTTTGGGAATTTCCCATCGAAAATCATGCTCTAATTGTAGGTTAATTATTACTTTTCAAATTCTCGCGCCTCAGGTTTCAGCGAAACAATTGAATAAAATTATAATTCAATTAAAATA